TGTTAGCTTACCATAGAGACTAAAGTATAATATGGTCAAATACCAGACATGGTTAAACAATATATAGACAAATGTAAAGCAAATTTTGAATTCAGGGGCATCATTTGCATGAACATGACTGTCAAAGACACATTGATTCGTAATGTGAATTTAAAGCATTAGTTCGCAGATATGTTTCCTTATTTCAGTTTAAGTTCACCAAAAACATTCCTCAAAGCTGCGCTAATTTTTCTTGTAAAATTAAACAACAACAAAAAAATGTTGTTCCAGATCTAATCAAATTTGTAAAAAAATTGTTTTCACAAGAGACAGTTGAACCATTTTTCCCCGAGCAGAGCCGATGTTCAATTCCAGCATGTTGTCAGTCATAGACAATAAGACAAGAACACGCATTATTGGGAACCGCAAATCTACTGAGAGATGAAGATTCTTGGAAAATAATCTGCAAGTCATGCACAGAAAGCAAAATTTCCAAGTTTATTTCGTTATGACAGCAAGTGATATCTCTATTACTTGTAACCTTTAGGAATATCCAAATTTGCAAAGTCATACCATAATTTAGGTTCCTTCTTTGAAAATCTTTTCATTTCACCAATTTATAAAACATCATAGAAAATATACTTCTGATGCTGTGCATAGGGATAAAAAAAAAAAAAACAGGCATATTTATTATCTTAAAACATGATAATGTAAAAAAGATCCAAACTATGTAAAAACTTCTAAAGAGACCGAGATGCCATACAGCTAACATATCTGACTTCCTTGAAAACCTGAATCTAACCTGATGTTTCATATTACTAGTTCAGTCTACCTACAGAGTTTGGGTAATAGACTTTCCTGTCATGATTTTGGTTTTATTGTCCAGGATCAGAGATTTTTCACCTTGTATAATAGAGGCCTATAAAAGGCTTCATCCCAATGAAAATTTTCTTTAAAATCATGCAGATTTCCAAAAAATCTGAACTAACACCAGCTTTTTTTTCTACCCAAATCAGCAATTTTAGCAATAGTTCTTCTCCCAACAAAGTGAGAAAACACTTATGATTGTTATATAGTAAAGGGATTTTATATAAAGAACCCAAAGTTTTACAGCTTCCAGGCTGACTTTGCTATACACTGGTAGTAATAATTGAGCAAGCACTTGTCACTATCAGCACTGTCAGTTGTGCCAAACCACTTTAAAAGACATCTGCCTTAAAGTTTTTTAAGTTTTATAAACTGTAACATGAAATTCGTAGCTTTTCCATAATCATTTATCTGAGCCAATAAAGTAGAAGAGTAAAATCTGAATAAATACTTCAGACATGGTATATATTCAATAATTTAATGTTCTATAATAATTAATGGCTATTTTAAAATGTCTGTTTTATAAATACATGTAAATTAGATGATGAAAACAGACAGATCGTTAAGTAAATAGTGAAGAGTTTACAGCCACTTCCTTGGTCTAATTTCCCAAAATTTAACCCTTATGGTAAACCATTAATTTTCCTTATTTATATCCTCCTAACAATAAGAGGGTCACTTCAACCACCCTTTAAATGTTAAAATCCCCTTACCATGGGAATAATCCCATCCAAAAAGTCCTATATCCATATCTTGCCAAGTCATCACAATTTTACTTTCTCGATTTATCATCTATGTCACAAGTTAAAAACCGTCTGCACTAACTAAATGATAATGCAGTCTACAATGAGGACATTGAGATATATCTTCCTATACCATTCAACAATGTGTAATGGACTTTTGTACATGAATAACTTGTTTCATATATATATTACACACACACATACCACATAGGGAGAGCTTATCTGATTATAAATTATAAATTAATTTTCAGTTTAAGTATTTATAACCTACCAGGTTAAACCTGGTCTCATTAATGCTTTTCCATGAGCACTTAATACAATCATGTACATAAATTGATGTTTCCAAATGTAACCAAGTGCTTTTAAACAGAGAAGATAAGTTTAAAGAAAAAAAAGCCACCTTATGCTAATAATAGACTGAAAGCCTGTGATCTTATGTAATTCAATAAAATGATGTATGTTTTGGTGATTACATAGACCAGTTTAAACTTGGATCAATTTTCATGTGCCAAGCTTATGTAACACTACATAGCTGACATATATATACAAAATACCCCGTAAAAATAAATTCACTTTCTATAGTACATATTAAGATAACCTGCCAAACAGTAAGCTGATACTACTACTACTATCAAAATCAAGGGCTGTAACTCTGTAGACTTTAATATAATCACTTAACAGTATTGGACATATGACTGCAAACTTCTTCATGAAACATTGAAGGGCATATAAATTTTGACATGTTACAAATATGCTGCACCCCAAGGAGAAACTAACAGACCATTTTTCAAAGACTAAACATTCTCTCTAACATGCTATTTAGACAAATACATGATGCAGAAAAAAATAACATTTGTTTAAGTCTATACATATACATACATATAACTTAAAGTAAGATACCTATATCACTAATTAATTTCTAATTTCAATAAGATATATCCTGTCAAACGAGCTTAAATAGGTTCAGATAAAAGGACCCAATTAAATGTTCAATTATAAACCCTTTGCTCAAACAGACAACAACAAAGAACATAATTTAAGACTTCGTATTCCCAATTATTATTTGTCAATTACAACCAGTCCCTTCTCCTTACAAGTCCTTTAATAAAGAGGTATATCATGTTAAAAGAGACAGACGCACAACTTGTATATCAAACAGAAGCCCCGTTAATTACACCAATATTAAGAACAACAGGAGTTTATCAGCCAATCATAATGGTATTATCTTATCTCCTGTAATTAGAAACATCATGACTATGTTGTCTTGTCTCACACTAAGTTTCATGATTGTGCCAATGGTGCCAATATGAATCAACACTTTTACCAAGCAAGAACTGCAAGATTATTATATGTACCTGAACATAATATCAGCAAAGATCACACAAACATTCCAGTCCAGTACCATTGTATTTAAGACTTAAACAAGGCTAATTTTAACAGGGGTTTTTCTTGTTTATCTACAAGAATATAAGCTAAGTCTCACTTGCACAGAAAGAAAAGCACTTGCAGAATATCAATTGCTTAAAAATGAAACACATGGCCCTATCATAAAGAAAATGCTGTACTTCTGTAATATTGTAAATTGAACAGAGCTGGACTTTTTATTGTCTGGGAATAAAAATAAAATTTTCAGATGGCAAAATTAAAACTTTTAACAGCTTATTTAAGATAGCAAATATCCTAGGAACAAAGATAAAAACTTTGCCCCACATGAAGATCAGATTCTGTTTTAATCGATTTAAATTTTGTATTTTATAGTCATAGAAACAGACCTACACAAAATTTTATCTCAATTATATACTTCATAATAAACATCAATTACAAATGTTTGTCTCCCACATTTCATTTAATTTGGACAAGTTTGGACAAGCATCTACATTTATATTCAATATTGCCCATCAGAAATGCAATATTTTACTATCAACCATAGTTAAAAGAATGCATGCAGAATTGAGAATTCATATATGGCATGGTTACTCTTCCAGCAGACCTTTGATTTTCTCCTTAACTCTGTACCAACAATACTGAATTCCCTTATCACTTGAAAAGACAGGTTGATATGTATATCTATATTCTAACCAAACTGTGTCCATAGTCTAACCAGACTGTATCCATAGATAGTCTAACCAGATTGTGTCCATGGTCTAACCAGAATGTATCCATAGTCTAACCAGACTGTAAATAATCAAAGTCTAACCCTAGTTCCAGACTGTATCCATAGTCTAACCAGAATGTAATCATAGTCCAACCAGACTGTACTCATAGTCTAACCAGAATGTAACTATAGTCTAACCAGACTGTATCCATAGTCTTACCAGGCTGTCATCATATTCCAACCATAGTCTAACCAGACTTTTCATTGTTGGCAGCTTAATATCAGTATTTTTAGGTATGGATAAATTCAATTTGAAGCCAAATTTAGAGTTTTTTATTGTGTTCTGTATAGGTCACTTTGAAGGGAAAAAAATTAAGCTTAAAAGACTATTCGCTCAGTCTGACTGTGTGGGCGAAGCATTACGTAAGCAGCTACAATCAGTGGACAGTAATATTGTTCAGGCTTAGCTAGTTGAGGTGTGGGAACTGTTTGTATATGGACAGTCACCATGTCACGCTGGCAACTGATCAACATCATGTCACTGAAATGTAACTGTTAACAGAGAAACATGACAATTCAACAACCCGAAAGAACGACGTCTTATCGATTTGATCAAGTTCAAATAATCACTGAATATGCAAAGGGATTGCACTTTTAAATTCACATACACAGAGTAATGGAGGGCAAATAGGCATAATTCTACATGATAATCAAATTATCAAATCTTGTCCAAAATATGAAAACTTCCAGAAGCATAACTCAGGTACAGAAAAACCAAAATCATTTTCCATAGTTACGCCAGTATTATCTTATCAAAGCCTTTGTCATCACAAATCTCTACAAAAGGTTTTGCATGATGAAAAAAAGACGATGAAAAAAATCCTCCTTTTATCTTCAATATCCACTACATCTAAAGCTTGATTAATCGTGGACCAACATTACAACTATCATGCCAAAGTCACTGTTACCATGGCAACTACATCATGTTTTAACTCGTAATTTTTTTTTCCTATATAAAAGTTGAACCATTCCCTGCAGAACATATCTCCAAAGTTAAGAAATGAGCCGTGTCACGACAAAACCAACATAGTGGGTTTGCGACTAGCATGGATCCAGACCAGCCTGCGCATCCGCGCAGTATGATCAGGATCCATGCTGTTTGCTATCAGTTTCTCTATTTGTTATAGGGTTTGTAAGCGAACAGCATGGATCCTGATCAGACTGCACGGATGCGCAGGCTGGTCTGGATCCATGCTGGTCACAAACCCATTATGTTGGTTTTCTCGTGACGCGGCTCAAATACAGAAATATCTTACCTAATTCAGTCATTGTGGTAGATTGTTGGGTGCTCATTTCTTCCCCTTCTGGGTATTCATGGCAGTTGGCTAAAACATACAGCATATATACATGTTTATTATACACATCAAAATAATATCATGAAGTAAAGCTTGTATCACTTGCTGCCATGCCATTTCTTTTTGTCAAACACATCTATTAAGTATGCTTAAAATTGATATATCTTAATTTGCCCTTTTTTCTTTAAAATTAAGTATTGCTTTGATAACTGTAAACTTTGTCTAATGCATTGTACACTTGTATGATGTACGCCTAAAATGCTTAAAACAAATGAAATTTTTTTTTAAGAGTACTATCCTTTTCATTCCCTTCAACGATTTTAAAGAAAAACATGTAAAACATTTATTCTTCAACATGTTAAAACAGTGCATGGCAACAAATGATTGCACTCTTGAGGAATCTAACAGCTCTGGCTCACTCTTAGCAAGAACTTTTAAATTCCATTCTTATTAAGAATCTAAATCCTTGTGCCTACAAGCAACAAAAGGCAAGTTTTACAAGTACACTCAAAATAAATAAATAAATATTCCTAGAAATAACCTAGTTTTTCCTTCCTCCCTTATTTGTATCATCAGACTTTTTTTATTAATCATTTTGAGCATTATTCCAAGCTAGGCAGTTAATGTTCACTATCAATACAAATCATTGCAGCTTTTTTTTATAGAGAAGGTAACTTTTGCCACAAATATCCTTTCGATATTGTAAACTATTATGATAAATATTATTATTGCTTGTAAGCACATTTATGACTAACACTTGTCACTTGTGTGTGTTAGATTTAAACAAGTCTAAAAACAGTATTACATACTTCATATTGCACAATCTTAAGTGCGTTTCAAACAAGTACGAACTTTGTGCTTAAACATGTCTCTTTCAGATGCATTTCAGGTCTGCCATTTAGTTATTAATGTTTTATTTCCTATTTTCAAGAAAAAAAAAATATTGAATACTTTTGGTAAAATTATTTAAGAAATTATGTTTGTTTTCATGTTTGGCAAATCAAACAAAGTTGTCTGTGATTCTTCAGATACTTATCTTTTCACAACTTGCATCTCATTTATTATAAATCTTATTTCTTATTTTAAAACATAAATGTTCCTTGTATTTCCGCAGCACTGACAAAATGAAACTGGAAAATTTTGAGAAAAAAAAATTACCAAAATTGATCTAATTAACACAATTAAGCCAGTTATTATTACCAAATAATTGTGTTTCACTAAGAAAATTTTTTTTGGAAGAGCCCTCTCAATATTAGAAAAGCTTTCCATTTTTACATTTTAAATGTTAGAGATAAAACACAGTTCTTGTTCATTAATGTTTTAAAGTTTTTGGTGTCAATTTTAGCCTTGTATTTCAATGATTATCTCAGACATGCTTTATGCAATGATGTTAACAAAATTAAATAACACCACAACATTAAGTACAATGGTAAACATATAAACATCGGCACAATTTGAGCCACGTCACGACAAAACCAATATAGTGGGTTTGCGACCAGCATGGATCCAGACCAGACCAGCCTGATCAGGATCCACGCTGTTTGCCATCAGTTTCTCTACTTGTATTAGGGTTTGTAAGCGAACAGCATGGATCCTGATCAGACTGCGCGGATGCGCAGGCTGGTCAGGATCCATGCTGGTTGCAAACGCATTACATTGGTTTTGTCATGACGTGGCTCATTTATACCAATAGTTCTGTTCTTTGACCAAATCTTCAGTAGTTTTATTCTGTAAGCCATTTTAATCCTGGTATTACCTACTCAATAACTTTTGGCCGTACATTCAACCATTTTCAACATTTCAGCCATTTATGTCCATGAGAAATATTCTCTTAACCTACCTACAATATAAACCTGATCTCAAGGCTATAGGTAAGTAAACCTGTCACACTAGTGGTTCAGTCTGTTACTTATTATTATCAATTATATTTATAATAACAGTGTTTAACTAAATAGAAATTTTATTAAAATCTTTACAAAATGTACAAGGACCGACGTTTTCTTCTATAATAAAAATTACCAACAGCTTACATGACTCAATGGTCACAACTCATATGATTGCAATAGTTCACTAATTTATGTTCACAATCAACACGTATAATCTTGATAACCCTAAAGTATGCTAGCAGCTACTGATTCTACCCATTCCCGCACCAGTCTGACAAAATAAAATTAAAATTAAAAATGCAGCAGTACAACATAATATCTGTAACTATACATACTGCGTAATTAGAGTAAAATTAAGACAATTTTGCCATAAGTACATGTGCAAACTGCTTGAGGTGTCTAATATCTCATAAACTTTGATAATGACTACATGAACTGTGAAGCTTACCTATTCAACATGGGTATAAAATGTCATCTTACATTTGCCCAGTGAACCTTATATGTGTGTATTTTCAACACTTGAGAACTTTTATCAAATACAGCCTTATAAGACTTGAGGGCTTTGTTGCAAGCTTGCACACTTTTTCTTATTTTCTCTACAGGCTTAGGTTCAGGATACATGTAAGTGATAGGTGACATGAAAGAGTACAGTTGCAACTCTTTGGTCACTGAAAACCACTCGCAAAGTTCCTTCTTGCATTCTATCTTTTAAGTGAAATTGGATTGAATGGACTTTTTCACTACATATTTTACCAATTTTACATTTCAGTGCTTTCCTTAATACGTGTTTATACTTATACATATTGTACATAGCACGTTTTTTTAAAATTAAACATTTAAATTTTTAAATAGCGAAGGCAAAACCGTATTTATTACAATAAAAGAAAAGCACACTATGGTATTGAAAAAGTACATGTAACCGGCATGTTAATTTGTTAACATCAGTACAACCGTTTAGCTATATCGAACAAATGATTAATTATTGACCACAATGTTCAATTTTCAATATCATTCAAAGTAGTCTATGAATAAACTTGCTGAATAATCAGTTTATTATTGAAATACAAGGCTAAGTCTTGAATATTGAACATACATACCATCTAGAATAGCCTGGGATTTTAAATTATAAAAATCAATCTTAATTGATTAGAGATCCATGTATGTAAGTGTCTTGTTTAAATTACCTAAGTTCCTTTTATATTCCATGAATATGACCTTTGTTATAAAGCATTAAACTGTATTAGTGACAATACATGTAAATAATTAGAAAAAAATACAGCGCAGTGAGTACTTTTGAATATACACTTGATACATTTACCTTTGCTTCAAAATAGTGATTCCAAATTGATTTATCGAAATTTCATTGCAGTTAATTTCAATTCAATCCAAAACCTGGAGGAAAAAAAAAATTCTTTTTCATCAGTTTTTAGTCAAAAATAAATGTCAATATTTTTGTCAGGTGTATACTCTTAAAAAGCACAAAGCAGATTAATATTCAACTTTTAGTATTAAAATTCAACACTCCTCCCAACCCCCACAAAAAGTCTTTTCTAGATAATTTTCTGTCTTTTTGTATTAAAAATTTACCCAGGCGCAGGTAGAGCCTAATAGGGGAATAATGGGGTTATGTTTTGAGCATGTCTTGATGGTCAGGTATATAAAGGGGGATGCATGAGTTTTATCGCTAACATGTGATACAATGAAAAATATGAGCATGACTATGAGAGGTATAATATATACAATGTATGAATCATAAAAAAAATACAAACAAAAGTCATGCTGTAAAAGATAAGCTGATGTTTAAGAGGTTAGAGTCTTAGCTAGACTCGCTACCTTCCACTCCATGTAAAAATGTCAGGCAGAAATTTCTAGCTTCAATTTGACGAAATTGTGAGAAAGAAAAAAAATACAAACACACATATACATAGAGAGTTGTATCAATTCCATTCTACTCATCCACATCCTCTATGTTCCTTAGAGCTACATCTACATGTATACTAAACTATATTTACAGCAATTATTTTTGCTAACAGCAGGTCATCATAACTTAAATAATGTTAAAGAAAATCATTACTTTTCTATTTTGTAATAGGAGTTTATTGCATTTCCATTTTAATCTCCTATCGAAACTTCAAGGTTTTTTTTTTAATTGGGAATTTGGAAAAAAAAATATCATTCAGCCATTTAGTAAATTAAATTATTAATCCTATGGCAGTGTACATGTACTTTCAATCTATACTATCACTTAAACATTTAATTTATTTCTTAAATGACAACCATTTCTATTATTTTATTTACTGACACACCCTAAAACCCACACTTTCTACATGTTTTATACCAGCCCAACAACCCCTATATTTATCCAAAGTAATGTCATTATATTCAAATACCAGTAACTGGCAGTTAAGCATAAATGTATCAATTATTAAAAAATCCTTCAAACATAAACTTTAAATATCTCCTTTGAGATAAAAATAATCCATATCTCCAGAATATATTTAGCAAATACTCAATATAATGTATTGCAATAGTACATGTGAAGAAATAAACTTTAAAGCTTTAAATGTCAAAATATGAGCCTAATAAATCATTTATAATGTGATAACTGATACATACTGATATACAACCAGTAAATTATTATCATAAACTCATCTACTTATAAGTTAATATAAAGTTTAAATTTCAGTCCAAAGATCTAAATGTAATACCAACTGATGCCATAATAGACACAAAGTGAATTTTTTATATCAGTAAGCTTCCAAAAAAAACAATTATTTAACATCAAGAAGGTAGACAAAGTTTATGCTTAACTTCAATTTTAAAGCAGCAAACAAAACTAGCAACATAACTTATTCCATATTCTTCCCATAATTAACAGCAGGTTTTAACTACAGGAACAGACCTGTTCTATCCTTAAGAGAAACTAGTTTTCCATAAGGGATTGCAATTCCAATAATTACGAAGGGCTTAGAACATAGGTAAAATATTTCCTACCTATATACTACATGTACATAAGTATGTAAACCAGCTGTCTGGATTATCAGGTAATCATTGATTTTACCTGTGTGCGTGTGCCTGGCATACTCTTTTAACAGCTGTGTATGTTAGAATGGTACAGACACAACTCTCTCTGTTCTAACAGTGTGTGAATCTATATATACATATAAATGTATCAGCTGATTGAGACCAAGTGCATCTAACAGTACATGTTGATCAAAATGAATGATAATTATGCTAATAACAGTAGCAGATCCAGGTGATACCAAGTAAGACTAATTGATAAGGCTTATCAGACAATACAAGATTTGCAAAGGTGTTTCAAAACTGTTTTATATAGAAAATTATCTTTTGGTTTTGTATTGAAATCACTTGTAATCAGTTTTTAATGTTAACATTCTACTTATAAAATGTACCCAGATCTGCCCATGTTATAATCAAGGAATGTATACTGCCAATGTATAAAATACTATCTTTTTCAAACATCAAATTTCAAAAAATTTATATCTAATTCTTTCATTTTTACTATGGTAAGAAAATTTATAAATCATAACACAAAACTGTAATAGCAATAGAATTCCAAGCTAAACTTTTCATTTTTCTCCAAACAGGTGTAGCAGTTATCCATGCAACATATACACCTATGTTTCTTTAACATTTAAACAATTTCTGTTTTTCCATATCCATGGCAATATACATCAATTCCTGCAAAAAATAAAAGCATTCAGGATAAAAATGTTAAATTCAACATGATACGGAATGTGCGTTCCCATAGCAGTCATAGAGTAACTGAAAATCAACAGCATGCACAGAAGTGTTGATATAACATTGTATGAAAAAAAATCAAATAATTCATTTCAATGTAGATAATACAATGAAAAGAATAAGTCATGGAATGAGAAAATTGTGAGAGGCAATCCTATTTCAGAATGCTGTGTCCTATGTCCACGACATCTCGGAGCGATATGCAATGTGGGGGATCAATGAAATGGGAATGAGTAATGAGACCAGACTTGCCGTTATTACAATCAATGTTTTATTTCGTTTTCTTACAATTTGTTTTTTTATAAAGTTATGTTTATGTTAATGATGTGATGCAAAATGACAAATGGACACTCCACAAAATATCATGAAACAACAAACCACCATACCCCACCACACACTACTACATTATGTATTCAGAAAGGTCAAAAAGAACATACTGAAGGACAAACACAAATTCACCAATATCCAATAAATTATCTCAATACCTATTAGAAATAACCTTAATTTTCTATTTAAACTTTTAAAGCAATGATTTCAATTATTTTATACAAACACAGGTTGCTAGGATCAGAGTCACAAAAACAAATCTTCAAGTTTAAAATCAAACATGCAAAATCAATATAATGTTTATAATATTGATTTTATTGCAATCTTATTCATTACCTGAATAAATCATTTCCTTTTGCAAATGAAGAATACAATATTCCTATGAACAACTTTTTATCCAGTCAGCATTTTCAACTAACCGACAAACTATACAGTACATGTATATATGAATACACCATGAATCACATGACTACTTCTACCATAGCCATATGTTACACTTCAATAAAACAACTTAGCAACCAAACTAAAACTGCTTGAACAATTCAAAGAAATAAATGAGGATCAATCAACTGAAGTAAATCCAATGTTATCTTAAACACCACTCTAACAATGCAACGATTATGTTCAATGTCATGAGATGTGGGTGTAAACTGGATGAGGTTTTGACCTGCGCCAAAATTAAATTTCAGGAATGTTAAATTTCTACCCAAAATGAACTAGAACTTGATACAATTATTTAATAGTCAAAGAAAACCAGAAATACCTCTCCATATGCTAAAACTGTTGTAATCTTGAGACTCAATCATATTTCCCTCGACATTAGTAAAACGTGAATGTAGGTCGAGCAGAGTCATCCTTTTCACCAGCTGTCAAAATTACAACTGAGGTTGGGTTATCAGACCCAAATGATCCCCTAGTGTAAATCAGCTGATTCCAGCTAGGAGTTACTCCGAACTGAAGATGTATGTTTAACAGCGCAGAATGTACGACTGCTCTCGATAGGTGGTAACTCAGTTATGTTGGCACATGTTCACGACTGCGTGCCTCCACATGATTATCGATGTCGAGGGAAACACGTCACCACACAAACTGAGATTAAAGTCTAATTTAGGTTTAAATACACGCGAAAAAAATCCATCACAAACTAAAACAATGATTAAAGTAGCAATTCCTTGCCATTTTGCATCACATAACATAAAATTTATTACATTCCAAAAAATTTTGCAACCGAACCGAGATAGAAACCGGCAGCAGGTCTGGTCGCCATATTGAAAAACAGGAAACGTCATTGGCATATTTCCCCCATCGCAAACAAACCAATTTCTCATGATATGGCCTAACCTGCGCCTTGGTTAGATCGTTTAGTGACCCCATTTTCTGATTCTGTATCCAAAGGTCTTTTTCTAGACTCAGAAGTGTCCATATCAGTTCCATTCATACCGTCGTAGTTCATTGCCATGTCTTACTGCGCCCAGATCTCGTGGGGTAACGCAACGTCGCGCGTTGAACGAGAGCTAAATTTGACAGGTCGATTTTCTGGGAGAATTCTACTTTCTTTTGCACGGAAATTGTAAATAAAGAAATATCTTACAAAAAAGTCATGAATGAAACTTCTACTTAATTTTATTACTCTGTCCAATGCAATAATTTGTTGCTGATAACAACGTGTGGTCTATTTATATTTTTCTTTAGATTCAACCTATGCCACGCCCCCTTCCCTGATCCACTATTCATTTTGGCTGTGTTCCACAACATAATATATATAACCTTAAAATGATATTGAAATAAAGGAAACGCAATTTTATCTACGCAATATTCAGTAAGCATGTTTTTGTATAAAATAAAATAGTTGTTATCAATATTTGATTTTATTTGATATTTTTCTTAATTTCTACACTAAACCTCATTGATTAATTTACAAATCATGGGATTCTGACGATTTTTTATGACCGAGTCAATGTTTCTACTTCTAACGGAAATTCTTACTTTACTGGATGTCGGCTGGTCGTTTTGTTTTATTAAGTTAGCGCAACAATGAAGCTACACGTATACCACCGCAAAATCACTAATGTCGTAATGAACACATGTGTATTGATGTATTGATCCGGTGGAATATTCCGCAAAATATCATTTTTTATATATTCAACATAATCTAAAAACTTAACTTATGGTATTGTGTGTTTCTTTCAATCAGTCACTCATTTTGAGTCAACGTGACTGCATCGTTAAACTTCTGTCAGTTAACATGTACTATACTATACCGCATGTAGAATATCAATAAGCTCTAAAGAATTGTCTCCCTTTGTTTTGGACATTGCGGTTGCATATTTGATTATGTCACTAAATATTTTTGCCAAGATTTCACGACATCTAATGTATTTTCAAGTTAGCTTAAGTATTGCATTTATAATGCATTAATTATTAAAAATACTGCTAATCGCTTTCTTACTAACTGAAAAATGTTAATTAACGTAAATAAAATATGTTTATAAATTAGAATAAGTTTCAATAACTGGACAAATGAAAATTAAGCACCCTCGCATTTTCAATGACACAAAGTCACAAATATCAATAATGACTGTTCAGTATTACATATAAAACTATGAAAAGTGTTAATTAAAGCTGTTATATCAGTGTTTTATGTGACAAAGCAGCAAATAATAAATAATCCGATATCTGTTTTAGTGGACAGTCTACAAAAAAATCAATTCTTACATAAACATTATTAACACTCACTATCTGCAGATTCCCACTATATACTGTATGCAGTCAAATTATATACTGTATGCAGTCAAATGATGCTTTATTATGTATAAGTTTTGAACAAAGAAAGCTTTAATAGCGAATAAATCGGTACTATTAGAGATATTACTGATACAAACTTTTGATACATTTGGAATAGAAAAAAAATGCGCGAATAAAAATTGCGTGTTACCTAGAATCATCTATCATATAATTATTATAATAAGGTCTAACACGATTGTCCTATGTTTTGTCCTGCAAAAGTTGTAAATATAGAGTCACACAATTTTATTATCAAAACAAACACAATAGGTTCAGCGCCGTAGCCACACTGAGGCAAACTGAATTTGAGAGGTTATGTAGAAAAATCGGTCTTGAAAAAAAAGAAGAAAAGACTCCAATTTAAGTTAAAGTAGAATGGACTCGAACATCTATGAGGGATGCTAGATTAAATGGTCTAGCTTTGATAATCATAAACAAATGTCACTTGACTATAATGATATTTTAAAGTTATGGGATTTTCCTGGAAACCTTGGTCTTTTCATAAAACTGTGAATCTGAGCTAATAGATAAATTAAATAAAATGTATTTCAAATCTTGTAAAGAACATAAATTTTCTTGTTTGTTTTCCAAAATATAAATGTAAAATTTAATAAAATGGTATAAAGATGATTAGTTTTAGAATGACAAAAAACTTGTCGGTCGTCGAACGTTAACTTTTTAAGCGAGGTGAAACGGTGCGATACGGAATAATGGCTGATTTTAGACTGTAAACACATGTCAGAGTGAATATATTTTACAAAAATGTAAGTCATTGACTATTAAAATAGCAAATTTTGTTTTTCTTTTAAGTGGGGCTCTGACCTACATGTATTTCCGCGAAATCATAGACGTTTAGGTAAAAAAGCAAAAAAGTTATTGACGGTAAATTGGCAGTAACTGATTTTGTGTCCGTGACAAAGTCATAAAAAAATTAAAACCAATATCGTGAATGTTAGTTGCTATTTCTTCTTACAACTTATGTAGATACTCATTTTTGAGCTGCATATCAAATTCTTCTGTGCTAAGATATTCATCTACGTATTGTCGTCAAAATATTTATGTGCACGACGGGTTTGGTGCGATAAGATAACTGTACGCTACAAAAGGTCCCGCTAATATAATAGCTACTTAAACTATATAATTATATATTATAATTATAATTTCTCGCTCATGACTTTCTTTCTTTCTTATATATATAATTTTTTTCCTTTTTTTCCTTGGGGGGGGGGGGGGGGGGTTGATGGTTGGGTTCCAATCATGTCTGATACTAGAACTTTTCTACGTATAAAATGGGTAAAATATTTATCATAAATGCATTTTTATCCTTCTTTACTAAAATGTTTTTACTTTTACAAAGTATTTCAGAATCCATGAACGTGATGTACGACCACCAGGAAAAGGAGAAGTAAAAAGGAAATGTCATTGGGAGTGCAATCTGTTAGAATGCGTTACAAGGTATAAGGACTGATATTGCCTTTGTAAGTTTTAGGACAAACCAAGGGCATGCTACTTAGTTAATCAAAAGAAAGAACTCGAAAGTTTTGACAATTTATTTCAAACAAACATCTCAACAATAGTGAACAAGAATACAAGGGAGATTATGTGTACAATGCAAATCCATTTTAGATAGTTTGCAGTTCGAATGTAAAATTTCGTGATTGTTCTTTAAATCAGAGACATAGATATCTATGTCTCTGTTTAAATGCTATATACATCTATGCTAATTCACTCACTATTTACACTTGATGAATATTGAAATAAATGTAAAACTCTTGTTGGGGTTTCTGTTGTTATAAATCTTTCTTATAAAATAATTATAAAATCTTAATCATGTATATGGTTTTATCTCGACTGGTGGATTTCCGGGTGTTACATAAATTTCCATGTTGAAATTTCTGTGCGTACATGACTATTATTTCAAATAATGAATTTTATTCCGGACGCATTTAACACTGCAAATTAAATACGTGTATGTAAATGGAAGTATTTTTATAAGTTGACGTATTTTTTAAGCTAAACACAGAAAATCGGAAAGTATACTGTAAATAGTTTATATTATAATAATGATCATCTTACGATCGATAGTACAAGTATATTTCGTTGTCTTACCTATATGATAGTATCCGAAATAGTCGGAAACATTAACATGCCACCACTGAACATCAATTTTCTCATGAAAACTTGATAAAAATCAAGAAAAAAAAAAGAACATGAAACAAAATACATTATCATAACAAGAATCTGTTTATAATTAAAACTACGAGTCAAGTATAAAGTTACCAAGTTACATGTTCTTACAATAAGTTTTGCATGAAAAGTTTCGAGAGAAAAAATGCCTATTTTTGCCTTATTTACAACAAATGCATATATTCACAAAGCTATATTTAATATCTGTAATATAAGTAAGTATCTGAAATATTGAGTCAGTTGCGCAACCTTTTTTGATGACGACAACGACGTTGAAGATAAATATTCGTTATTTTTTTATTTTCTATCGCAACGGACGGCGTAAACTCTTTTTATTTGGTAGAATACCACTAAATAATTAAAGTATATTAGCAATAGGTATTTTTTTTTAATTCAATTAAATTATGATCTACGGAACAATAATCAATGAAAAATAAACCATTATCTCATAAGATCATAGAATTGGTCCACCAGTTCAGTCTGTGTCACTTTAACAAAATGACAGCATCAAATGAATATTACATTAAATTCAACATAATCAAACACAAAGTCTGTAGATTTTGACATACATTTCATAATACTTAAGAAACGATTTGGTTATGATCTCCCTGTGATTATGTATGAACAAAATGAATACTATGTGCCATGTCGTATTTTCGCTCCGCAGGGCGCCAGGCGAAAACACGATAATACGAGAAAGTCATCACAAAGTAGCGACTTACTCGTATTTTCCCTCCTCGAGGCGCGTGGCAAAACACGACAAAGTGGTGACTTTGTCGTGCTGCCGTGTTTTCACCTGCCGCCCATTGGGGCGAAAATACGACATTGCACAAATCAGCTACCATAATATTTCATTTTTACGTATTGCGCCTCGCGACAAAGTATTGACTTGTCGTATTATCGAGTTTTCGCATTGCCCCCCCCCCCTCCCCTCTGGAGCGAAAGTACGACAAAATGTTGACTTTGTCGTTTTATCGTATTTTCGCCTGGCGCCCCCCTCGGAGCAAAAGTACGACATGGTTCAAATTAGCCGCCATAGAATACAATAATGGCAGAAATGAAAAAAAACTTAAATTGTGTTTTTGTTCGTCATTCCCTATGCTACTGACTAAACAAACTGAGAACAAATGGACAAACTGAACAAATTTCATCTGACCACAGACTATAGACCTTTTTACAATACGATTCCATTGTAACGAATGTTGCATTTCGCGCATGCGCATTCTGCTTAGGGCAAAACGCAATAATGATGTCTACAGTTTATCATACTTTAAGGCTTAATAGATGCGATTTCATGTGATGCCACCCAAAAAATATTAAATTTTGGATGACTTAAGGCGGTAAGTACTGAAAATGTGAATTTATTTTTAACAGATCTGCGAAAATGTGCGGGACTAATAATTCAATGGTCAAAAAGGGCACTCACATGTGCGTTTGTTTAAGGTATCATTAGACAACTTTTCCATCAGTAATTTAAATTAAAACAGGAGGGTGTTAAAGATAAAAGTTTAGTACCCCTGTATTACATAACATTACACAATTTGTATCGTACACTTCCTTTGAATAACTGGATAGGTCAGGCGGCAAGTGTCAAACAGATTGGCACGCGAACGGTTGTTCATTCAACCGGGAAGTTTAAATACCATGATATACATGTGTAGTTAATCAGTTACGCTTATCAAAATGGTAATTTATGTAACTTTTAAATATACCGATCAATGTTTATGGATTTTGAGGAGAGAAAAATTGTGTGACGCGCATTATTAGAAATAACATGTATTACGAAGAAGCGGATAAAATGTGTGTTTCCAAACAACCCATCTTAACTTCTCAAGATTTTGAAAAAAATAATTGATTATTTAAAATCTATTTTTGTGACCTTAATTTTACTGTTTGCATCACAGGCAAATCGGATAAAGAATATAATCAGGTATATTGTACCTGGGACTTATGTCCCAGATTGTACACTAAAAATGCATTATCACCTGTTCTGATATTTTTCTCAGAATGATAATTAATCTTGATTTCATGTCATAAAATTTCTTTTGTTTTTATATGAACTATTTCAACAGCAAATAAGTTGACTTTCCATTTGCTTTCAGATATATTTCCACATCTTCTTTAAAAAAATGATCTCAGTGTCAGGTCCGCGATTGTAAATTCTTAAACAAGTATCTTTTCCATGCCTTTTTATATATGGCATTCTTCGCCACAAAGCTATAAAGTCATCTTTTCTATATTTGTTAAAAGCTATTTTATATAATTTTCTACCGTTAACCTTGAACTAACTCGGAATTGTCTATGAACGTCTATTATATTTCTATGTAGGGCGATGCAGTTTTTTTGCGCATGCGCCAGAAAATTCTAATTCCGGCCGATTTTACATAGCAACGGACCGCGTCGTAAAAAGGTCTATAGGCATTTACACGGTGCAATAATAAACGATTTCTTGGGACGTATGTAGGGAATGAGGATTAAACTGACCAAATCAGTTTATTCCGAAGCCAATTCCGTGGCTGAAAACAAGCTATTTTTACAGAATACGTGATGGCTGCATTGGGTTTGCTGAGATGAGGGAGGGATATTGAAACTTACACCCACTAGCATCGGCCTTAGTAATAACAATTCATTGTTGAGATTAAAAAACACCTGAAGAAGCGGAAAGACGTGGCTGCTATGAGATGATATATCTGATAAAATGAGATACAAGACTTTCTACTGATGTTCAAGAGCACTTTCTTCTTGTTGTTGTTTTTTGTGGGTTTTGTTTATTTATTTTTTAATCATGTTTTTTCTCTCGATAATTACTTTCTAAACACTGTTATCCGATATACTTAGATAGATATTAGATATATATGTATGTCACAAGATATTTATGAAATACATACCAAATAGTAAAAAATACTTTCAGTGTTTTCTGAAGGCCGTATCGTGTAAACTCATAATGACGCCCTTGGTATATTTTATTCAGGATAATTTACGTGACATAGTATTGGTTCTTATTATAACTTCATTCGCTTTTCTCACATGATTACTTCTACGAGACTCTGTCTGTTTTGTATTATAATCAAAGAGCATTGTATTTCATAGAAACCTACATCTCATTAGATATTGAAGTGCTTAAAGCCAATACATCAAAACAAAATGATATGAAATTAGCGCAGCTTCTAAATCAATCAAATAATTTATCAAGTTTACAGAAACATGGAAATACATTAACTCTATCAACAACCATTCAACAAGGTCACATAGTGTGTCACAGATAATGGACATGACTAGCATTAGTTGTTTTTTACTTTATTTCATAACGTGCACTATTTATCTCCAATCTCCTACGCAGTGATTTCCCCTTATCAGTACAGATTACAATTCTGCCAAGGGAGGTAATCACTGTGAGGAGTTTGTTAGCGTTGTTCAATTGTATTTTACGGTCATATCTAAGCTGAAAATGGAATCAGTTATTGTCTAACATGAATGTATTAAGCATGCGCAGCATGATAAAATGTTGATAGCCAAATAAACGCATAGCATCATACTGGAATGCAGACGAGACAAGGTTATTTATTGTTATGCTGATTAAGCAGAGCAAATGCAGTTCATAACTAATTATTATGTTGTGGCAGGTAAGTTCAGCATAGTATCAACGGATCCATTGTAAAATAAAGGCATCGTCTATGTACCTTAAACAGGACACAATAAAATTGTGAGTAAGGTTATTATGTTAAGTACTTGAAATAGAAAAGGAAGAAGAAGAAAATGGCCTAAAACGGCAATATTGAAAAAAGTAGCAGTCATGATAGCATTACAGTATTAAATGTTTTTAAATATCAACAACATAATTACTTTATAACATGCTATTTCTGTACATGTATTTTGACGAAAGATATCTATATTATACCAATGCACATGCAATGAGACGTAAATAAATTATGTGAACTTTGAACTTGAACAAATAACATCTAACCCAAATGAAATTTACAATATCAATTGTTCATAAATCATAAACCATAAACAAATACCAGACATTTTACTACACAATGAAACCTTTAAACATAATTTTGTACTGTATTAGGTAATTAAATTTTAAATTCCTACGGATATTACGCAACAAAAATTATTTAATTGTTGTTAACGATATAGGTGCTACTATTCTCGATAATTCTAGATAATTGATCGATGTCGAGATAATATATGATATAAGAGACATAATTATGTCCAAGATAATAATTATTATCTTAATATATTTTAATAGTCGCTACGTGTTAAATTTCTGTAATATTTTCAACAATGGTTAATGAGATGTGATACAAGTCTGAAGTATGAAGAGAGAAAACAAATGCGGTTAATACCACAGCTTAATTATTTTACATGAAGCAAATTTTATGCAGAAAAAGTTGGCGCAATTTCCGTCACATTGATTTATTGCCTATTTAAGCACATAGTTCATCTATGCACGATTTTACATATGTCACTGGCACTTGCAATAAATAACTTAAAATTAAGTGATTCTAATATTCGTCTTACATAGCCTTTGTTTGACCTTTATAGATTTCATTACTTTTCATCTTTATTCATGTTAAAAACGTTTAAACGATTTTCATGGTAGGCCATTTTGCACAAAATGATTCCTCTGGAAAAGACGGAATGAGTGAATAATCTGAAATTTTGCACAAAAGTTATTGGAATAAAGTTACAACAAATTGTATAAAAATCTCGAGAAAAAAATTAAGTCACCTCATGTCAAAAATCTCAGTGGAGATACAAGAAACTTTATCGTATAGTAAAAATAATTGTAGTATCTTCTATTGCCAATAATGTGCGACACGATTTCAGAAAACTTTTGGAAATTTTGTTAATAGGATTGACAAAATAAACGTCACCAAGTTGATCTATTTACATGTACAGTATCAGTGTAAGACAGTATCGGGTGGAAATTGTAAAATGTTCGACTCGGGGGTTCAGTCTTACAGTAGTTTAGAGTTTGTAATATGCAAAATTATAGGAAAAACAAAATTATTTTCATGTGGTCATGTTAGAAACAGTTTCATTAGAATGTAGAAATTGGTGAAAGATATTGATTGTGAATACTTAATGAATGAACATATTGGGAATGCAAAGCCTGCAATATCCTTGATTGAGTCCAAATTGTTTGAGTTAGAAAAAGAAAAATGGAAATATATGTTATGTAGGGATCAGTCCATTAGAGGAAATTGTGGTAACAAACTCAGAACATACAGATTGTTTCAGTCAGATTTTGAAACTGAAAAATACTTTTTTAAGAATATACCCTTTCAATATAGATCTGCATATACAAAATTTAGTTGTGGTGTAGCCCCTCTTAGATTAGAGACTGGAAGATATTAAAATTTACCTTTAGATAGAAGATGCTGTTTTAACTGCAAAGGTGTTGTTGAGGATGAAAAACATGTTCTCTTTTATTGCCCTTTATATGATGAAGTCAGGGCTGTTTTAGTCTCAGCTTTAAATGATGTATCAGATGTAATGTATGATAATATGTCAGACAATGATAAACTAATTTTGACTCTTAGTAATGAAAAATTAATGTATGTTGCTGCCAAAACCTGCTATATAACATTTTAAAAGATAGGAAAACATTTTTATATTCTAGGTCATAGCCGCTAAGCAGTTTTACTAATTTTATATAAGCAGTTTTAATTTTATTTTCTTTTAACAAGTCTTATTCTAGGTATATACATGTACATATATGTATCATAGATGTTGAGTGTGTACATTTAAATTGTGAAATATACATTGTAATGCATAAGGTAATTGAACAAATTCTAGTCAATCTTTCTAAAAAAAATTTTAGACATGTGTTAACTAATACATAGACTGTTTAAGGTAATGTACATGTGTTTTATGTCAATATAAATATATAGTCTCTTACAAATCATTAATTAATTGGTCACTTATATGTAAACTGTAGATTAGATATGTAAAATGTATGTGTATATATAATGTGAATGAGACTGAAATAAAATATTCTTATCTTATCTTGTAAAACATGCCATTGATACCAAATCTTAGGTTAATTTACCTTTAATTAAAATAATTAACGACAGATAATATTATTAAACCTTTATTAGACCGTGAACGCGCGAAAATAGTTCGTAGTAAGGATGAATAATTACGCACTTCCTACAGATAAAATACCGGTGACAACCGTTTTATCATTGGCTAATGGGGGTTTATGACAATTCACGTTACGATAAAAATAGGTTAAGAAAATCCCGACAATGTGACTGATTTATAAAGCGTTATTTGTTGACTAATACGCATGTCGCAAGTGTATCAAAGAAATTGACAGAAACTTAATACTTCTTTGTTTAACGTAGAAGGTGCATGTTGTGGGGATACGTTTAGGATATTGTTTTCATCATTAATATTGGACATTAGGGAAACGGTTAAAGTTAAGAAAATTAAGAAAAAGTGACACAATTTAACGTAATGGAATTAAAATTGTTTCTGGTAAGTTTTCTTCTTTTTCTCTTTTGTAATAAATTTGTTGAAAATGATAATAATGTTATAGAAAACCATCAATTATGCTATAGAAAATGATCATTATTGTTATAGAAGAATATATTAAAACTACATATGTTATTGTATGAACTTACTGATAAGGCAGGGCATATACGTTATTAATTACAGTAATAAGTAATTATTATTCTATAATACTGATAGAAAAAACTTGACATTTTATCATATTTCTTGAAAAACAAAAATAACAACAAAAATATTTTAAAAAGTAAATAATTTTGTTCAGTTTGATTGGCGAAATATTAATTTTAGTGACATAATTTTCCATATCATACTTAATTTGTTTAAATAACAATGATGCAACATAATCTACCACAACACCAATTCTATAATACCAGTAAATAGTTAGCCTAGTGTGCCTTTAATTACAGTCTTGACTTGACTTGACAGTCTGGCCAGATTCTGTTCTGTTGTCACCTCGATCAGTTTTAGCTTAAAATCACACTGAACATCCCAAATCTCACAGCGGGATAAATTATACAAATATAAATGCAGCAGTAATAAGGGTTAGCATAAACACTAATAAATATATTATATATTTAAGCGACGGAAGTTTACGTGAAAATAATCTTTATTTACTATCAAATGGATAAAACCATATATATATTTTTTATCGAAATGTAAACAATCGTTATGTATACTTGTTGTGCTTTCACGTAAAAATACTCCTTAAAATTTCAAGAATTTACATAAATTTAAATGGCTGTCAGATTTTTTGTAGTATTTGTCACGAAACCAGTAGGCGAACATGAACTTTATGATTCTTAACAAATAAATAATGGTGTATTTTTTTGCACATTAATTATCCTCTTTCGTATCTTGTATGTTGACGGTTTACTTTTCAGGTCATGGCACTAATTAGTGTCCACGTAAATGCTCAGTTACAAACAGAAAATACAACAATGGCAGGGTTTAATACAACAGATACATTTCAACAAAGTACCATAACAGAAAACCCGACTATGTCAAACGTAACAGAAAACCAGACTAAGTCGAACGAAATAGACCAGACAACAGGGGCTTCATTTAATACTGGTACAGATCAGACTACTCAGCAGTCAATTGTTGCTGTAGAGGGAACAACTGAAGAATCTACATCTGTAAAATATACTTCTACAACAAAGCAAACTTCAGAGGGGGCGTTTGATGTTACAACTTCAACACATGTAGAAAGGAGTACTATATCTGGTAAAGAAGTTGATTCAAAAACAGAATTATCAACAGAAAATACGATGTCTGGGAAAACAGAAATAAGCACCATTACAACTGGTGAACAACAACAAGAAGTTACTACTACTTTATCAACAACTGAGACAACAACAAAGACAACTGATAAATCTACCTCTGTTATGCCGGAGGAAAAGGCTACAACCATGGTTAATGAAAAAGATCATGGCATAATGAGCACCGACTCAGTAGAGAAAACATCAACGGAAAATTCTCCGGAACAATTTTTCAATTGGTTGGACAACATCAAACAGAAGAACCATACTGATACAAACGTGACAGAAAAGGAAGAAAACACTAACAACGACAGAACAAATAACTTGAAGAATTCAATACATGACCATCACCATAACGAGATTAATCCGGAAAAAATGTCACCAAAGGAATTTTTTGAATGGTTAGATAGTATTCACCCAGATTCTAATTCAACCACAGTTAAAAATATAATTGATACAAGCATTATATCAACAGGAAAACTAATTATTGTCATAAGTACAATATGTGGTACTTTTGTATTGTTTGTGGCAATCTTAATAGCTATATCATGTTGTAGAAGGAAAAGAAACTTGAGAAATGACTCAGAAAAAAGCGATTTTTCTATGAATTCAGTCATTTCAGTTCCAGAGAAACGAAACTCTCAAAGTTCTGACATATTTACGCCTGACAAAAATGGATTTAATAACGTATTCATGGGAATCCCAGCTAATAATGATGTGTGGAAAAAATTAGAACAACTTTCCCCTACCGCTTCCGCAGTAATGCCGGAAAGTACTAAAATGTAAATATAAAACGATTTATCGAATTTATTCACATGTTTATTGATTATGTGATTCAGGTTGTTTGTAAAACCCCTCGATAGAGGAAGTGATTTAAATCCGGTTTCGTAACTTATTTTCCGACAATTTGTCAATCCTTTATTACGATTTTGCCTACGTTCGTTATTATTCGCAAAATGTGTTTACGTGTGTTTAACGTTAAAACTACCCTCCTGTTGATGAAAAAGTTTCCGAAACTGATAACTATATATTTAATGACGCATTAAGTTTGTTACTATTTTTAGTTTTATATATAAGCTGATTGACTCTTGATTGTTTACATGTTGCTATTTTTTTTTGTTTTTATTTTTTTCTTCTTCAATGTTTAATTTTTCACTTTTTTTAAATTTCATTTTATGTAGGTAAATCATCATTGATCATTTTGTTTGGGAATTACTCTAAATAATTTTATTTCGCCATCATTATAAACTTGTGTTATATTTTGTTCTTGTTGTGTCAAAATACAGACTCGTGATATTACTGTTATTATTATATCATCAGGATAGACGCATTTACCAAAACATTTATTATAATTATTATATTTTTTTCCTCATTGTTCAAATGTATTGTTTACATATTAGAACTGAATTCCCATGATCTCATTTTCACAGATATGTGTTACATATATTTTACAGAGGTCTAGTCGAGTTTAGAAACACTGTTTATGAATTTATCATCATTAATTAGGTGCTATTTTTAAAATATGACTCTGATTTTTAAAAATATATATGAAACATCGTATATATATTTAGAAGGGAGTGGGGGAGGAGTGAATACGGGTTTTCATTGTAGGTTTAAAATCAAAATGTATAACTATGATAAAAAATAGATTCATTGTAGGTCATAGTTATTCTTGTCATTTAGAATTAGAACAATTAAACCATATCACGCACATATGAAGATATTTTTTCGTCAAACAAACGCACATCAATGACAGTTTTGCGTATTAAAACAGTTACATAATTAATTGTACCTTTTTTCTGGTAAACGACATGTAATGAATGCAGAAATAATGAGTTATTTTCTTAGTTCCCTATAACACCAGTAAATTCAAATTTCCTATACAGAAAAATCGATGATTATAGATGATACATTCTGTATTTTAAGTATTATTTTCTTACTGTTCCCATCTTATTAGAGAATTATGCTTATATCAATTAGTTTCATCGCAAACTTTTTTGTCCGTAGAAGAAAAAAACAATGTTGCGAAATTCTTGGCATGTTTCTTTTGATTTAACTAACTGAAGCACGAGGTTTAAGTAAAGTAGTTTTAACTATTTTGATCATTGATATCTTTACATTCACCTTCAACAAAGGTTTGCGACTCATTAATCACCTAATTGCTATTTTTTCCCATTTATCGGTGTTTCTGTTGTTTTTTTTATTCATTTTTCCCTTTTAAATGAACGTCATGGTTTTTAATGTAAGCTTTAAAGTTGACGAGAAACAGTCATTAATGTCCATCCACGCCACAAAAGTTCACATTGTAAAGAAAGATAGAACGACAAAAACATGTTTATACGTAAATATACTCGTTAACGCATATCCTAATGTTCCGCTTACCTGTCCGCTAATTGATTACACGTCTACGTTATTTAATTGCGTATCTATTCGTGAGTAAGACGTTTTCAATAAATCAAATTGCAGGTATTCATATGTTTATATGCAGCCGAGATATTGTCATACATCGAATATTGATATTTTTATAATTCACAGTCATCAGTTTATCACCTTTTTATATGACTTTTGCTATTTTTACCAATTGTTTATACACATTATATGAATGAGATCGTTTCAGGTTGTCAATAAATTATTACCAAGTGATTACTTACTAATTGTCGTTTATTTGTTATTGATTATATTCTAAGAAGAGTGTCTGCTGACTCCGGGGCATAACAAGGCAATAATTTGTAAATACAAACACAGTGGGCAGAAAACAAAACAAAATGTGGACAGAGTTACCTATTTTGTTTATCAGCTTTAATGAGAACGGCCTAATTCTTGTAAGATCTAAAATGCAATAATCGAATGGTTCAATCTGATTAAAATCAGCTCTAAATAATGCTTCGCTTTTAGATCTGACCGTAACCAAATACGAAGTCATTTATGATGACAGCGAATCATCGGCGAGCTTTCATAATGTTGAAAGCGAAATGGTTTCTAATTTTAATCCTGGGAAAACCAATACTGCTCGAGTAGGTAATTTTAACGATATGGCGTTCAGGTAAACTGGCATAACAATCTTGCCCATTAAAAATTGACTCTATTATTTCAATTTAGTTTGTTAAAAATTACTTAAATTTTTTTTCTAACAAATATCAATAATTTCTTCAAATTCCACAGATAACGGTATTTTGATATTTCTTCTAATGCCTATGTAAAAACCGGTTTGATTGCATGGCTAAAAATAGCTTTCTCGGGAAATCCGAATTATAATGAAGGCGGAACATATACGGTCGTCATCAGATCTACCTAAAAGAAATAAGTAGATCTGAACTTTAGTCAGATCGCGAAAGGGCAGAATTTAATTGACATCCAAAATAGAAACATCAGTATATGCATGAGCTAATCGGTAAAGCTAATTCCCTTGACATTTGAACATTTTATTAGGTTGGAGTTATCATAAATAACATTGTTGCAATCCATTGATTTCAAACCATTCTTTTTCAAATAAGTTAAATATTGCTTGAAACATTTTTTCGTTGGACGTTTCATAATGTTGTGACTAATAAATGTTAACTGTATAGTCACAGGTACAGTCTCAGTAATATGTATGATAAGTAAAACATATGTAACTTATCATTCTGATTGAAAACTTAAAACTTAAGAAAACACTATACAGTAGGGGCCTATGTATCTTAAAAGTATAACAATTTCTCTTCTTAATTCAATCTAAGTCCACCATTGCACATGTTGAAAATCCTTCAAAATTGATATAACACTGAGCGTATAACAATTATTTAGAAGTGGAAAGATCCCTCAAGAGCAATGAAAATAAAGAATAAAGCGAAAATTCGTTTTTGATTGAGTCTACGCATGAGTGATAATAATGCGCAACATCTCTCACGTCCCTCCCCCCTCCAGCACCGGCTTTAGGAGTATTCAAACTTCAACACAATATAGCATTGCAGCCAATGATCCCGAAGAAATAAAACACCACAGAGATGACGTATATGCAAATTATTTACAGCTACCACACAATATTTGACGCCTGTTGATGCGAGTATAACATCTCTCACGCCCACTATTCCGAGATTAATTAGTATTCGTAAAGATGAAAAAATATAACAACAGTGAAGAATTGTACGAGGTAACTTTTTACACCTGCCTATAGAACTTGGCTCCTGCACTTTAAAGAATTACAATTCCGCAAAGTATACATGCAGGTATTTCATTGGTGCAACATTAAAATATAAACAAAGATATATTTTAACAATATATCTATCTTTTCTTACCATGAAGGTCCATAAAGAAAGTAAACATATTATTCTGACGACTCGACATTTAAACATGATGATTTTTAAGGTTAAAAGATCCGGAGATATGTTCATACAATGATCATGAAACATTTTATATTGTTCAGGCTATGTGCCAAATCACGAAAGCAGTGTACAGTCCCCGCTCTAGAAAGCAAAAAAAAAAAACCTAAAAAAAAAAAAAAAAAAAAAAAAAAAAAATATTTTTGGAAAAGGGCAAATGACAAATTTTAAAATAAGGTATTATATACGAACATGTCAAAATAATTAAGACAGCAATATGAAAGCTACATGTATTTAAACGCGCCATAAGTATTTTTAAATGTTGTACTATCGACTATACATGTACTTAACCTATGCAATAAAATTTCTATCGGTTGCAGGGAAACATTAAAGGTTTGAACCTAAGAACATTAAAGTATTTATTTTTTAAAAGCTATTAATTACCTTTTAGTGTCCTGATACAGTTTCCAAAAATAGTTAGTTATAGTGAACTGGTATTTTTATGGAAGTCAATATACTACTTTTACATTTCGCTACCCCTCTCAGAAATGTTTTCACATTCAACGTGGTAAACATTTCACATGTTCTTATTCTATTATTACAATATAATAACACACTTCCTTGCCCATGCCGAAGAAAGAAAAATGTATTTATTTCTTAGGAATAATGCACTTTAAAAGATACTACTACAGACAAACAACATAATTTTAAGGTAACATTGTAAACGAAACTGTTATTCAAGAATCCAAACACTATTCATTATGTGCAAAATAATTCTGCCAGTCAAACAGAAATAATTTAAATCATGTGTCAAACATAAATAATTTGTTTTACGTTGATTTTTGAAATATTTGCAAGTTTGAAAATATAATCAAGCTGTCTATGTATAAACATGTCCTTTGCCCAATGCAACGATATATGCACGAAAATTGGGGAAAGGCTCGACAAGCAGGGATTGTTTTCACAAAGAAAATAACATAATCAGGAATAAGGAGTCCCAATTTTGTTTTAAGTACTTACATTATGAAGCAAAACACTTTGATGTTTTGTGTTGTAGGTCTGGGTTACCCTCGCCACCTAAAATTACCATGGGCAACTAAAAGATAAATCAATGGAATGTTTACTTATAAAATTATGTTTTCATTTCTCTCTAGGCATCTTCCCTTTCTACATTTTTTACTCACAACATCCGTGGCCCTCTATTGTTTAATATATTCATAAATCATGATATATATTTTTGTAAATAAATGCACTTATCGCAGAGGACAACATTTATCTTTTCATACTGAAAATTTTGAAGTACTGACTTGTACTCTAGATCAGGAAAACAATTTCCCTTTAAAATTGGTCTCAATGTGATGAAATGCAAACCCAAAAGAGTTTTTAGCCTTTGCAGTTTGGAAAAAACGTTCAACGTTCATAAAATCAATATTTGTAAAAACTTGGCAGCAAACAGATGAATATCATCAAAAGTATACACGTAGGTCTTAACTTAAATCAAATGAACAGGTTAACATTCTTTCACATTTTTAAACTTTAACTATTTTGTCCAATGCCTTGGCATTTTTGCTCAGAATACAGTGCAAGAAATATAGTAAAAAAAATCACGAATAGGCTCTTAGATTTGTCTACAATGATTTTGTTTCTACATATGAGGTTTTACTTAAAAGTTAATATGTCAATATTAAAAATGAGGAGAATGATGACTATGGCAATTGAAACGTTTAAGATCCTTCATGATATGTCCCCTGTGGTTTTATCTTATTATTAACAAGAGCAATCAGTGATCACATGTGTCGCCTCATGATGGCCAATTTCATGTTGGGACAAGTTTTGTGACAGACGGACAGACAGATGGACAGTGCACAACTTGACTTGGTACTGATCATTCCTGTAAAGTATGGATAAAATTGCACCAGTAGTTTATGAGTAGTAGTCCGGACAGGCTTTTGTGTATCTGGCAACACATAGAAAAAAACACCTTTTTATCAAAGGGCCATAACTCGGCCAAAAATCATTCAACCAAAAAACCCGTGCAATATGCGCAAGGACTTGAGCTACAGATTAACCCTGGAAAGTTTCATTGAAATTGCATTAGTGGTATAAGAGAAGTAGTCCGGACAAACTTTAAAAATAAAAACTATTAAAGGGCCATAACTCTGACAAAAATCATTGGACCGGAAAATGCTGACAATATGCACAACTAGACTTGGTACTGATCATTCCTGTAAAGTTTGGATGAAATTGCACAAGTAGTTTATGAGGAGTAGTCTGGACAAGTTTTGTGAGGGACGGAAAGACGGACGGACAGATGGACAGACGGACAGACAGACGACGGAGAAGTGATCCCTATATGTCGCCACTACTCCGTAGATGCGACACAAAAAAGCATCTGTTATAGCTTTTAAGTATTCAATTTTTTTGCATTTCCCTCAAGTTAGAACTGCCACTACTGGAAATAAAAACTCTTTATGGTATGCTGCACCTGTTTTATGAGTAAGTGCTCAAATTTTGACCAATTTAATATGCTAGTTCATCTTGGAATGGAAAAGAATGTAAATTGAATGCATAGCTTGCGGTTCGATCGTTCGTTCGTTTAGCATTATTTTACCATAATAAAATAATGGTGCTTGTTATATAATATTGTGTCATTTTAACCAATATTTTGCAGCTGTTTTTACCATTGTTGATTTTACTGATCAGCGTCGACATATCAGAGCTGTATCCTATAATGTACTTGTATAAAATCCAAAACAACATTCTCTTTGTTGACCACCAACATCTTACTCAGACAAAAAATCTGAGCAATATCATCAAATGTCGTTCTTTACTAGGAGCATACGTCTTTGGAATAGCCTTCCTCTAACTATTTAGTCTAACCCCAGTTTGAAACATCTTTACTGAGAGGCTTGATCCATTTTACAAATTCCAATTTGCACACATATGTGTTTTAAATTAATAGTCTTGTAGATCTTTTACTCTTTTATCTTTTTAAAATTGCATATAAATAATGTCTGTTATTAACAGTTCCCTGACAACGCGCCTGCTAGCTGGGACTAAAAATGTAAAAAGTGTATCTTTCTGTCCCAGCTGCTAGGCATAATCAGATTGCTAAACAATATCATGTGGACGTTTATGTCGACGTAACTCAGTCGGCAGTTACTTGTATTATAGGTGGGGTAATATATCGACTGACACAGATACAACAAATGCAAATATCTGAAATATCCAAGATATTTATTAAAGAATATATTTACACAATATAAATATAATTATACAACTATAACATGAAATGGTCAAATATGAAGTGCCATTAACAATTATAACATAAGGTTGAGTGTGTGATACAGGTATGTAATAGCTACATGTACAATTAGGTAAGTATTCCAGGTAAGTATTGTAAGTAAACATCTCTATAACTTATCAAAAACCTCTATAAATTATATACCAATAATTAAAGACATTCTGTAATAATTTAATCATTTAAATTATAACACTCAAAGATTACTACAGTAACCTGAAATATCCAAGATATTTATTAAAGAATATATTTACACAATATAAATATAATTATACAACTATAACATGAAATGGTCAAATATGAAGTGCAATGGAGCATCACACAACATACCTGAACATAGCATATTAAGTTTACGGGTGACAGGTTAGTAACAATGAGAGATAGGAATAATAGAAATATAGAGAGATATAACAGTATAGGATCAGGGGTCAAATAACATGTAACGCATTTGGATACAGTTAATATATTTTATTTGAAATGATTAACAAAATATAAGGCAGTGTACATTTAACATAAATTCTTATCCTACGACATTTACTGTACAGTAAATGTTTATGTTGTCGTTTGTTCTCAACCTTCCCGATTTGAAATAAAACTTATCTTATCGTAAACTGTCATTGTGTCAAGTGCCGTGTGGCAACTATAAAAAATACATATTTATTTATTAAAAATTAATAGTCGCAGAATATATTTTAGCGGTGTCACACCTGAACAACCCTCTCCAGTGTACGTAGGGATAGATATTATCTCAAGAGTGATTTCCCTTTAAAGCTCTTTAATAATAATAATTTCCACCCCCAGATTTATTTATGTTTTGAATTGTTTCAACAATATGTCAATAGGATATTAACTATGTCTTTGATTGACACTCTACTCAGAGATCTTCTTTTTATACCTAGTCATCATCAAAGGAACATTTCAAAATCGAGAGCTATATGTTTGGTAAGTTTGCACCTATCCATCACTCAAATTATCAGAGCTACAAATATCCTACAGGACAGGCTATGTTACTGTTTTATTTTATGCCCGCGATGGTGAAAACGGGATGCTTTGATAGCATTAATTAATATGAAACTTTGAAAGTAGGCAAACCCAGTGAATTGTTAAGACAAATTAATTAAATTTGCCCCATTCTTTAATTTCCCTGTAATAATTGTACTGAAAATACAAATTGACCTATACAATGTTGAATTTTGAAATGTCCAAGATATCAATAGTATAAATTGTAATCATACTAATATGAAATTAGGCAAAGCCTATAAACGGGGAAGTCGGTAAAAAATCCTTTCATTTTTCCGTTTTAAAGGTGTCATTCGGTATTATATGTACCCACTTCCGTTTTCAGTCGGAACACTGGAAGATTATTATTAATCAGAAAAGTTGAGATTTGTTTCGTTATCGGAATACACCGCCTTTTATCATTGAGTTACATTGTAAATGGCGGCGCCTAACTAGAACTGACACTGAAATTTTCATTGATAGGTATAGAATTCTATATATTTTTTAATTGTTTTTTATTTGAATTTTCTTTTAAATATACACATGTATTTTATAGCCGGGCCGCGGGCCCGGACTTTGACTTCCCCGTATGATGGTGAAAATGCAATTTATTATTGTGCTTTCCTCATTATACAATTGCACTTCTCTTCTTCTTCCAATATAGTACAGACCCCATCCAACATTTATTCATACTTCATCATTGTTTTATTGATATTTAACCATCATACCATCATAGCAAAGTTTTAGTAAAGGTTGGGCAACACAGTGCTGGGAATCAGGAGTCATCAGTCATCAGTTTTTGGCCATGGGAACCAAGTACAAAGAAATGTTTTGTGAACAGCAATGGCCATAGGGTGAATTGAGTTCCAAGTGATCCTAGTTAATGATAAATGCAACAGATCTAGCATTATTTTAAAGCTGATTATGCATTACCTATGCTAAAAGTTTGCTCCCTTTTTTGCAAGGGTGGACCGTTGCCCCTCATATCTTTGAAAGAAGCATACATTTGTTTCCCCCCCCCCCCCGCCAAAAAAAGAAGAAAATTTGAAGGGCAGACATTTGCCCCCCTGTTTTAAAGATGTTTAAAATATTTAATTGTGTATTACAGAAATTCATCGCCAAAATTTCATAATGCTTAAATACACAAAAACACTTGCGCAAATTTGTTTGTAAAAACAAAATAGCATCCATAAATGAATAGAATATAATGTTTCCATTGTCAATTTTATCATACATAAAATTTACACACAAGATGACCTTGAACAGGTGACAAGTGGCTCTTCAAAAAATTCTGTCAATGTTTGATGTTTACACACATGCAGACCCTTCTGTTTAATCCAATTAATTGACTTCCACTAATTTTTTTATAGGTCAGAAGAACAAAAAAATCTCTTCTTTTGTTCAAGAAACAATTACACTTAACAGTATTATGTTTAATTATTGCTCAAGAGAAAAAAATGTTGGATAATAACATATGACAATACTTTTACTTATTTAATGTTTTGTTCCATGAATTGGGAATTTTCTCCTTTAAATTGGGAATAAACATACTTTTTGGCTTTGGGAATATGACCCAATAATGTTGTGCTAAAAAAACAAGTCCCTTGGTCAATGTCAAGGTCACATGCAGAGGTCCAAGGTCTATTATAAAAATGATTGATTATTTAGTCATCATGAGATTGTAATGTTTTTTTCACTATTATAACACTGATTTTTGATGGGCATATTTTGTGACAAATTGACATTCTTTTTCAGTGTGATTTACAATGTCTGTGTCATTTCTAATATAAAAACAAATTATCAATATTTTTTCTGTTCAACAGGTACATAATGATTGGATACAGTCTGTTAGACAGAAGAATTTACATGATATAAAATGGACTAGAGACATTGGGAGAGATGATGCCGCTCTTCTTCTTGCTCCCTCACACCAGAAATTACCTAGAAACTGGAACAGAGTTTGTATCAAAGTCATAAAGAAATCAGATGCTCATTGTAAAAGGTTTGCTATAAACAGATTAAAAATAATTATATAGAACAGGATATGAAAATAGTTAACGCTACGAAAACAATTTGATTTGTACTTCAGTAATATGAAATTTTAGATAATGCTGTCTGTTAAATTATTAAAAATGATTATTAATAATGATGCTGGAAGTCTAGGTGTCATATTAAAGCATATGAGGCTATATTGAACTGTCTGTAGTCAAGAAACTATTGTTTGAATAACTTTATGAAAATTGTACCAATACTAAAAGAATTATGCTGTAAAATCATTGTTGAATCATTTAAAAAATCATTGTCGGAACCCACAGGCATTGATTTTGCTGAACTACATCATCACAAAGAGTATACATAATGATTATGCACAAGTTGCAGAGAATGTATGAACAAGATACTGTTTGTAAAAGAGATATGTGAGAATATGTGAACAAAGTGATTGTTCATTTTCCAAAAGTAATTTGCCAGTAAAACATGTTACTATATTAGGAATACATTTAATTTCATAACCCGTATTGCATAATGACATGCTTTTTCTTTGTGAATATATCTTAAAGAAATAAAGCTATGGTAATTTTGAACTGATGACTTTCATCATTGTCTAGGTTATTTAATGGACCATTCTATAATGCCACACCCGTATCTACATGCATGGAGCATCTTGTACAGAATGCAAGGGAAAATTTCCGCAATCTGTGGACGTCAGCACATGTTACATACAGTAATGAAGATGTGGACATGTTGCATAGAGCTGAAGATCAGGTACCTGTGATAATATAGTCTGATACTTAATCATTATATAACTGCAAAACTTAAATATGTTTTTCTCTATGATTTAATGATAAACTAAGACAAACGTAGGAGGCAAACCCGACAACACTTTGTCAACATACATTGTACCATACATATGATATAAATTAAAGATGAATATTTAAAGATGTTCTGTTTTAAATATAGAGATAATAGGTACCTCAATTAGCTGTTGTGTGTGTTTCTGATATCTTGTATTGCTGATTCAGTGATATAATTTCATAAATAGTTACGAGTATAATAATATTTATATTATATATCAAGTTCTCAGACAATATCTATGAGTAAATGAATGTTAACCTATGATGTTTCACTTAAATACTTAAATAAATGCTTGACATGTTCTTTTATCATTAATGATTCTTTTTAAGTTGTGTACAGTCGACTCTCGTTATCTCGAAGTCATCGGGACCGTCGAAAAAATATCGAGATAACGAAATGTCGAGATAAACATATTAGGGTTTTATTAACATATTAACAGGTTTTTACAAAAGACATATGCATACCTTATGTCAAATAAACTATGATATCTCCATGTCTTGTTTTCATAGGCCTTGTCAATATTTAATCAAGTAACATAAGCGGATGTTTACCAGCGGAAATACGGGTTTCTGTGATAAAAACACATAGTGAGGTTTACTCAGTAATACACCAATATAGTGAAAACATTGTTTTCAGGGTGGTTGATCCGGATATCCTCCCGGGTTATTTATCGGGTCTTTCTCGATGTTGTTCGACCGCTGATTGATTTGGTGGTGATTGTGAAACAATATTCCAACGATAGCGTTTCTATATTTTCACTATATCATTTACATTTAAGTCATAATGAATTGATACAGTGTTCGAATATTTATAAAGAACGTACAATTCACTCATTTTGGACATTAGTCAATCAACACGCTAAATAGATTAACTTTTATGAAAACAGCTAAACATGTTACAAATATAATCATCATTATGACTCGCGCTATTGAGCAATTATCGTCTAGTTTGTGTTTTTCACACATCTGAAGGGAACAGACAAAGGAAAACTATGAGTCGAGATAAACAAAGGATAATAGTGTGAAAATAACTGTTGGGGCTGAAATTGTACATCGAGATACTGAAAATATCGAAATAAAAATATTGAGATAAACAAATATTTCCAATATAGATAAAGAAGGAAGAAAATCGGGACTTTCAAAACTTCATCGAGATAACGAAATATCGAGAAAAGCGATGTCGAGATAATGATAGTTGACTGTATTAAATATATGTCAAGTAATATGAATTATGATTTATCTTGTCTTTGAAAGTTTAAACTTTGTCTTTGAAGTATTATTATTTTACTTGCAGTTTTCCAATGTTGTGCAGACATACTTACAGAGGATGAATCCCAATATATACATAACCATTCCAGACAATAGAGAAGATCATGTCTTTTCTAAGCAGTTGTCTTGTCTCCATGGTAACAATACCATTCCAATACTAGCTGTGATAGAGACTGTGTCAGTGTTTTTTGTTGTTCAGCCATACATACCATGTTGTTTGAGAGACATTGTGTGTTACAGTCCAGCTATATTTGACACATCACATGCCAAATCATTATTTGTGTTGTACCAGATTCTACAGGCCATGACTGATTACCACAAGTTAGGACTGAGAGCTGGTGTATTAAACCTACAGAATATTCGGGTAGATGATAAACTCTGGGTTCATTGTACCAGTGTCCAGCTGTCGCATTTAATGAACGATACAGTGCGCAATAACATATCTACAAGTAACTCATCAACTTCAGTATTAAACATTGAAGACAACGAGAAACCGTGCACTAGAACACTTACAGATTCTAACTCTAGCCCATTTAAAAGCATATCTGAATGTTCTATTGAGGATAGTTTTAGGCAAACAAGGAGCATTTCAAGATTGAGTGATTGTGAGAATTATCTTGACGATGCTAGTGATGTAATGAATCAGTTCCAATTCCTTGATATACCGCTGGAGAGCTTAGCTAAACTGACAGAAGATTGGGTCCATCATAGGATAAATAACTTTAAATACCTCATGTACCTAAACCATCTAGCCGGTAGAAGACTCGGGGATCCTAACCATCATCCCGTACTTCCTTGGGTCATGGACTTTACAAGCTCTCACTCAGGGTTACGCAATCTTTCTATGTCCAAATTTAGAATCAATAAAGGTGATAGCCAGTTAGATTTTACATTTGAAGCTATGGCTGAATTAGGGGATGACGGTGAACATATTCCACATCATGTGTCGGACGTTTTGTCTGATATTACATACTATGTATATAAATCACGTAAAACACCAAAACATCTACTATGTTCATATGTTAGAACTAAATGGGTGCCAAATGAATATCCACAAAACATTGAAAGATTATATCAGTGGACACCAGATGAATGTATCCCAGAATTCTTCACTGATCCCACCATCTTCTCCTCCATCCATGAAGATCTTCCTGACCTTGAACTTCCAAATTGGTGTACGTCTGCTCCAGAATTTGTAGAAAAACACATGGCAATGTTAGAGAGTGAACAGGTTTCTATCAACTTAAACAACTGGATAGATCTTACATTTGGGTATAAAGTAAGTATTGGTTTCAGTTTCTATTTTTTAAGTAATGTTAATGAGCTTTTTTAACATTAAAAGCTGGACAGATATATATAAACTTAACATAACAAAAAAAAGATGAACTAAAATAAACAGAAATCATGTGATTTTTCATTAAAACATTTATGTAACTTTTAGATGTATTTTACTTATAATGACAATATAGATATAACACTTATTGTTTTTATGAATAATATACCTTTTTATTATTATGGTACTATTTTTCAGCTAAGTGGATCATCAGCGGTGAAGTCTAAGAATGTGTACCTGCAGCTTGTTGATCAGCATAATAACCTGACAAACCATGGAGTCGTACAACTGTTCTCCCATCCCCACCCTCACAGACTTTCATCTGACAAAACTCTTTCCCTCTTACCTGTCAGGGTTAAACAAACAGAGGTATGGTTTAGAAAATTTATTTTTCATCATAATCATCCAAACTCATTAAAGCAAAAATCTTATATTGTTCTTCATTTTTTCATGTCAATTTTGAATTTGCATCATATATGAGGTGGCCTTTTGAATTTGAAACCATCATTTTGATAGTTTCATTTATTTTAAAACAAGACTTTTTATATAAGTAACCACAATTATGTACAATTTGACCATTACAAAATATTAATAAATTTAAATTGTATGTTAAATAAATTATACAATGTATACTAGTTTATGATTACAAATTATTGTTGTGCATACACCAATTTACATCTTACATCTGCCTGTTTAAATTGTAGTTTTCAGTATTTGTAAAAAATACTATATTGTATATCAATTTTCTATCTGTTTAGCTGATGCCAGGTGGACAAACAAGTGAAAGGCAAGTAATGTTTACAGTTGCTATATTTGTGTTAATTAAGTTTGCAGCTGCTGTAATGATCTTGGTTAAAAATCCCTTTCTCTTCCTACTTTATGCCTACACTGTGAAGGGGGTTCATTGGTATGTAAATTCATAAATTTGTATGTATGTCCTCCTATTATTGGATCAATAACTGAGAAGGAGTAAGTCATGGTTTATGTTGCTTGAAAGGGACATTGTCCATGGCCAGTAGGTGACCCCCATTGATTTTGAAAGCCATTATGTCAAGGTCATAGTGATACTTGATGTGAAATCCTTATCATATCAGTAGAGTTCTGTGAGTCATAGGTTTGTGAAATCTATTAGTTTTGATACTATAATAATAAAAATTACTTAATAACATTACACTTGTCATTTATGAAAAAAGAGTAGAATCAAAATAAGTCCCCTGAAAGCCAAATAAAGGTGGGGCAAATGTGTCCCATTGTCACATTTCACAGGGGTGATGATAAATAAATATTTAGTCTAGATGGAAGGAACACTTTGAAAGCTTTTCAATACTCCCTGAAAAATTTCTTGGAGCAGATAGTTGCTACTTAACCCTTCCATAGTTCCTGGACATTTTCCCTACAGTTTCTCCTAGCTACTTCATATTTGCTAAGTACATGTAGATACTTTGGATGGTCCTCTAACTTTAGTGGAGTTTTGAATGACTTTGGTCATGGTCACTGATGCCAAAAGTAGATTTTCACACTTCTGTTAATATAATATTTATTGACAATGTCTTAAGTAGGAACTCACCTTAGGTGGTTGTCTGACTGGTTGGATTTATGGATCTCTAGGGTTGAGATCATCAGTGCTAAAACTATATACATTGATAAAGATGCAAGTTAGTGGAACATCCATTGTCTTTAGGAATATGTCTTATTTTGTTTTTAAAGAGCCAGATTCAATCTGGAATACTTGAACTTACCTATGTCCTTCTTACTTGAGTGCACATATGCCTTTGTCAGTAAGCATATATGTTTATTATATCTTAATTTTTCTCAAGGCAGCATAAAATTCTTCCTTTTTAGCTATTTTCTCTCTTTTTAGCTTCACCTTTAGAAGTAAGAAGTGTATCTATTGTCATGACAAATGTATAATAAGTAAATTTAATTTTAATGGTTCTACTTTTGATATAGAGATGCTGTTCAGACAGAATCCCCTAAGATCAAGCTTCCAGTTGACTTTGATCCCACAGCAGTTCTTGATCATTTTGAAGCTTTACATTCATTTGCAAGTGAAACCACAGAATGTCTTCCACCTTCTACACAAAAAGAAAAGGTAAAACAAACTTAATAATGGGCTTGTTATTAAAAGTGGCATTCCTCCAGATGAGTAAAATAAATCTACACAAATTTAGAAAACTTTGAAAAACTTTAAATGTTCACAATTCAATAGGAACTTTGGATCTATAGTCAAACCTGTGTTAAAGAACACCTCAAAATAAAGATCTTCCTGCAAATAAAGACCACTTTTTGATAATAGAATTTTTTAATAGAGTTACCTCCAAATAATGACCACTTGTTCATAAAGACCATATTTGGTATCACCTTTGTATGACCCTTGTATACATCAAATGAAACTTACAAAATACCATACAGTATGAATCTTTCTTTTTGATTGTAGTTGAAAAAGTCAAAATTCTCTGATACTAATGAGGGTGTAAAGATGGTTTGGGCTGATATGCAACAGTTTGGTTGTTTGATGTGTGAACTATTTCTGGCTCCAAGATTACACACACTTAAACAAGGTACCAGTCTGAGAGAACGCTACAATATGATTGGTCGACTTTGTGCCAACGATAAGGGTAAACTTCCCAGGTATAAGGCATTTTCTAATTGCAAATTAACAAATCTGTATATGAACATTTATCTTTTTTAAAAAAAAAAGTTGAGGAAAGAGTTATAGTTCTCGATTTTGTAACATTTACTGATAAATGTTGTTAGTTTTACAGATCTCTTAATTTTCTCTAAAATTTTGAAAGTTGGAAAAACAGAGGTTTGTATTATGTTGAACTTTGAATATATAGAAATAATAAGCTGGTGAAAAGCAGACATTTTCAATTTGTAATTTTGACTAAGAACAGCTTGTCTATTCTGAAAGAAGGTAGTGTTATGTCTATTGAAAGTACATGTATACTATCTGCAGACCTAGTTATTGTTGCCTTTTTCAGAATTATTCAAACTGCTGCAGAAATTTTGCTCAATTTAGACAGTTTTAAAGAAATCCTAGAACCAGACACATTACAAAACAATGGGACCAGTCTACTGTTTGAATACCCCATAGTTAACTCCCTTGGATCACAACCACCAACGCCAGCATTACTTGTACAACAATTCTCAAACATTATACCATTCCCTCCATATTTTGAAGACATGTATAAAGTTTTAAACCAAATGAAAGACATTGACAAAGAAATAGAAAGAGAAATTAGTGATGTCACAAGATTAAGAGAAAAAAAGAAAATTGAAAAAATCTTGTCAAGAAAGAAAGTTGATGTATTAGAAACCTATTTAAAAGGAAATAGGGGCACTATATCAGAGGAAGGCTATGAACTTCTTTTACCTTACATAAAGGAATTATTTGAGGACCCGAAAACAACTGTACAAGCAGCCTGGTCACTGATAGGTGTTGTAGGGAAGGAATTAGGACCAACAGAGCTTGGGAGGAACATGTTGCCATATTTAACACAAATATTCAACGGTGAAGCAACCACTCCAAAACACATGAAGTTATATCACCGTTCATTCCTAGTCCAACTTATGCTACATCTCGGCCTGGAAAAGTTTCTTACTAACTTCTGTACTTTATTGGTGGAAGCTGTGGCCGGGTACAAGAATTTCCAGATTGGGGATGATCCTCATATGTCACAGGATGATATAAAGGAAGAGGTAGAGGAGGTGTTGACCAATAGTCAGTCTCTACAAGATGATGATACAGCACTATCTACTGTCAATGATCAGACTGTGCAACAAGATTCTCATATAATGGAAGGTAAGTTTTAAAATATTTTCTCATTTTATGATAATATCCTGTTTATCTTTAGAATACAAATTGGGCATCTGTTTTATGAACAATTGATCATTTACTTGTTATGACATCGATTTTAACTGCATCCTTTATGAGTTACTTATTTTGAAAGCATTCCGTTTGCATCCAGTATGTATTGCTGAATTTATTGTTGTCCAGTATTTATTGGTTTTGTCATCATCCAGTTTATATTGCTGGTTTAATGGTCATATAATATGTACTGGTCGGGAACCATCAACCGGACACTTTTTAAACATTTTTCTATACAGATTTCATAATTTCAAAAAACAGAAACCTAAAAACTTGACACAATACAGCTAGGTTCTTCTCCTAACTAACAAACTAATTTGTTTATTTCTGATTGTATTGACACTTATATCTGAGGCTCGTCAAGGAGGGTATCAAAATTACCTAAATTGTCAACACTACAGTACCATGTGTCCGGACAGATATGTACCTGACGTGATTTAATTCAGATGAAAGCTTGGGTGTTTTAATTTTTTATTTTTAACATGATATACAATATTTCAGCGTCAAATGCTGAAGTTTTGGAAATTCTATTGTTTACTCTGCAAATGATTATAGCTGGTCTATATGGTCAGGCATTGCTTTCTTGACGCCCAAATTTCAACGTCAACATTCTTGAAATAGACATAAAAAATTAGCATTTACGATGGTTGCAATAAATTTATTTACTTCATTATAGAAGAAAAATGCAATTATCGTTGATAAAAAAGTAACTGACAACCACTAAACAAAGAAAATACTAAATTAAGCATTTTCGGGGCAGTCCGGGTTTGGTGGTTGTCTGGTTTTGGTGGTCCTCAACCAGTATTGCTGACATTTTGTTCATCTAATATGTATTGCTGACATTGTGTTCATCTAGGTTGTAGTAGTAACTAACAGGTTATTTCAAAGCACAAAAGCAGAAAGAAAAGGGTGAATCAGTTGTTTGTAAAAAGAAGGAATTAAAGCCTGTCTTAATTTCAGATGATGAAGATATACGACCAGACCAGAAAGATGATGATGATGATCTGGCTGCTGATTTTGATGATGATGATGATGTTGATGATGATGAAGATCTAGAAAATGAATTCCCTGATATATCAGGGCATGATCACTCTAGGTCCACAGACTCAATCGGAGGTGACTGGGTATGTATGTTCTAGAAATAACAATTTGTGCTTGAAATTTACAGATTTCAATAGAAACCCTTTTCCATCAACACAAATGATCAGTTATTTATATGTGACTGAATATGGAATAGATTTGAATTGATTGAATACTATACTACAGACTTAGAGTATCTGAAATTTTGAATGCTAGTTGAAAAGAGCATCTGAATATTTGAACAAGAGTTCAGTAGTGTGTTTTAGCATAAACATGTTTGATTTGGCCTTTTGTTTATGTTCTATTATTCTCATGCCATTGTTTAACAGCTTACTCTTTACAACTATACTGTGTAGATTACATATTAAGAAGTAATATCCCATAAGCTTATGAAACATCAGCCCAGGTAAGTCAGCATATTTCTGAAATATTGTATAGGTGGCAATAAGGTCTTCATAAAACCAGTAAAGCTGTAACAGTGCCAACAGGACCTAACAAATGTCAGTTTAACAGACCAAATGAATATATTTTGTATATTTATTAGCAATAATGTTAATGTTTCTACAGCTATCTGAGAAGAGTTCTGAGAGTGATGTAACACATGATGAGGGGTCTGCTAGAGGAAGTTCAGACAGGGCCTCTATTCACAGCATATCACATATCATTGAAATGTCAAATGACAAGGGAGGTCGAGAGATCCAGTCAGGTGACTCTCCAGAAGTGAAAATGAAAACAAGTCATTCAGTACACTTTGAAATAAATGAGAAGTCGGAAATAGAATTAAATTCAATCGTCCAATCAAAAGATGATGATGTGATTCAAACTGACCAATCAAAAGAAGAGAAATTAGAAGAGAACCAATCAAATGATTCAGATTTTAAATCAAGCACCTACATGATACGGAGTGAGACAGATGAGTTTCGGCAGATACATTACAGTCATACAATCAATATTTGTGATATAGCCGCAGAAAGTATTAAATGGTTGTCACACAGACTTGGTCCATTACTTACAGCAAAATATCTGTCTAAGAACTTGGTGAGAATGTTGGCTTTGTGTTATATTGGGGAGGAGCAAGTTACTCTGTTGTCAGACTCTGGTAAGAACATAAACATACTTTTTGTTTACCTTTCCTTTAATTTACATAAATATTTGTTTTTGTCCCCTCATACTGCAGAGAATTGATACATTCATTGGCTGTGCTGCTTGTTTAAATCATTATATTTTGTGGCTAATTTATATTACCTATTCTTATTTTTTGGTAATTTACGTGGATTGAAGGTGCCAATTGAAATGCAGTCAATGAATTTAAGATTTTGAATTTACTATCCCGAATTCCAGTTTTGAATTTATTCTACGTTATATCTAACTAAATGTCCTTAAAATGTTCACTGGCCGAACTAATTTTCACTGGCCATGGGCCACCGGGCCAGTGCTAAATTTGATGACTGGAAATGTGTAGATTACATTCTTTACTTCACAATATTTAACTTCAAGATTTTCAAAATTTTCATGAAGATAAACATGAATCTGGAGGTATACTGTTTTCAGTATGTATTAAATTAACTACTGAACAAGAAACGTTGATTATCTGTTTTATGAATCATACATGTAATTAACAGTCAAATTTATAACCTGCCTCTGAAAAGAGTTTTATTGAAAATCGTATTAAGGGAATGTATAAAGTTTTGTTTGGTGTGTATGTAATATTATGTAACCTTTTGCTTACAGAGAAAGACTTACCAAAATCAACAAAGTTGGTACAAGGTGACAGAAATGCTCACAAGGTTTTGGAATGTCTGAGTTCTGTATCATGTATATATGGAGAGCAAGTGATACTTCTACAATATATACCATGTATAATAGATCTTGTAAGAATTCTAACTAATTAATACATAGAAAAATATGTTCTCCTGCTGTTTTAATAGTGAATAACAGAATAAACAAATACCTTTGAATCACAGTGTATATGTTGAAACTAATGGAATATTTTCTGTTTACATCATATTTGCATGTGAAAAGATATTTTCTACTTACATGTTTTATTTATAAAAAATAACAAAAGAAATAGAAATCTTTGATTTGTTACATGTTGTTTAAACAAGTTCCGGAAAACAAGGGCATTTTTTTCATCTCTGCCCCCTGTGCAATTTGCTAGAATTAGCCAAAATAAATTTTCGCTAAAACAAATAAAAAATTAAGAGTATTTTGCTCATATAACCTAAAGTAAATCAGTATATACATACTGCAACAGACTTTTAGTATTAGAATAACAAGATGTTGAAATTTTGTTTACTGAATACTTTTCTAATGAGAACAATTAAAGAATGTTTGATATCATTACAGATTCATGTGGCTATGAAGAGGTTAACTGTACGAGCGGAAGCAGGTCTTGTGGCAGCTATTGTACTCCTCAGACACATTATACCATTGTTGTCTGACAAAACATTCCTAGATATGTTAAATGTAATTACTTTTATATCAAATAGTAAAATAAATCTGAACCATTTCACAGGATTTACATAGAGGTTATCATATTTGATATGTTTGACTGACAGGCGTTTGAACAGTACAGTGTCAGGTCGAATGGTAAAGGTGTCAAGTTTGATCCACATGTTCCTAGTTTTTGAAGGGTTTTATCTGAGAATAGGCACACTTTGTACATCTTAAGAACATATAAATTTAAATTAGTTAAGCACACTATCTTTCTACATTTTAGTTTGTGCAAAGATTCTTAGAGTCCTCCATTGGCACTTATTTTAAAATGAAAGTCACACAATCTTGTTCATAAAGGATTTACTCTAAAAATAAATAAGTATAAACATTGTTATTTTTGTATGTTTAATCATTTTACCGTTTTTCTCTATTATAAGCATATTTTATATGAAATTTATATCAAATTACAATGTTTTTCAATTTATTTTAATTGCCTTGCAGGAGTCTGTTATATCTGATGCAATAAAGCCAATGCTAAAACTTGTCTCCTCCACAACAACATCATTCCCAAGTGGAGCAGTTGTTCGCAGTATAATCCTCTATAAGATCATAGATGTATTATATGTGATAGGACTACGACTCGGCTTTGAGCTGGCTCGTCGTTACATGACAAATGTTCTACAGCTGTTCTTCAAACCATTTGAAAAAGTTCACTCTATTGGTACATTAGAGGGTATTACACCTACTGGCAGCTCCTCTGATTTGTTGAATGGTGTTATGATTGGTAGTAAAGGTAATAATGCTGGTTTATTTATTTCATATTTATACGATTATTAGTAAGTAAGTTACGACTTTATTTAATGCGGCAACTCAGTTACATTGGGCAAGCACAGTATTACATGTGAGGTGCATTATCACACGGCATTATCATTATGTTGATATGAATGAAAAGAATTTTTACATTCTTAGATGTCAAAATGATTGGAAGCAACAAAAAATAAGGCTATAAATAGTTACTGTATTTTGTCTTATTTTGAGGTTGTTATTACCTCATTGCTTAAGCTGGAGATGGATTTGACCTTGTCTGTCCATCTTGTAAGCTTTCAGCTGTCACACTTTCGGCCAATGGACTGAAAAAACTGTTGAATGAGGGTACATCCGAGTACTGCCGACACATGTCTTACTCTAGTTTTTCGATGATTTTTATCTTTATAAGAATGTTAACCTTTTAAAAGATAAGAGATTAATGATTGGTTATTATTTTAACTTGCACTTTATGTTCAAGGTATAGACAGTACACACATTGAATGCCAGTGCATACAGAATGGAATAGCCACTTTTTAACACTTTTATCATAGTTCAATTTTGAAATTTCATGAAACATTTAAGCATATTTTAACAAAACAAGTATGGTTTATACCTTTTGTCCTTGTATTAAGATTCAGACATCTTTTATTTGAAATATTGTTACATACTGTAAAATCTTTAAATTTCTCCCAATCTGCAAGTACAACATACTGCCATTAAATTATTTACATAGAGAATAAGATATTGATATGGTTGCAGATTCAGGTTCTATAGACGAATCATTCTTAAATATAAAAATGGACTCTCATACCCAGCAATACACCATAGGTTCACCAGTTAGTTTGAGTGTGTCACCAAAACACAGCGATCCTCTGAAGAAATTTAGAGCCACCAAGTCTAGCTATAGCCTGGCAGATATACATTCTGTAGATGATAGAGGTACGTTATGCTGTTCTTTATGTGGAGTTGTGTTGTTTTCTACTAATAAACTTAGGACATGGAATATAATAACAAATGCATCTGTATTGAATGATTAAAGATATTGTTAGTGTTCAAAGATTTTATATACATGTATAGTGTATAACAATTTAATAGAAATTTCATAAAATTCTACATGTATTTGTAAAATAAATGACAAAGTAAGATTTTTTTTATTTTAAAAAATAGATAAAGGCCAAATTATTTAAAAATTCTGCAAAAAGATCATTTAACAATAAAATATCTATATTTAGATGAGATTGACGCAAGGTCAGCTAGTGAGGAAATCCTCCAATCAGAATTCAGACAAACATTCAGCCCTGAATTAGCATTGGCAGCTTATATACCTCTTACATCTGTGTTTGGAAGGTATGGTAGTGTTTGTTATATCATTTATACTTCTCCATATATCAGTCATATACTTGTCATCATGACAGCTCACTGTTACTAAAACTCTCATAGTTTCTTGCACTTCAATTCTAATTTATCTAATTTTATGCAATCATTACTCATAAACAAATATAGAGGATATTTGTTTAGTTCAGTGTAATATCGGAATATATTTCACCGAGTGAGCACCAAAAGGTATATTTCACGAGTGGCGCAGCCATGAGTGAAATATGAACTTTTGGTGTTCACAAGTCCAAAATAATGATACAATGTGACGTCATTTACAACGTCGATTCATTAAGTTGGTTCCTAGGACTGTGCATGCTGGTATTTCACTAAAACAACGTAAGAGGCTTAAATTCAAAACAGTGAAATTATCAAATTGATAATTTCACTGTTTAAAACAGTGAAATTACCAGTTTTATATCACTGATATATTTCTATAAACCACCGAAAAGCATGTAATAAACATGTATATTACATCTGTGCTTGCTTTCATAGGCTAGACTATAAATCATAGGTCATGTATATTTTTTAGTCTTTGGAACTTACTAACATTATGTTATAGTACAGCCATCATTGGCATATACCAGGGACTGGATGGTTGGAAAGCTGTCTTCAAATTACTTGCTTTTCATAGTTGAGAGTTTGAATTCCAACAGAAATGTCAAATTCTTGTATGAGAGGAATCATTCCAACTGGCTTGTGGAATGTCTGAGATCTTAATCAAGTGCCTTCCCATACCTTGTGTGTATGTAGGAAAGTCATGATATGACCTTGACACTGTTGCTATGGCTTAACTCTTAGCCTGCTGGCCGCAATTGAATCCACCCATGGGACAAGTGAAGACCAAGATCTGCACTGTCTGATAGTGGTCTGCACTGTTCATTTTTCATTCAAGTCATATTTTTAGATTTTCTTGTTATTTAAGATATTTAGCATGGTAATGGTTAAAACCATCATAAGAAGACAAATTGTTATATATTGATATTGTTATATTTCAGTCATCATATGGAAGAATGTTTATCTAATGATGATCTTATACGTAAACTGTGTTCCCAGTATGATAAAGCATTGTATACTGAGTATGATGACTTGAATTCTCCTGGTAAATATCTTTACTCTATTTTTGTTTTATATTTTGTCCTTCTTTTCTGTCTGACTGTTTAAGTTATTTGTAGTAAAAGTCATCCAACCATTGTAACATTGGTTTAAACATATTTATTTAATTAAACATGATTGCGAAACAAGTTCTTGAAACTTAAATTAATCACTTTCGAGTCCGCTTCCTGGAACCAACCAGCACTGTTGTCATTTGGAGAAACATAGTGGTGACGTGATCAAGGTTCAAACCCATGATCCCTGGGTTGAGAGGCAGCCACCTTAACCACTAGGCCACTGCTACCCTTTGTTACATAGTTTGTTAATATCAATTTATCAGACATATTTAGCTTTTTTTGCTGCTGATGTTTTGGAAACATACATGTCCACCTTTTGATATGCAGTGGTCATTTGATATTTTAAGGGATTTTAAGAATAAAAATTATAAATTTGTACAGACAATAGTAGAACAGTAAAGAGTCTGTTCAAAGTGGGCTTAAATGCTGACTGACCTGGCTATATATTATTGGCAGAGTAAAGTCATTGATGCAGCTAGCAATTTTGAGTGATGATTTACAACCATAACTCAATGGATTTATAATTTTGATTGATAAGCATATACATAAATATCTTTGGTTAAAAACTGTATTTTGTATAAGATGAACAGTATGTTAACTTAAGAAAGTATTTAATTTTTAGTATATATTCAGCTTCAGATCTACAGACATCTCTTAGAAGTACAAATGGTTTTCAGTTTAACTTTTTACTTTATGCTTAAAAAACATATTGGCTCCACATCTGTGTATTTTAAACAATTAGATATAAGAACTTCACTAAATTGTATTTCATTGTTTCTAGAACATGAGGAAAATGTTCCTGTGAATGAAGGTTCAGATATAGGCAGTAATGTGGCTATTGTTGGTAATCGTATCTGTCTACAAGATGACAACACCACATTACAACCAAGTCCAGAAACATTTCAACTGAGAAAACATTTCCAACATAAAGGCATTCTTAGAATAGATCCAGATGAGACAAAGAGGTAAAATATCTGAGATTTTCTTTTATTTATAATTATTAATGCTTACACTGCTGGGATACAAAGTGACTAGCCTTTTCATGCCAGTTTAGAGCCTGCCTAGTCTACATATCCTTGCAGTCTTATCAGGCTCTAAACTGTTGTGTGACCAACTTTAAATTCCAAAAAAATGAATTTATGACAGTTCCAAATTAAGGAAACTGGAGAAGTCCATTTCTGAAATGAAGCAGGTTAGGGGTTTAGATCTCTGGAAAGCCTTATAATGCCTCACTTTTGTAATAGATGTGCCCAGTTGTGAATTGGAAAAGTTCATAAGTTGTGTAGAAGTGTTCAGTACCGAAAATAATAAATGAGTAGTAAACAGTGTAGAGTCTGGTTACAGTACACAGAAGCTGAAACAATAAAGTGAAGACAACAAGTTAAATTAGACTGAACAGGTGTGTGAATTATATTGTTATGAAATATACCTTTTTACAGACCAGGAAGTAAATAAAAATCTTTACTATAAATTATTGTATTATTATTATTGTAGTGAGGAAATTCCACGGAATACTAACCGACATCTGAAGGGTAACTGGCTAGCTTACTGGGAACATGAACTAGGTAAATATATATCTACATGTATATACACTGATACATGATTGTCTTTTAATAAGAAATTTTGAGAAGCATAAAGCCACAGGGTTGTCTGCCTTTGGTTACACTAACTTACTATTTCTCATAGCAATTTTATTTATTGACATTAATATTCAATATTTGGAATGTAAATTCCTTGCAAAGTAAAAATCAGATCAAGATCATTGAGGCTAGAAAATAGATTTTTCTACTGCCTGCAATGGTGTTATTTCAGCAAATAATGATAACTTTTTTTTAAGTTTCGAAAAAAGTTTCAAAAGAGGCCATTTGATGTATCTTTCTACCTTGGACTTTCAATTTCTGAATAAAAGAATTTAAATTTTTATTTTGTTTAGTTTCATACTGTTACAAAAACAACAGGAGTAAAGTCTTGATTAGGTTAACATTACTTTGTATTAGTTTACATCATTTTCAGGTTTAAATGAAAGAGACACAATGTTCAACTTCAAACAGATCAAATTGCAAGCTTTTATTGGTAAGTTTTGATATATAGTTGTATGGACACATACATTTTGTAATTTGTTCCATGTTAGATATTCCAGGTGAAAACTGTTTTGACAAAATAATTTCTATTTGGCTGGAGATGTATAGAATATGGAAGTTTTAACTGATTGATAATGGCTTTCAATAAATTTAAACTTGTATTTTACTTGATTTTCATCTTGAAATTAAAATTTTGAATTGAAAGTAAAAAATGAAGTATGCATTTATTTCAAGTTATAACATGGAAAATGTTTATTTTACAGGTCATCAGAATAGTATACGTTCTCTAACATGCCTGGATAATGAGAATTCTTTTATCAGTGCCAGCAAAGACAAAACAGTAAAACTTTGGTCACTTAATAGTTTTGGTGATGGGAGTGGCAGGTAATTATTTAAATTATTTTTATTCAAAATGATCAGATTTCAATTACTAGGGATATACTTACATTTATACATACTAGCAAACACTGTAAAACCTGTCAACTTGCTTTTTTGGATCTTGATTATATTGACATAAAGGGAGAGAACTGATTTCAAACATTCACTAGTTCAGAATTTTAAGGGAGATAACTCACTCTTTATACATATTGCTTTTGTTGATAATGAAGATGATAACTCAGTGTTATAATTGTTATCCCCCGCCGATGGAATCGGGAGGGGGATATAGTTTTGGCGATGTCCGTCCGTCCATCCGTCCGTCCGAATTTCGTTTCCGGAGTAGTTCTCTGCAACTACTGGCTGGAATTCAACGAAACTTTATGGGAATCATCAATAGCAAGAGGAGATGCGCATATCGTCAGCTTGTTCTGGTCAGACCCTTTAACTCAGAGTTATGGCCCTTGATTAGTTATGTAGTATGCATATAGACTAAAATTTCGTTTCCAGAGTAGTTCTCTGCAACTACAGGCTGGAATTCAATGAAACTTTATGGGAATCATCAATATCGAGAGGAGATGCGCATATCGTCAGCTTGTTCCGGTCAGACCCTTTGACTCAGAGTTATGGCCCTTGATTAGTTATGTAGTATGCATATAGAGTAAAAATCGTTTCCCCATTACTTCTCTGCAACTACTTGCTGGAATTCAACGAAACTTTATGGGAACCTTCAATACCAAGAGGAGATGCGCATATCGTCAGCTTGTTCCGGTCAGACACTTTAACTCAGAGTTATGGCCCTTGATTAGTTATGCAGTATGCATATGGAGTAAAAATCGTTTCCGCGATAGTTCTCTGCAACTACTGGCTGGAATTCAACGAAACTTCATGTGAATCTTCAATACCAAGAGGAGATGCGCATATCGTTGCCTTGTTGGGGTCGGACACTTTAACTCAGAGTTATGGCCCTTGATTAGTTAGCAGTATCCATATAGAAAAATATTCGTTTTCTCGCTACTTCTTTGCAACTACTGGCTGGAATTCAATGAAACTTTATTGGAACCTTCAATACCAAGAGGAGATGCGCATATCGTTGCCTTGTTCCAGTCAGACACTTTAACTCAGAGTTATGGCCCTTGATTAGTTATGCAGTATGCATATAGAGCAAAAATCTTTACCACGCTACTTCTCTGCAACTACTTTCTGGAATTCAATGAAACTTTATGGGAACCTTCAATACCAAGAGAAGATGCGCATGTCATTGCCTTGTTGGGGTCGGACACTTTAACTCAGAGTTATGGCCCTTGATTAGTTATGCAGTATCCATATAGAAAAATATTCGTTTCCTCGCTTCTTCTTTGCCACTACTATTTGGAATTCAATGAATCTTTATTGGAACCTTCAATACCAAGAGGAGATGTGCATATTGTCGCTTTGTTTGGGTCAGACATTTTAACTTAGAGTTATGACCCTTGATAACTTAGGCAGTATACAACCATAGCAATAATTGTTTCCGTGCTACTTCTCTGTAACTACTGGCTGGAATTCAAAGAAACTTCATGTGAATCTTCAATACCAAGAGGAGATGCGCATATCGTTGCCTTGTTCCGGTCAGACACTTTAACTCAGAGTTATGGTCCTTGATTAGTTATGCAGTATGCATATAGAGAAAAAATTGTTTCCGTGCTACTTCTCTGCAACTACTGGCTGGAATTCAACAGAACTTTATGGGAACCTTCAATACCAAGAGGAGATGCGCATATTGTTGCCTTGTTCCAGTCAGACACTGAAACTCAGAGTTATGGCCCTTGATTAGTTATGTAGTATGCATATAGAGTAAAAATCGTTTCCCCACTACTTCTCTGCAACTACTTGCTGGAATTTAACGAAACTTTATGGGAACCTTCAATACCAAGAGGAGATGCGCATATCGTCAGCTTGTTCCGGTCAGACACTTTAACTCAGAGTTATGGCCCTTGATTAGTTATGCAGTATGCATATGGAGTAAAAATCGTTTCCGCGATAGTTCTCTGCAACTTCTGGCTGGAATTCAACGAAACTTCATGTGAATCTTCAATACCAAGAGGAGATGCGCATATCGTTGCCTTGTTCCGGTCAGACACTTTAACTCAGAGTTATGGTCCTTGATTAGTTATGCAGTATGCATATAGAGAAAAAATTGTTTCCGTGCTACTTCTCTGCAACTACTGGCTGGAATTCAACAAAACTTTATGGGAACCTTCAATACCAAGAGGAGATGCGCATATCGTTGCCTTGTTCCAGTCAGACACTTAAACTCAGAGTTATGGCCCTTGATTAGTTATGCAGTATGCATATAGAGCAAAAATCTTTACCTCGCTACTTCTTTGCAACTACTGGCTGGAATTCAATGAATCTTTATTGGAACCTTCAATACCAAGAGGAGATGCGCATATTGTCGCTTTGTTTGGGTCAGACATTTTAACTTAGAGTTATGACCCTTGATAACTTAGGCAGTATACAACCAGAGCAATAATCGTTTACCGTGCTACTTCTCTGTAACTACTGGCTGGAATTCAACAGAACTTTATGGGATACTAAGAGGAGATGTGCATATAGTCGCCTTGTTCCGGTCAGATACTTATAACTCAGGTTTATGGCCCTTGATTAGTTTTGTAGTATGCATACATCTCATTGGCATTTCCAGATATTACTATTTTACACAAAGTTATGGCTCTGTTATTGCCCTGAATATTTTTCAAGTTCAAAGAATATTACTGTTTATGCCATGATTAATATATAAATAAAGCCTCATGTTTTCAGTTGTTGTGTTAATAAAAACCAGTACTTGGCGGGGGATATAAATTCAACGAATTTGCTTGTTTGTATTATAGATGCAGATGTCAGTGGTCATATGAGCGCCATAAGAAGTCTGTATTTTCTGTGGCATATCTAGAGACATTGAGACTGGTGGCTTCGTGTGACAGTACTGTGCATGTATGTATTGTTCTTTATAACAATAAATTGTTTCTTACTGATTAGGAGAGGGGCGTCCGTGGCCGACTGGTTAAGATCGTTGACTTCAAACCACTTGCCCTCACCGCTGTGGGTTTGAATCCCGACAGGGACTATGGATTCTTTCATGTGAGGAAGCTATCCAGCTAGCTGACGGAACGTCGGTGGTTCTACTCAGGTGCCTGTTTGTGCCTGAAATAATGCACGAAAGGGCACCTGAGGTCTTCCTCCACCAGTAAAGCTAGAACGTTGCGATATGACCTATACTGTGTCGATGTGACGTAAAACCCAAAACAAACAAAACTTACCAATTAGTAATCATGCTAAATTTTTGCTATTCACTGATTGTGAGGAAACATGTTAAAATGAGGATTTTTCAAAATGATAAAATGAGGATTTTTCAAGATGATTAATTAAAGAAAAAACATCATGAATTTTCATTTTGTATTTGTTTTATTTATGAGTTTAGTATATTTTGATTAACTTCAGAATTTTTATTTTTATATCCATATTTCCTGATATTTGGACAAATTTCTCACTATATATAATTAAAATCCAATGTGCTATGATTTTTCTTTTTGAAAATCTTGACATTTCATTCAACATTTCCAAAGGTTTGGGATCCATTTACTGGAGACACAATTCGGCAGCTAGAATCATCAAAGTACAGCCCTGTGATAGCCCTTACACCATTACCTAGTCCTAGTACTGTGGTAATTACAGCTACACAAGATAGTACACTAAGGTGAGTTCTGCTGTAATGTAACAGATACACATGAAAGTACACTAGGGTGAGTTCTGCTGTAGTCTGATAGTGAAACAATTGTACCCTGGATTGACATGTAGCTGTTCTAATTCTTCATCATTTACAGCACATAAATATAGGAAATTGAGATGAAATCTGAAGTAGTTCTTTATTGTATTAACATGTTCTAATGCTGTAGCATAGTACAGCAGCAGAGGATGACTGAAGCAAAAACTGTTGTGGCTATTACAACGTTACCAAGCTGTAATAATGTACATACAGAATAGGATATTGCATTTAATAAATAAAATTTTTATAACTACATTATACTTATTAACGTAATCTGTTTTAATGTTTATCAGTCTTTATATGTAAAAATTATAAGATTAAAAAAGTATTTATAAATTTACTAAAGTATACTTGCCACAATGTGATAAAACAAGAATAGTTTTCTTGGCACATTAATATAAACAATATAGTTATACAATAATTTTCATATATTTCTGCAGGTTTCTGGATATGAGAGCAGCTAGATACGCCCATGAATACAAGTGTGTAACAGGAAATCATGGTGAGACAATGATGTTTCATAACAGATTATTCTTTATGGTTTTTATAAACCATTTTAGTCATTTTTATGATAGCATTTTAAGCTTGTCTGTTTTAGAATAAAAAAATCAAGCTATTATGAATGCTGGGGTGTCATCGTCGTCATTGTTGTTTTCATTGTATAAAATCTAAAATGTAGTTCATTATTCAAACATTTTAAAACGTATCAACATGAATCTTTGAATACTTGCTTATCATGACAAGATGCAATTGTTAGACTAGACAAGGGACACAATTTTGAAATTAATATCTTTTAAGTTATGCCTCTTTTTTATAGATGAGCGTTAACATCATATGCAGGGCTCTTGTTGACTATTGATCTTTGTTTTGCCAGTGTTGATCTACTTTATGCCATAATTTGGCCAGGATGTGATTTGATGCAGTCTAACTCTGAACGATGAGCTACTTGATTTAATATATGGACTAAAAATGTTCTGAAAATAGCATTATTCACTTCAAATTCAAATTTAGGCAAGTTCAGTATAGAAAGAAATTCCTAGTATAATAGATGAAAGTGCAAAAAAATAAATGAGATAAGAACAGACAATATATTTTATGTTATATTATTTTCAGGTGTGATACGGTGTGTGACCTCTAGCCCTGATGGTACATGGGTAGCTGTAGGTTTCTCTAGTGGTGTTATTGCATTATTAGATTTAAATACTGGTGTTCTATTGGGCTCATGGAAGGGACATGACAGTGAAATACTTCAGGTAAATAATACCCTGGAGAATACCATGAGTTGATTTTCTCTTGCTTTTATTCTGTGATGTTTATTAAATATCTTTTCTAATTTTATTGGACATTTTTTGTAATTTGAAGAAATTTAGGATATCTTTTTCAATATTCAGCATCTGTAATATACATCTATATGGTCTTAAGTTGGGATGATATTGTGACTGCTTCATCCTGGGTTTTACGTTGAACTAACAGAAGAGATCATATGGTGACTTTCCAGCTTTACTGATCTAGGAAGATCTCAGGTGCCACTCCTTCCATTATTTCAGGCACAAGCAGGCACCTTAGCAGAACCACCAATGTTTCTGTTAGCTAGCTCGATAATTCCTCCACTTGAAAGAATCCAAAGTCCCTGTCACGATTTAAACCTACATGGGTTAGGGACAAGTGGTTTGAAATCACTCAGTCATGGACTCAGTTCTTATTTTGAGGAGCATCACTCAGCATTGTTGAAATTTATGTTAGAAATACATGAAATATGTTTTTACTGTTACAGATACTGATTTTCTGTATTTAATGAAATTTGTATATTTCATGTCAGTCTGACACATACTAAAGTTAAATGTTTATGTAAAGATAAATCTAGAATTGTATGGATTTTTATCGTTCTATTTTTGAAATGTAAAAACTATAAGAAAAACAACTTTGTTTTTATCTTTAGCTTAGAGCCTTCAACAAAACATCATTTGTATCTACAGCATTTGATTTAAACATGAAACTTTGGAGTGTAGAAACAACTTCAGAGTTGGTCACATTTAAAGGTAAGAAAACTCCTCAAGGCAAAAGTGGAATTAAATGCAAAGTTGTTAAGATCTTTTGAAGGTGATAATTTTGAAGGACATAAAATATTCCACATTCACCCTGATAAACTGAAATTAACATAAAGAAAATGCATGGTAACAATCAGTGTTTGGAACAAAAGTTAGATTGATTTCATTTGTGTTCAACAAATTTAAATCTATGAGATGGTATTTTGGTCTTCAGTTGGATTTATTAGTATTGAGATTCATTTTAATGTGGATATCAAATACAATGTAGTATGATTACAAAATATTTTATATAACATAGCATGGATAATTGCTGATTTACTGATGTGAAGGGTATGTTTAAACTTTGAAGACTTGTGCCAGTTTATAAAATTGATGTTTAAATAACTTGCAGGTCACACAGAACCTATACATTGTGTAAGATTTTATAAGAACCAGATCGTTAGTGCAACAACTAACAATAAAATTGGTGTCCACACCTCTGTAGATGCACATGTAAGTTTTCATATTTAGTTTTCTATAGTTTATACAAATTTATTTTAATTGGAGTTAGTTGGAAGCTATAAGCTTATTGAAACACTCTCGAATCTGTTCCTGGAACCAACCAGTACTTAGTACTGAATAAAAAGTTTCTTACTCAAGGAAACAATGGCTTGCCCGTGACGGGGTTTAAATCCATGTGGCCAACATCTCTTAGATTACTATTCTGATATATTAACCACTTGGCCACGTTGCCACTCTCTGTTTTTCTTTGTCATCCAATAGTTTTTAGGTCACTGTCACTAAAAAGAGAATAACGTTTTCTTGTTATACCTCCGCACAACGAAATTGTAAGGGGGGTATACTGGAATTAGCTTGTCCGTCCAGACGTCCGTCCGTCCGTCCGGACGTCAGTCCGTCGGTTTTTCCTTGTCAGCCCAATAACTTGAGATTCCTTTGGCCCACAATCTTCATATTTGGCATGGAGATTAGTCAGGATTAGCAAATGACCCCTTTTGATTTTGGGGTCACTGGGTCAAAGGTCAAGGTCACAGGGCCCTTATCCATGCCGTCTGTCGGTTTTTCCTTGTCCGCCCAATAACTTGAGATTCCTTTGGCCCACAGTCTTCATATTTGGCATGGAGGTTAGTCATGATTAGTAGATGACCCCTATTGATTTTGGGGTCACTGGGTCAAAGGTCAAGGTCACAGGGGCCTTGACTTTAAAAAGCTTGTCCGCCCAATAACTTGAGATTCCTTTGGCCCACAGTCTTCATATTTGGCATGGAGGTTAGTCATGATTAGTAGATGACCCCTATTGATTTTGAGGTCACTGGGTCAAAGGTCAAGGTCACAGGGGCCTTGACTAAAAAAACCTTGTCCGCCCAATAACTTGAGATTCCTTTGACCCACAGTCTTCATATTTGGCATGGAGGTTAGTCATGATTAGTAGATGACCCCTATTGATTTTGGGGTCACTGGGTCAAAGGTCAAGGTCACAGGGGCCTTGACTTTAAAAAGCTTGTCCGCCCAATAACTTGAGATTCCTTTGACCCACAGTCTTCATATTTGGCATGGAGGTTAGTCATGATTAGTAGATGACCTTATTGATTTAAGGGTCAAAGGTCAAGGTCACAGGGGCCTTGACTTTAAAAAGCTTGTCCGCCCAATAACTTGAGATTCCTTTGGCCCACAGTCTTCATATTTGGCATGGAGGTTAGTCATGATAAGTAGATGACCCCTATTGATTTTGAGGTCACTGGGTCAAAGGTCAAGGTCACAGGGGCCTTGACTAAAAAACCTTGTCCGCCCAATAACTTGAGATTCCTTTGACCCATAGTCTTCATATTCGGCATTGAGGTAAGTCATGATTAGTAGATGACCCCTATTGATTTTAGGTCATTGGGTCAAAGGTCAAGGTCACAGGGGCCTTGACTAAAAAACTTTGTCCGCCCAATAACTTGAGATTCCTTTGACCCACAGTCTTCATATTTGGCATGGAGGTTAGTCATGATTAGTAGATGACTCCTATTGATCTTGAGGCCACTGGGTCAAAGGTCAAGGTCACAGGGGCCTTGACTAAAAAAAAGCTTGTCCGCCCAATAACTTGAGTTTCCTTTGACCCATAGTCGTCATATTTGGCATGGAGGTTAGTCATGATTAGTAGATTACCCCTATTGTTTTTGAGGTCACTGGGTCAAAGTTCAAGATCACAGGGGCCTTACCTTAAAAAAAGCTTGTCTGCCCATTAACTTGAGATTCCTTTGCCTCACAGTCTTCATATTTGGCATGGAGGTTAGTCATGATTAGTAAATGACCCCTATTGATTTTGAGGTCACTGGGTAAAAGGTCAAGGTCACAGGGGCCTTGACTAAAAAAACTTGATTTTTAAATTTTCACATTTGAAGCATGGAGAATACATATCTTAGCAATGCACTGGCTTAGTAACCTCAGATTTGACAGGGTGGTTGTCCTTGAGCTCTAAATGGCCACTGTCTGACAAAGTGGTATGCGGGGGTATTGACGCCATGAGAGTGGCAGTTCTAGTTAATAACTATAGTTACAAATGAGATATTTTTAAACAAAATTGGTAAATAGTAAGCTTATATTTATACATTGCTTGGGTTTGCTTTTTGGCCCTGTACAGTCAAGGTCACCATTACTAAAAATGATTTCAGCTTAGGATTGATATTTTGCCATCAAATCCTGTATATAGCAAGCTTGTGGTGATTTCTTGATTTCTATTGATATTTATTGAAATTAATTTGATTTAATTCCTACTTTGACAAAACAATGTCTTTGACAGATTCAACATGTTCAATAATTTAAGTATAACCTTTACCTAAAAGGATCCTCACTGTTAATTTATATACAGATTTGATTCTTATTTGGAAGAAAAAAAAAAACATTTTTGACAAAAGCAACATTTTAAATTATTGAAGCATGACCTTGATGTTGAAATAACTTTTACCTTCAAGGTCAAATATTTAATTTTGCTTAAATGCCGTTACTTTGTTGTGTTTTAGAATAGCTTTTGTTGAAAACTTGGTTTTGTGGCATTGCCATGTTTCTTCTATTCAATTTATTTGACTAGTTTATGATGTGAGTAATTTAATGTTTATAGGGTCATTACATAAAACATATATCACAATGATAAGGTGTATATTTTACAGGCAAATTTTTCTTCAACCAAGCTGAGATCGGAGGTATTCAAAGGTGTATTAACCAGCATGGAGATTCTACCTCTAAACAGAACACTGCTGCTGGGAGCTGATAATGGTGTTATCAGACTATTATGTTGATATTAAGAGTACATATAATAGTTACATCTTAACATCCATGAAGCATCCAGGATGTTTGTCTGAGATCCATGAGACATCCTGGACATTTTTCTGAGATCCATGAGGCATCCTGGATGTTTGTCTGAGATCCACGAGGCATCCTGGATGTTTGTCTGAGATCAATGAGGCATCCTAAATGTTTGTATGAGATCCATGAGTCACCCTGGATGTTTGTCTGAGATCCATGAGGTATCCTGGATGTTTGTCTGAGATCCATGAGGCATCCTGGATGTTTGTCTGAGATCCATGAGGTTTCCTGGACGTTTGTCTTAGATGTTTAATTATTAGACTAGTTGTTTTCTTAACTTAATAGAGAGTAGTTCTATTTGAATCTTTCCTGTAGTTCTGTATAATAGGGTAATCATTGTCTTTTAAGTTAGGTTCATGTCTAAAGTGAAACTAAGCATTTCTTACATGACTGTGTAATGATAAAGATATGCATGTACTGTCTAATTAGAATAATTTTATACATAAACAAAACATTACTTTTTAAATAGAAACAGGAAAAAAGACAATATATAGTTTTGAGCACTCGTAAGCTTTAAATATTTCTTGCCAGAGAAATTGTTTGACAAATACATCATCAGTAAAAAAAGATGCAGTTTTTAGTGTTACATTGAATTATATAGGAATCTGTCAATAAGTTGTGAAACATAAAGAGTATTTCAGATGCATAAGATTCTGGAGTGTTAAAAACAAATGTCAATTTGATTCATTTTATTTTGCAAGGCCAACTTGGTTAATGTTGTTAGGTGATCAACATGTAATAGACTTCCCTAAATTTGAAATTTCAATGGTTAATAAGTATATAAAGGGATTTCAGTACCAAAATGCTAAAAGTAGATCAGTCAGCTGTATGTACAGATAGCATCTGCTGGTTGGCCTTGTGCTAATCTCGTATACTGAACAACAAATTATCATAGTAAGTAGGCAGACATCTTTACCCCACTTTTTTCATCCAATGAGATTATCTAAACTTGAAAATTAATATGGTTTATTTGACCATACATTTAAATATCAAGTCTGTCAGGGTAAACATTATACATCCTACAAAAAGGACAACAACTAATTGAAGTTGCTTTTAAAAACAAAACTTTTTAAACAGCAATGACAGCACCTATGTCACTCCCTTTGAGCTGTTAAGATTGTTAAAAAAATCTTATTAGTTTCTATTACTCAAATGGAAAAATTTTAATGTCCAACATTTTAATTTTATGATGAATAAAAATGACTAAATAAATGCTCATAGCTATACTTGAATACATTGTATTAATAAATAATCTTATATGCATTGATAAAAGTTTAAGTTTTAGCAATTATATAAGTTTGTATATTGTAAAAATATTAATTTCCTATATGTGCCATAATACAGTGAATGTTAGTTCAAATAATTGTATTAAATCAATTGATAGAGTAGTTTTAAGAAATTGCCAAAATATTATCATGTTTTTTGTTACTGTTATAATTATTATAGGGGTAATTTGCTTTCGACATACAGTATTTATACATTGTTTTAACATGTGTCAGATATAAGATCTAGTACTAGATTTATATAGTAATTTGATATACAACAGTCTGCCAAGTTATAATCAGTTATACCACAGTCTGTCAAGTTTATGATCAGTTATACCACAGTCTGTCAGGTTTATACTGAGTTATACCACAGTCTATAAGGTCTATTATCAGTTATACCACAGTCTGGATTATCATCATTCATACCACAGTCTATCAGGTTTATAATTAGTTATACCACAGTATGTCAGGTTTATAATTAGTTATACCACAGTCTATCAGGTTTATAATTAGTTATGCCACAGTCTATCAGGTTTATAATTATTTATACCACAGTCTGTCAAGTTTATGATTAGTTATACCACAGTATGTCAGGTTTATAATTAGTTATACCACAGTCTATCAGGTTTATAATTAGTTATACCACAGTCTGCTAGGTTTATCATCAGTTATACCACAGTCTATCAGGTTTATAATCAGTTATACCACAGTCTATCAGGTTTATAATTAGTTATACCACAGTCTGCTAGGTTTATCATCAGTTATACCACAGTCTATCAGGTTTATAATCAGTTATACCACATACTGTCAGGTTTATAATCAGTTATACCACATACTGTCAGGTTTATAATCAGTTATACCACATACTGTCAGGTTTATAATCAGTCATACTAGTCCACTAGGTTTATCATCAGTAATACTACCACAGTCTGCTAGGTTTATAATCAGTTATACCATAGTTTGCTTTTTAGATGCACAAAACAGAGGGTTATGTGAAGTACTTGTATGTGTAATATAGTGTCCAGTTCATAAAGTGTCATAATTGTATAACTGTTTAACTGTATGTTACTGGTCTGTTCAGATCTGCAGATTTATTGTTAAATGAATATTAAGATAATTTTGTGTACTTTTAAATGACAATATTTTGATATATATGTTTCAGGGAATTAAAGGTTAATGCATGTAGTAACAAGTTAAATCAAGAGTTTTGTGTAAGCCACTATGTTTGGGATGTTATTTGACCAATGTACATGTACTTATTTTCTTGTCATGAATTTTGAAGGCATTCATATGATACCTCATTAATTGTTTTACTTATTATTGTTTTACTTATTATTACTTATAATATAACAAAGTTATGACTTTATTAACATATCCTAACATCATTCAGTTGTAGAAAGATTTTTCAAGAATAACATGTATCATAAAACAAGCTGTAATAATCTAACAGATGCTCATTTATAGATACCAAATTGGTGAAGGGAAAAGTAGTAAATGGTCAGTTTTCTTTAATTCATTGCTGATGTAACAATTGGTTAGCCACTGAAGTATCAATTAAATACAACATCCATAAGTAAACTACAATTCAAAAATGTTGCAAAGTTGTTATCCAGTTAATTCAGGTAAAAAATATTCTAGCAATTATAAATAATCTTTTATCTGATAGTATATCAACTATTATTTATTAATAAAATAAATGATGCTAGCTAACTTTCACTAGGTTTAACGATAAGCATGTACACTGCAACCCCATTATAATGCTCATGTTGGTCCCAGGTCTCTCAACACAGTGTTATGTATAAGGCTTATTGTGAAATTACCATTACCCCACCCACCACCGATATATATATAACACTTTATTAACACTTTATTTTGTAAAATAATATAATTATGTTTAAAAGAAACAGAAAACCATAAATCACAAATGTAAACACTGTTAGCCATTACAGTTGTAGTAAAAGTTTCCAGCTTTAGTTTTGTATATAGAGTAAGGTCCGTTGATGTTCAAGTCTTATATATATTATGTACAGGGGTCTAAGCAGAATGTTTGTAACTGAAAAGATTTAAACCTCACTTTGTTGAATTTTGTAGTAGACTGGCCATACTATGAATTTGGAGAAGTTCATCCTTTAGCTTTGATATTCTACAGTTCAATAGCCAACAGTGTATTGTCTGCCAAAACCACATACATGTATATGGAAATGAAAGATTTAGTTCACTTTTTTGTACTTTCCTTAGTAAGATGTGATTATTGGAGGTTTATTTTCGTGTCACATTTTCCAGTTCAATGATTTTTGTCAGAGTTATGGCCCTTTGATAATTTTTATTCCAGACTACTAATTTAATTTAAATGAAACTTTACTTGATCAATTGGTACCTCAAGTTCTTGCAAATATTTAACAGGTTACTTCTTGTTAATGATTTTTGGCTGAGTTATGGCCCTTGTATAAAAAATGCATTTTGGCCTGTTAATGATTTTTGTTTCTCCTGCTGCACAGTACATGTAGCTACAACACAGCTGCATCATCAGGCGACACATGTGATCAAAGATCGCTATTGTTCATGGATATGTTTTAAATAAATCTATCTATCTGCAGTTTAGCATGGCTATATACTGGTGGCAAAGGCTGTTATTACTGAAGCTAGTTTACAGAAAATTCAAAAGCTTGTTTTGTGAATTGTTTTGTTAAATGCTTAGTATCATGTCATATGATATACAAATTATGTTATGTGTTATGTCAAATTTGTGCAATATTTTGTAATTTGTGTTCAGTTTGTAACAAGTTTATAACTTGACTTTTGGAAGATTTGTGGGGTAATGCTATTTGTGCTAAAATCTAAGTAACACTTGGTTAAGGTTTTACATACAGCATTTAATAAATATTAATCCCTGAAACTACACCTGCTTCTTTATATCATTATTGTAGGTCTGCATTTAAGACCCATAACTCAAACATGTATTCCCCTCTGTGATTTTTCAAAAAAAATCTGGTAAAGGTTGCTTGCAAGTTCTAGCAGCATCCCTCTGAATGTGAATGTGTATTTGTTTGAAACTATACACTTGTCATTCAGGTAATTAATGTTGGTCAATGGGCAAGACCCATTTATCTAGCATGGATTTTAAGTGAAATATTCCTATTGTGAACTTATAAAATTCCTACATGGCTCTGGTTAAACTATGAAGCTCTGAGAATAGTTGAACATTCTGTCTAACTGACAGACTTGTAGTTTGTTGAGTTAATATGTATATTGTTTAGACATTGAACAAATGCCATGTTAAATTAAGGGCACTCTTCTATCAATATTTTTACATGTATTGTTGAAAATATGTTAGCAGTTAAATATTTTATGTTTTATTGTAAATTTTCTATTTTTGTTTTATGTCTCAAAAATTGTATAAATACTCTTTTGTAAATATCACATTGGATTCTTTGTGCATTTATTGTTAACTGAAGTTATTTTGTAGAGATTAATGTAGCACCAGTGTAAGTAAAGAAATCAAAATATACATGTAATAGTTACCAGTGTACATGTACTAAATATTGGCCATCTTTCATCAAATTATATACTTTCAATTGCATTTATTTCATGAATAGGAAGAGTTGTTATACTCACCTTAGGGTTCAGCATCACTGTCAAACTTTGATCAAGTTTTTGTGTGCAAATTGATATCTGAAAAAAAAAACTACTGAAGAAAAGGGGTTGGGACTTCACACACTGTGCAATTTGATATCTGAAAAAAAACTACTGAAGAAAAGGGGTTGGGACATCACACACTTCAGCTCTGCGATTATCTTACATGATGGGTATAGGTTTTATAACTCTGGGTTACTGTTTTATAAAGTAATGTCTTTAGCACTGAGAATAGTCAAGCTTGTTGTCTTGTATGGACAGCTCTTTTTCTTTTTTTCATTCTTTGAAGATTAATAGGATGAGATAATGAAATTTGAAATTGACTGACGTATAGGGCTGGGGCGAGTATCCGAGTACTCGGATACTAGTAATCACGAATCAAAGTGAAAAATCGAGTTTGAATATTCGTTAGTCCAGAGATCGTGGATCGCAATCTATTTTTTTAATATACATTCACTGTTTCTCACACTCTTTAAAATCAAGAAAAATACGATTTGAGTATAAATTATTGGAGGTTTACCTAAATACAATTTGCCGGTTAAAGACCATGTACCATGATGCTGTGCTAGGAAGTAATTGGTTTCAAAAAACAGAACAAAAATACTCATCCAAAGAATAAAAACATAAACCTAGTATATATTTTATATGTTTAATGTTTAGTATTGTTTTTTTTAAACAAACATGTTTTTAAAACTTATGTACATGTTTTATGGGTGTCTTGATAACAAAAGATTTGTGGTTCGATTTGTGAATCATAAGTGCTGACTCGTGGTTCGGATCGGATTGTCACTTATCCGACGATCCACACCCCTACTGACGTACTAGATATATGTAATATTACACAGTGGAGACAATTCATATACATGTATTTCACCAAATTCGGAAGGCATCAGTCAATACCAGTGACAATAGGACAAATTCTGTTATTTTATAGTTTCATCAAAACATAGACGAAGGTCATGGTAAACGTTACAGCTTTTATATTTCAGTGTCTATGATAGAAAGGTTAAGACAAGAAAGGCATACTGTATTCAGTGTGCTATATGATATGAAACACTTAATTATCATTGATGTATGCTAGATTTTTTTTATATCAGTAGTTATATCTCTTAGTGTGAATGAATGGAGTGTTTGACCGCTGTGTTGGATTTTGACCTTGAATGGTGATGTCCTGTATTGTCCATTTTGATTAAGATTGTACTACTTATGGACCAAATTATATTATTGTGATATGTTAATATTTATTTCAGAATCTTTCTATAGAATATAGGATATAATTAACTAACTGAACAAAACCATAGATACAAAATTTGTTATTAATATGTTATTTATTTTAGCTTGTTTTTAGCATGATTTTTATATATATCTTTTTTTCAATTTTCATATTTTAGTATAATTTTACATTGGTGCATCTATGTTCTTGTTATGTTTGTTTTTGATCAATGTTGCATGAAAGGGACACATATCAAAATTTTCCTTTATTTTCTTGTCCAAATTTTATGTATATTGCCTGTGTTATTATTTCGCTATATTAATTATAAGTATTAAATTATTTATGATATTATGTGTGAACCTTTGACTTCAATGATGTTTCATTGTTGATTCAGGAAACATAATCTTAAATATACTTCAACATTTCACTGGTATGAGTAAGATTTCATTACATACATGTAGTTTAATTTAATTATGAAAACATCCAGGGTTTTCAATTGTGTCTTAAAAACAAGCATGTGAAGATTAATGTTCTCTCACTTAGACCGTTAAAGACATACATGTATCACATTTATACTGTGGTGTAACTTGAAACAAAGTTTGAGTGTTTATGAAATGATCATTGTCAAAATTTAAAATATACATACATCTAGATGTATATACATGTATGATATTTGTCAATTAGATTAAAACTATGGTTTGTTTAAACAGCTGCCATTTTAAATTAAAACTTACTCCAGACAGTAATCAAATCTTTCTCGTATGAACTTGATTTGATCATGTAAATTAATTTTTCATGATAATTTTGTTACCTTAGCAGACCCACCCTTTTACCATTTAGGGTTCAAAATTCTAACTGGATATTGCTTGTTTTTCTACAAAAAAAGCCACACACCTAGTTTTCTAAAGTGATTGTCTACTGTTTAAAAGGGAAGGGCCCCTGGATTTTTTGTACCAGTAAAAGCTGAAGTCACATATCACGTTGGTTTTTGCCAGTGTCACAAAATCAGTGCACTGATTTAGCTATTTCAACTATTTAAGCAATGTAATAGCGTTTGGCAGGCATGTTTTAAAAAACGTCTTGCTATCTGCTTTTTTAAGCGTGTATTATTATTTGAAAACTTTATTTGCTTTATTCGATAATTTGATTACTATAAAGGAAGTGATTAAATTTTATGTTGTTTCTACATGTATCTTGATGTAGATATTTGAATTGTTTCAAGGCTTTATTTATTGATTGGAGATATGAAAGTATGTCAAGTGCTTGAATCATGTCACGTGATATGATAATGTGCAAAGTATATGAGTGTCACAAACATGTCCTGTACCAGTGTTGTTGTATAGTAGTTAATTTGTGCAATAAAAGTGGTCAATGATGAACAAGAAAATAAAATTAATATAGAATGATTTATTTTACTAGTTATTTCTTTCTTAAACAAAATGTTCCAACAGCTTTTGAAAAATAAACCCGTTCATCGTTTATAGCCATCCGAAAAAAAAAACGTGGCCAAATCTCACAATTTATTTTTAAACTGTAACTTATAGAACGCGAGTCATATATATGTTATATATCACGTGGATGTCAGATCACGTATCATGTATTGTCTATAAAATTAGTCTTTATTCCAGTTTGACTTTATCCAGAATGACGTCATTTTCTATTCTAAGACAGTTGATGGATTTCATGCTCAATTTCTGTCCATATTCAAGAAATTCTTCACCGTTTACTTTCACCTGGAATGAATTATCGAAAATACTTAAAACTTCTTAAAATAGACAAACATGCAATGTACTGACATTTTAAACATTCTCCAATCATGAATAAAATATATTTGTTTAAAGTCATCTCTGAAATACTTGCTAAACATTTATTGTTTTCTAATGCAAGTTTGCGTGCGCATGAATATTGCGCATAAGTAACCAATCCAAATAAATGCTGTAACGCTTCGTAGATTATTTGTACCGTACATATTTCTTTGTCATTGAAGAAAAGAAAATACATTTATGGGAATTTACAAAAGATTAACTTTAATAATAACTTGAATACTATATGCGACTTTTATTAGAATGCATATGATATTATCATTGTCCCTATTTTAAATGACGGATAGGGGACTTGATACCGATATTCATTACCAACACTATGTTTGTTTATGATTTGAAATTGTTAAGGAAATTTAAGCTCTACCACATACCCTGAAGTAATCATCTTCGACCACGATTTTTATTTTAAATGGTTCTTCCGGGTAAAATGGGAACGAGCATTCGCCTGCTTCCTCCATTTGCCAGTTACCCTCTATCTTACAATTTGTTACAATCTTTTCACAGCACTCGCCATAGTTAAAGCGGGCATCGAACACAAACGCCACCTCATCGGGCTCGGATTCTGGTCCACGTTGAAGGAAAAGTGTGAATCTGTAAACGACGTGGACATGTTTTAAAGCATGGATAATGCGATTGTATTATTCCATTCAAATTTCATTGTGCTTTTTACTGATGGTTTAAACTTAGAAAGGTTTAATTATTTTCTGGAAAACTGTATAAATCAAGAAACAATATAAATATTATCAAAAATAACAATCAGGCAGCATTCTTGTTCACTTGAAACGTTAAAAATATCATTATTGATCTATTTTAAGCATTCCATTATTAATATAATCAAATGGACTGACATTAAAATATAGCAGCCTTACACATATGTTGGCTGGCATGAGCAAAGGACAACATGATTGTATTTGTAAAACTTGTATTTAAGAATCTGTAATTTACCTGGAAGCTCCACCAGGTGCCCGTCCTTTAATAGTGATTTTCTGTATCCATTCTGTGTCCATGAAACAGACAAACGGAACTTCCTGAAAATACGGCCAAATATCATCTTAGAAAACTCTTTATGCGGACAAAAAATAAATAGTGATTTTAATAGTGATTTTCTGTATCAATACTGTGTCCATGAAACAGACAAAGGGAACTTCCTGAAAATACGGCCAAACATCATCATAGAAAACTCTTTATGCGGACACAAAATAAATGAGCCGCATCATGACAAAACCAACGTAATGCGTTTGCGACCAGCATGGATCCAGACCAGCCTGCGCATCCGCGCAGTCTGATCAGGATCCATGCTGTTCGCTTACCAACTCTTACAAGTAGAGAAACTGATAGCGAACAGCATGGATCATGATCAGACTGCGCGAATGCGCAGGCTGGTCTGGATCCATGCTGGTCGCAAACGCATTACGTTAGTTTTGTCGTGACGTGGCTCAAATGTATCATCCGATAAAGATGACGCAATACCTGTATATATTAATTTATTTAACATAGTTTCGGAAAATGTTTTTTAAAAAAACTTACTGGATTATCAAATGACTTCACCATGATGTATCTCCTGTAATCTGACGCTGAATGTGTACGTGAAAGATCTTGTCGCAAAACTCTTACATGTTATCAAATATTTCACTACGATAAATGAGGCCCGGAAATATGTCACACACATAGTTGACTTGTTCTGATTGTGTTTTGAAGTACTTTCGGGAAAGCTATTGTAATGATAGTATCACATGCTCGCATCATGTGGTTATTTGTTTAAGGGTCTAGTTTCTCGTGCGTTTGAGATATTTGATACACTATCATTTTGTCGTGGTCACATCAGGAACTTAATATAACAAACTTATTTTATAAGAAATTAGATACATTGTATATCTATATTCATTATGTCCTCATCATTGTGATTATGGAGCTATCCTAACCTCTTAAATAGTTAAACATTTATAAACTCCCTATGACAATTTATTTCAATGCCAGATATATTTTAAGAAACCAGGGTCTGTATATATTATAAATAAGCTACATTAAACGTGCGTAATTATTTTCGTTTAACAAATCAATTTGACAAAACTGATTATGACTGTTTTGCCACTATGTCAAGATAATTCATTTTTTTGGCGGATTAGGGAAGTGGGGGTATGTGACATACCCAATGACCATGCTGCAATCTCGTCCATTTTGATTAATAGTTAAAGTTATATAGGGATAAAAGTCTAAGATTTAGAGTCCTGGACGAGGAACAGTTTTTCCATAACAACTATGTTGACCACAACTTGTCTTATGTTTCGTTGAAATGATACTTACAAACAAAATTAATGGAATTATATTTGTTTGCATTTCTATGAACATTTGTCCTGTTATTGACAAAGAATGAGTGGTCTCTTTCATAAATATTTCAACGTTGTTGTTATGTAAGTATTTTGTATGGCTAGGACAGAAGTCTTTATTATATCGTTATTTTCATGCTTTGTTTTTGTTAGATTGAGCGCCAGTTCAACAATATTTCAGTATTATACTTGCAGGTAGTATAGTTACCTTAAATCATACTGTGTCATTTTCTTCAAAACTTCTTTACCTGCGGGGATGGAATAAGACTTTCTTTATATTATTAGATTCTTATTTTCTCTATTTGATCGCCACATCAGCTTTGTTTGTGCCGTTCGGAGGCCGTAAAAAAGTCACCCCGTACATTCAATCAGAGATGTTATTCTTCCGATCCTTAAAGATCGTTCAGCACGACTTTATTGTTGCGTTTGTGGTATTTTAAGTTTTCACTATTCGGCCTTTTCTATTTGGCCTACTTGAATAATGTTGAATCACCCTTAGGATATGTTGGCTGTATTTTAACTTTGACGTCTTATCTGTGATATTCAGGTTCCATAAACATTGACCCCCTTTCAAAAGTCCATTTTGTTTAGTTCCGTCCATTGTTTTCTCGTTTAGGGCACACGTACTATATTAATTGAGGACCATACGCCGCTTTCATTGATGGCACGAAAGTGTCGCATTGAACGTTCCATGATAACCGCCGTATGAACACATATACGGATGTTTTTTTTTTTCTAAATTCAAAATTTCACCATTTTCACGTTTAAATGTTGAATTCTTCTTAAGCAGGTGCTGGGGGGGGGGGGGGGGGGGGGGGCGTTGGTGGTAGTTTGCACTTTACAGTACCGTTCATGAACAGGCTCAATTAAACCGAACCTGCAACATTTTCAATTTTGTTTAGAGATTTTTATTTTCTCTATAAATACATATCATACTCAAAGGAAATGTCGGGGATGAACACGTGTCTTGCTTGCACTCACATATCCAAAGTCTATATACCCCAATTAAGTGAATCTCGCGGGCAGCTTTTTTAGTTTAATTATGTTTAATTGTAACACATACACATAAAGTAAAATACAAATGATAAGCATATAACAAAAGTCAATGAGCTGGACACCATGCAGTTCTTGCAATTTTCCTTTTTTCTTTATATTTTGACAAATGCGATGATTTTAACATTATGTGGAAAATTTTGCAAATTTGACGGATAAATCATTTTTGAAATTACAATTCATATTAGCAAGTGACATTGAAATAATATTTTAAATGTTAAATATAATATATTTTCATGTTCCTTGAAAAACACAAAGTTGCTTTCAAGCCATTATAACCTTATCACGCCCGTTTAACTCACAACGAGTGAAAAATGTCCATCGGTTAAAATGTTGTGAGCAACTTCCGTTCCTCGTTGTGAGCACCCGTCTAGGACGTTTGACACGATAAACAAGGTGAGTTTTTTCATATTTTTGAAGATTACAGACATTTATGTAAAAATATCGGAATGCAGTTAGCTAGCGATGTGTTTTCCGAGTATGCATATGTAAAGATATTGCCTATTGGTCGACAATTTGATGGAAATACCGTGCGACGCAGTCACTCGGGGTCGCTGGAAAACTGGAGACAACTTCTCTTCGAACCAAATTTAACATTGAAAACGTCGATTTTGGTGAAGTTTTGTGCATTCTAACCTTAAACAGATGCCCACAAGTCTTCAGCGTAAATTATTACATGAAAGTCTTCATAGAAACGAAGATATACCCTTATTTGCTTTAATCCTCGTTGTGAGCACCATAACCTCGTTGTGAGCAAGACAAGCGCAGTGCGTGTCTGGTTTTAATATGTTATTCAGATGGTGAAAAAGGGGGCGTCCGTGCCTGAGTGGTTAAAGTCGTTGACTTCAAACCATTTGCCCCTCACCTCTTTGGGTTCGAATCCCGACAGGGACTTTGGATTCTTTCATGTGAGGAAGCTATCCAGCTAGCTTACGGAACGTCGGTGGTTCTACTAAGGTACCCGTTCGTGCCTGAAATAATGCACGGAAGGGCACCTGAGGTCTTCCTCCACCAGTAAAGCTGGAACGTCGCCATATGACCTATACTGTGTCGATGTGACGTAAAACCCAAAACAAACAAAAGATGGTGAAAATATAATTTTCAATCTACCAAAGCAATTAAAACGTTTTTGCACAGCAGCATTTCTTTGCAAGACGTTGTGTATATCCCGAAGGGAGGCATATTAGTTTTGAACTGTCCGTCCGTCAGTCCGTCAATCCGTCCGAAAACTTTAACATTGGCCATAACTTCCTCATTAGTAAACGGATTTGATTCATATTTAAACACAACATCCCTTAGCACAAGACCTTCCTACGGGCCTGTATTTTTTTTCCTTGATCCCTGAATGGCCTTTACCTTGAAGGTCAATTTGTCCAAAAACATTTAAGATTGGCCATAATGTCCTTATTAGTAAATCAATTTAATTCATATTTAGGCACAACACCTCTTTGGACAAGGCCTTCCAACTGCAGTACTATTCTTTTCAGTGATTGGACATGGGGTCGTTCAAGGAGAGACCGAAGCGAGGCATCAAGTATGTACTTGCCCTGGTCTGAAAAAGATTAGAACTACTAGAAAAACTGTCAGTGATGCATAAAAATCAAAAGAAAAGTTTTGGTCATGTCTCTTGCAAAAACATTCTTTTCAGTTAAACACACTGTAAAATTAGCTAACCCAAAATTGTACCAGTGGTGAAACACCTAAGAAGTCAAGAAGATTTCTTAAAATGCCACTATTTCATGATGAAAATGCTATTTAAATGTCAAACACAGACTGTCATGAGCTTTCTAGGAAAGACAGTGCAACTAAAATCATGAAAAATGCTCGTGTACAGAGCAAACAAACGCTGAGAACTATTTGAATCTGTTATTATATGCGACTATCGTTTTTTGCGGAGGATTACTTATTTTGTGTATTGTAACTTTTAACACTTCACTAGTATATTCTTAGCTTAATAGATAATGGTAAACGAATAAAAACTACTTATACCTACAATTTTGCAGAATAGATGTTTTGCTGTTTGTGCAAATGGTGGTGAACTAATAAGGGGAGGTAAATTATGTATTTAATTGCATATACTTCGTGTTGCCAGAGTTAACATAGAGGGCAGTCTGTGTGATATAAACATGCATGTATTTATCCTGAGTTTTATTCATGTTAGACTGGCCAAGTTATGTAGACAAAGACGAACTATTGCAAAGAGAAACTATTGTGCAAAAACGTTTTGATTGCTTTTGGTAGATTGAAAATTCTATTGTCCCCACTTGAATTGTACATATTAAAACCAAACACGCACTGCGCTTGTCTTGCTCACAACGAGGTAATGGTGCTCACAACGAGGATTAAAGCAAAAAAGGGTATATCTTCCTTTCTATGAAGACTTTCATGTAATAATTTACGCTGAAGACTTGTGGGCATCTGTTCTAGGTTAGAATGCACAAAATGTCACCAGAATCGACGTTTTTCAATGTTAAATTTGGTGCGGAGAGAATTTGTCTTCAGTTTTCCAGCTACCCCAAGTGACTGCGTCGCACGGTATTTCCATCAAATTGTCGACCAACAGGCAATATCTTGACATGTGCATACTCGGAAAACACATCGCTAGCTAACTGCATTCCGATATTTTTACATAAATGTCTGTAATCTTCAAAAATTATGAAAAACTCACCTTGTTTATCGTGACACACGTCCTAGATGGGTGCTCACAACGAGGAACGGAAGTTGCTCACAACATTTTTACCGATGGACATTTTTCACTCGTTGTGAGTTAAACGGGCGTGCTTATAAAACTAGTTCCAACGGTAATACTGACAAAAGGGCGGACATTTTTAACTTATGTAGATATATCCATTAGATATTTTAAAGTGACACAGGAGAGCCTCTGATACCATCTTCGTAAAATGAATTATGTCAAGGTATATCATATCAGTATTAAATGATAATAAATTTAGATAAGCTATCCTCCATAACCAAACCAACACCCACTTATATAGCAATCGGCCGTCTCCGTCAAGCAACGGATTAGGGTGGGTTATCGACGAGAAGTACCAAAATTTATTATCCTATCCAATTTTGATATTCAACTGGCCAGAGGTATTTCCTGCAATTTGTCTGGACAAGTAGAAGTTAATTACAAGATTCTATTTTTAGGAAAAATGAACGGATTGGGAAAGGACAGCTTTTATCCGCATTAAAAAGGACCTTTTTGTAATAAATTATTTCTTTTGAATATGATCATAGAACTAAGATTTTTAAAGTTGAAATTCATTCGGAACCAAACCTAGACAGACATACTTTGCTTTTTATTGTTATAAGATGTAATGAAAATAAATGTCAGCATAAATAAAGAATCCCTAAATAACGCACAAAATGACAAAATCGAATATGTTGCAGGCTCGGTTTGATCGCGCCTGTTTATGGACGGTAATGAAAATGCAAGTTACCGCCCTTACCCCCTAGCACAGGCTTAATCCGAATTCAACATTGTATCATGGCAATGGTGAAATTTTGATTTTAGAAACATGAAAATACACAGCTATCTTGTTAATGAAGGTGAGCAAGAGATGAGTGCTTATGTGAAAAACACAGAGGAACTTCTTTACCATCAATCATAGCACATAAATTTCATTTTAGTAAGGACAAAGGAACAACAGGGTAATTAACTGTATAAACATATAGAAACAACAACAACACATAAATAGTTTACTTTTATTTTGTAACCAGATCGAGTAATAACAATTAACAGATCTTGTCCCAATTGGTCTTAATTTTTTTATGCAAAATATTCTATATTTTTACTTTGATGTAACTTGACTATTTTGAATATGTATCTCACACGTAGAAATATTGTTCACACTTGCCTTGTTGATGTTTAGAAATAACGAGTTTGAAAGTATTGCATATGTACTTATATTAACAGCTGCCTTTATGTGATAGAAATAAACGTGATATAAAGACCCGGAACTGTTTATTTTAAACAGGTAAATTCTTTAAAAAGAGCACGTCTGTTCTTCAATTAAAACGGTACATTCTATCCCTATATTTATCTATGAATATATATACAGGTATATATAAGTTATTGTTCATAGAAACAGTTTATTGCAATTTCACTTTATCAAGAATGACATCATTTTCTATTCTCAGACAGTTGATTGTCTTCATGCTGAGTTTTTGTTCATATTCCAGAAAATCTTCATTGTTTACCTTCACCTGTGAAACAAGAAAGAAAAAAAAAATTCAAAATTGAGGAGACTAAAATGTGAACATTGAATTGTATGTTAAAGAGAAAGTTAAAGTTTTGATAACAAAATTTTCACTCAAGATGTTTGTTAATTATTAAAAGACATTAGACATAGTTTTGTATGAAAAGAATCACATTTGTGAATAATAATCGCATGTAAATACATACTGAATTAATAATAATAATAATAATAATAATAATAACTTTATTTTGAGAAGGTGACATATTAAGAGTACATAATAAACAAACAACTTATTTCAAATATGGCCTTCTATCTATACATATATAAACAGAAAACAGAAATAACAATTGTTATCATAATACTACCTTGAAAGAATCATCCTCAACAATGATTTTGATTTTAAATGGCTCCTCCTCATTAAAAGGGAATGGACAGTTTCCATCTTCTTCTGTTTGCCATGCCCCCTCAATCTTACAGTTTGTTACAATTTTGTTATTGCATTCTCCGTAGTTAAAACGGGCATCGAATACAAACGCTACCTCATCAGGCTCGGATTCTGGTCCACGTTGAAGGAAAAGTGTGAATCTGTGAATTTGACAATGTTCATTTCATTATTATAGACGATGTATCAAAAAGCATTTTGTTGGACAACGAATAGCTTATGCTGCGTTATACAAAATTGAGCCGCGTCACGACAAAACCAATATAGCGCGTTTGCGACCAGCATGGATCCAGACCAGCCTGCGCAGTCTGATCAGGATCCATGCTGTTCGCTGTCAGTTTCTCTACTTGTAATAGGGTTGGTAAACGAACAGCATGGATCCTGATCAGACTGCGCGGATGCGCAGGCTGGTCTGGATCCATGCTGGTCGCAAACCCATTGTGTTGGTTTTGTCATGGCGCGGCTCAAATTATCTCCTAACAAGACCATTTTCCATTTATCTTAGTATTCATTCTTTCTAATGTTCATTTGATAATATCAGATATATAGAATGATTATGGTAGAACAGAATTAATATCGGAAGTTACCAGGAATTGTAAGGCAGAAATATTATTTAACACGTTACCTGGAAGCTCCAGCTGGTGCTCGGCCCTTGATTGAAATTTTCTGTATCCAATCTGTGTCCATGAAAGACACAAATGGAACTTCCTGAAATTTAAATAAGACAGTTGTTAAAACTTAAAAAGTTTCTTGCAGGTTAGATAATTACCGTTCTCAGTCGTTAACAACATTGTAACTCAAGGGGAATTATATGGTGATGACATATTGATTAAATCCTGGTATACCCAGAACAATGGTAAGATTTTATTTTAATTTATAATTAATCATCATCAGTCATGGTAACTGTCTCGTATTTTTTAAGAAAGTTTTGTTTCTCTGAGTGGACCCATTAGTTTGGTATATTGGCATAAATTTCAATAATTTTATTCGGTTTGACATAGTTCTATTAAATTTACGTTACCACGTGTATAATTTCTGGATATTTGGAGTTCTAGATAAAGTAATATACGTGTTTATACCATTTAAAACTACGGTAGGTCATGGTAATATCAAATCATCAAATCAGTATAAGTGCGTTGGCGTATAGGATTACTGCCAACACTGATGATTATTACAATTTTTGATCTGCCCAGATTTTTGTGACAAGTGTTTACTTTATGATAAGACTTCAAATTGTAGCTTGAATATTTGTCAAAACTTGTTTCAAAATAATTGACAAATTTTTATACAACATGCTTTAAAAAATGAGATGTTACAGGCAGAAATTCCTTTCTTTATCCCCTATAATACACGACAAGCAAACTTTTACATCTCTCAATTAACGGACAATATATAACTGTTTTACAAGGAAGATACTGTTTTAAGTTGTACAACATGCACTTAAAAACCGGGCTCCCGCGTTTGTGTTTTGATCTTGGTTTCAAAAAATGAAACCGGTCACGGGCAAAACCCAAATAGTGCGTTCGCAGTCTGATCGGGTCCTTTCTGTTCGCTAAACAGTTAAATCTACTTGTAATAGTAACATGTAAGCGAACAGCATGGATCCTGATCAGACTAGGCGGATGCGCAGGCTGGTCTGGATCCATGCTGGTCGCAAACCCATTATATGTTGGTTTTGTCATGACGCGGCTCTAATAATTTTAGAGTATCATGATGCTAGTTTGTTTGTTTATGTCTCAAGTGGTTGTCAAGTAAATAAAATTATGCCGTGTTTGTTATAAAGAACTGAAAATGATTGACGATGTTGTTGATAAGGGCTTGACCCAGACACCTTATTGATAGTGAAGGAATTTATCGTACGTATCTTCGTCCGCATTTGCACATACCCTATGACAATAAATTTAAATATCTTCAATGCTTCCCACGTATGTTACAAGACTTTCAAATTTATTTATATGGGAACTGTACGAAGTTTAGAAATATCAAAAGAATATTTGCATTCAATCGATAGAAGCATAAAAGCGTTGGCCAAGCTAATCCAAGTTTTGTGATAAGAAACAAACTGGACAAATAAGTGGACACTCGCCTTTTTGTTTGATTTCAAACAGCTATGGCATTTTTCCAAGTGTATTTTATCAAAATTTTCCATGTTTGTATCTAGTGACCAAATATATTTGGAACTATATCAAATTTTAAGCGACCCACTCATGGAAAAAATGCAAAGACTTTTTGCGCAACCAATACTTTAATCATGACTCTTGATAAAACCATGCTACATTTAGAATCACCAATAATTAGTTAGTTTTGATAAATCAAGTAACACTTGATAATTGCTGTTTTAAAACGATTTCATTTTTAAAAGACTTTACTAATATTTTAGTATCGTTTTTATATCGGATTTCTACGAGTTTGATAGGGAAAATATCCTAGATCAGGCACGTCTGTGATGACACATTGTAAATATATTTAAGATAAAAAGAGGGATAAAGGTCGTGATTTATTATCAATGCCATATCAGCTTTTCTGTCCTAAAAAGGTATTTCATTTTACAAACAAGCTTTACAATGTGGGTCACAGAGATAACGCGGATCTTTTCATTCATTAAACGTGTTGAAGCGTTGTCCTTAAATTATACTGGCGCCAAAAATATTTATCATCCCGGCCTTCAGTAAAAATTACTATAGTATAGTAAAGTTTCATCATCGGTAGCACTGTAGTAGATTAAAATTATCACAAACATTGAAAATCAAAAGACTAAAAAAAACCCCCAAAAAACAGCTTAGATACATCTTATCTAGACATTAGATTGAAACCCAGATTAAAACAACAACGTCAACAACAACAACACTGGTTTGGAAGACTTAGACCAAAAAAAAAACATTGGTTTGGAAGAAGTATATAACCTTAAAGTCATCATTTGATTCAACCAATCCAATTCGCTGTATCGGATGACGTAGAAATTAAAGTTGTTTTCGTCAAGTAATAACATTTCTGGCAAACTCCGAATATGGCACAAGTATCACAGAACAAGATACAGATGTCATATGTCTAATAGCTTTAACTAAAACATGTACTTAAAGCTATTTCATTAACATCGCTAGCCAGGGTTACCATGTGGGTCTGAAATATGGGGATTTGGCTATATTACAAAAGAAGTTATAGATCTAGTTTAAATACTAATATTATTCATCGTTGTCTTGTTAATCTCACAAATTGCTTCAAATTTGCAAGCAGTACACGTTGCCTAAATAATCACTTTAATAATGTATTAAGATGAAATAAGCAAAAATTAACACGTTTTTATGAATGTGCTTGTTAAAAAGCAAGGTATGTGACGCTATCTAGCAAATTATGTTTATACAGACAAAGCCACAGGTACTTGGAGTGTGGAGCTCCAAACGCCTTAAAATCCAATAGATGTTGAAATATGTTTTTTTTTCAAAACAGCTTATATTAAGATTTTTTTTATATATATGATAATTATATGTGTTGGGATTGACAAATATACATTTTATTTGGATTAAAGCTTCACAACCCAAGTGTAGAAAAAGCAATACAATGTAACTATATTTGGTGCAAAAGGGTGACTGCATACTCTGATTACAGTGTTTTAATAATTAATTATTACAGAAGTCATTTCAATATTTCCAGTTTACATTTGTAAAATATGTTACTATGGTAACAGAAGACATGACATCAGTACTGATCAATGCAGACGGCGGTTTCCAGGATTATAACAGATGAGCTAATACTTTTATCGTCATGTCGGTGACCAGTTCGATAATTCTAGTGGTCAGTTAATTACTTTATTTGGTTCAATGTTTAAATTAGACTGCTTTTTTTCTTCCCTTTCCCCTTTTCCATTTGCGCTACATACATTAATTGGTGCAAATGACAAAATATCGGATATCAAATGAAACTTCTTGAAATACATGTAAAACTATATAAAATAAAAAATACAGATATATTACAGAAAAATGTATGTCATTTTAATTTTTTGACACAATAACCCGATTTATCAAGCATCTATAAACAAACGTCTTAAGACATTTTTTGTAAAAAAATATTACCCTTAATGTAACGTATACATACTCGAAATTTTACAGGGAACCTTTGCAACTAGAATTTTTACACACATTTATTTCAAAGCCTATTTCACGTAATATATAAAGTTTTCTCCAACTTCAAACTTCACTTGTTTTAAATTTATTTTGACCCACTCTCCTGATTAGAGAAATTTAATTATTTTCAGCATATCTAATTACTTGAAATATCAAAATAAACAACACTACGTACAAACAACTTAAAGTAACAATAAACACTTAAAAAATAATCAACATTATTTAGCACAAACAACTTAAAATAAAACACAAAAATAGTAAAAAATAAATATAACTTACTGGGTTTTCCAATGTTCGCACCATTTTGAAGTCTGTGATGAAGGAAAGTGTTAAGGTGTGTGCGGACTAGACTTATAATTTTATAAAATCGGAGAGACACTCCAATCCAGTGATAAATGAAGATAAGAGAGGCCCGAATTTCATAGAATATTCCCTAACAACATATACGGTAAATTTTAAATCTGTGAGTCATACTCTGCACGTATATTTCCTTAACCACGACAATGTGGTTTAAACATTGCGGATTTTGTTGATGTTTTTTCATTAATACATGTAGTTAATTAATCCACACACTTGTCGCAAAAGTTTATCTATGATTAATGTTCCCAAAGAATTAAAAGGAAGATTTTTGTTAAAACCTTAATCTGTATTTTAATGTCGTAATGAATATACTAGTAGTACTCGTCTATATTTAAAACAATACACGTTTACCTATATGACAATGTAACAGTGTAATGCACGTCTTATTTACAACGTTAACCATAATTAACAGGTAAACGTTATCTACGTATATGTAGTGCTTTATAACGTTATAGCTATTAATGAGTATATATAAATATTCTACGTTATCATTATATGAACACAAGCGACGTTTGTCTATCAAGGGATGTCAGTCTGTTTTTATTCCGTTTCTTATAGAGGATTAACGAGATGAATAGAATTATATTGTCAAAAATGTAAAAAGCATAGTGCGTTAGAAATTTGAAATTGGTTACATATTGTTCACGGTATAAGACCATCAATATTTCTAAATTAATTTTTTAATAAACAATTCATTTGAATGAAGTTAATGCAGTGCATTTCCGAACATTGCACAGTCTTTTATAAACAATTCTTTATAACAAAGTTCTGAAATCAAGCGACGGGCCTTAGAATTTTCAATATAAGATCTAGAGTGGGCAGTAAATTTTTGCGGGATAAGAGATAAAAGTAACCGTGTCGCATTATTCCGTTATTAATGTGGTATCGAACACACCCGCTATCTGGACAAACATACCGAGGTCAACAAGATAGCTTCACCAAGTGATGACGACAAGCCCTTAAATTGTGAATTAAACCACGTGACCACCACGTGACAATCGTAGTAACCTCGTATACAAGTCATTCATCATCATATAACAGTAATACTTTTTCAGTAATCTAGATATGGGCGTATGCATCGTAACATCACCGTATATTCAACAAGTTGACAAGGTCTAGCTTTCAGTTAATTTCTTGTTCTTATCTGTTTACAACTCTTAAGTAAATATCATAATTCCAATTGGTATGAATGTTGTCGATACATTTAAGCAAAGTTATAAAACTGGGTGGATAAATCTATATTGGAGTACTTCATAAATATAGCCTAATTTATTCTAAACGGACAGAAGTTATGTCTTTTATCCAAACATTCATAGAAATTCATATTTGTATTAACCCATTACTTCATGAGCATTTTGTGAAAAATGGCTGTTTTCATTGAAAAGTCTCCCGTTACAAGTTCAAATTGCTATAATACTATAAAAACTGCTTCAACACTAATCAAACTTGGCACAAATGTTGACTGGACCATTGCACTTGCAACAACATGCTCAGGCTTAAATTTTCTGTTACCATGGCAACGAGGGGACATCTCAAAATTGCCAAAAATCACTATTTTGCGTTGATTTTTTCCATCAAAATTGATTTCAAAGTGCTGCACTTTCTCAATGGATTGAGATAGAGTCAAATGCTTTTCAGCGTTGGTTACACGTTACCTTATGATCAATCTGGGGTCATTTACAGCCTCTCACAAGTCCAAAATTTTTCTTGGCGATGAGGGGGACTCCGCCCCCCTTCAAACCCCCCAAACAGAAGGGGGCACATCCCCCTTCTGGCAACCCCCTGATGTGTCTTTTGGTTGGGGGGCCGCGCCGAAAAAGAGGTCACTTTTTTTAACAACATTTCTCAAACAAAAACAAGTGTTTTGGGCCTAAATAAGGCATTTTTTCATCATTTGAGACAACAAAAAGGGGGGGGGGGTGAAAAAGGCGTTAAAAGGCGTGTATATGAAGTAATGGGTTAAGATAGTAGTACGGTGGCAAATATTGAAGAAAACAACATTTTCTAATGAATCTTAAAATATATTGACTGTTTTTGCTGAATCTAGTTTTTCAAAGTTAGCTAATTTTTGCCATGACTATTTTCTGTCTAAGGAGTACATTTAAATTACCATGTTTGATACACCTTTATAATAGCATCACAATGCTATAATCGTGTATCCGTTGTCAAGCCAACCAAGTAAAAAATGTAAATGTTCAAATTAAGGATTAATATAAAGATGATAAAATTTCATTATCAGTATATTGTAATCGGTTAAATAACCGACCATGCCTTTAGCCGGAGTGACACAGGAATTCTGCCCTTTTGGTGCGGGAGTAAATCAAATGTTGACTGTCAAAATATAACAACTACTATATTATATTACGCATTCCCCCAATGTTCACTAAGGTATGAACTTTTAGGCTAATTGCTCAAAGGCAAAATGTCAAGTCCGACTGGAAATCGCCAGTTCTATCTATAAAGAGTGGGGCAGTCTTTTTATATTTTAGGCAGTTTTTATCCAAAGTATTTGTAATTATCAACTAGACCTATCAATGAAGGCGATTAATACCCCAACCAGCAACTTAAGACTTTTTGAACAAGCAATTACCATAGTATTGCAAGCAATCCATAAGTCCCCTACCGGTTAGAACCCCAGCAACATTCTGATTTCAATTTTACCAGTGAATAAATGACACGAATGAACTTAAATCTTTTGAGTTCTAAGTTTGTCTATTTCTCAGTAATGTGTTAAGTTTCCCTGCCTAGTAAGGAAATTATGTTTATACAACCGTGTCATATTATTACTATGTGGGATTTTAAAGTAAATCCTACAAGGAATGAAGAAGTTGGAGTAAAAAATACCAATTTGTCGAAAAAAATTTAAGTTCAAGGGGGACATAATTCTGGAAATAGTCTTGCTAGAGTATTTAACCTTCTCAAAAATGTTGAGTGATAATAAGAAACATATATATGAAGTTCGAAGTAGATACATTAGGAAATAAAGAAGTTATTTAAAAAAGACGTTTTTTTTCATAAAAAATCTAAGTTCAAGGGAGGTAATTCTGATAATTTTTGTGCTAGAGTTGTAAACCTTGTCACATATGATGTGGTTGATGACCAAAAACTTATATTTAAAGTTTGAAGTAAACACCTTAAGAAATAAAGAACTTATAGTGAAAAAGCTGAAAAATTTAAATCAGAAATCTTGAAATTCAGGCTATTTGTTGCCATAGCATCCAGAATTTTTAACATAGGAAGAAAAGAAAAAGATGTGCATAATCTGCAGACTGCCATCTATCCATATTTCAAGTTTCATAAAAATATTTTCTGTACTTTTTGAGTTATCACTGGATCCAGTTTATGTGTTAAATTTGCCATATTTTCAGACTATTTGTTGCCATAGCAACCAGAATTTTCAACATAGGAAGAAAAGAAAAAGACGTGCATAATCTCCATCCTGCCATCAAACCATATATCAAGTTTCATAAAAATATTTTCAGTACTTTTTGCGTTATCGCGGGATCCAGTTTTGTGAACTGACGGACTGACAGACAGACGGACGGAGGGTAAACCTAAAGTCCCCTCCGGTTAAACCGGTAGGGGACAAAAATAAGTGGTCTGAAGAAACATTTGAACACAACCTATAGAAAATGAACAAAGAATTATTTCAGTTAATTGTAATCCCAACCGGGGTCTTCATATAAGCTTGTTATACACCAGATTTGATTACAATATGTCATTCCTAACTCTAATTATTGTCCGGAAACCATTTTTTCTATTTTAAGTAACGGTGACCTTGACCCCAGGGGTCCAATTGCAATACCAACCCGGGTCTTCATTACAGCTTGCTATACACAAAGTTTGATTACAATATCTCATTCTTAACTCTAGTTATTGTCCGGAAACCATTTTTTAGTAACGGTTACCTTGATCCCAGGGGGTCCAAATGCAATACCAACCAGGGTCTTCATATAAGCTTGCTACATGTATACACTAAGTTTGATTATAATATCTCATTCCTAACTCTAGCTACTGTCCGGAAACCATTTTTCTATTTTTGGGGGTCCAAATACAATACCAACTGGGGTCTCCACATAAGGTTGCTTTATACCAAGTTTGATTATTTATAATACCTCATTCAAAACTCAAGTCGTTTCCGGAAACCAAGATGTGGACAAACCAACGGACTGACCCACAAGCCGACTCCTATGTACCCCCCCCCCCCCGAGCTTTGTTTGTTGGGATACAATTATTGTTCAATCACTATTAAAACTGTCAATTTTCTGAAATATATACCTAATTTACCCCAACTTGACAGTAAAAAAATTAGCATAATGTCACTTTAAAAGTATGACCTTCTGGTGACTAATCATTTTATAAAATACAAACTTGTAGTATTTTTGAAACTTTATTTACATACGCTCACTAATGACACAAGAAAGAAAAAGTATCTTAACAACCTCTAAATAAACAAAAATCATTCTTACTGCATGCCATGCATTCATGAGAAAAATAAACAAAAAAAATACAGTAATAATACAATGTTTATGACAATAATAATAGCTGCAAGTATCTAAATGTGTTTTTATATGGAAAAATAAAATGGCGGTGAAGAGAAAAGATGACAAAACAACTTTTTTTTGTATTAAAATTAATAGTAAAGACTGACTACATGTAAATGTTTACTATAATGTTAAACAAAACATGAATAAGTAAACAAGTATGTGCATATTACTGTCACAATGACCACAATAAACAGGTAAATACTAATATATATACTATACATGAAGCTTTATATGTTCTAGAAATGCCTGCATTTACTTACACAAACACCAATGCTTAACACACATTTACTAAAAACAACCTTATGAAGAAATAAAAATAGATATGAAGTCAACATGCCATTATTACAGCCCATCAAAAATCTTTCACCGGTCAAGTTGTCAACAATGTTCTTATCTTCAATTTTCCAATACATGTCTTTTGGCCTTTCTACTTTTACAACAACAAAATCTATATAAGTAACAATTGAAAAACGTCAGTTCTAATGAAAACTTCTACACTAGTATATGGTTTTATAGTCAGTTTTTTTTTGTTCAGCTGTCAGTTTTTATTTACATCACATGCTCTATGTGAAGCTGCCAGCAACACGTTGCCATGGTTACCACTTGTACTTGAAATCCATCTTCAGTAAGTACTTCATGTTAATCTGTGCAACATCATATACAATAAATCTGACAATAAGTTAAGACTGATAATAAAATATGGTAAACAACCAAACAACTATCTAAATATGGCATTTGATAATAGTTATATACAAAACAAGAGGTATCTGTAAGGCACAGCACTCTGATACTAGTATTCTCAGTGCTTGACTGTTATTGAACCTCTGCCTATTATATAAGGTAATTAAAAAGAACAAGTGAGTGACATTTCAATCCAGTCCCTTCAGTAGTTTTGCATGCAAAATCTTAACCCAAGTTTGAGAGGGGAAGCCACTGAGTACAATAGCTCTCCCTATTCTTTAAATAATCAAGCTAACAAAATGACCACGGTTTCATCTGACTTGTATCCTGTCCTACATTTGATGTACAAATAATTGTGGAATAAAACTCGATTATTTTTGCTTTATTGTTTGCATGTTTTATATTTCCTAGGTCAGCAAGTATATCAGACTGTGTTTTACACCGACATGATTTCAGGAACACTATTCATAAATAGATATAGGAACAAATGTAGTCAAACTAAAATGCACTTGTACTTACAATAATATCAGCAAAATAAACAAACAAGTTTTCCATCTTACAAGGAAATTAATGATTTCCCAAAATAAACTGTAAAAAGTTTTACAACTTGCAACTTATTCATAATTTCCCAAAAATAAACTGTAAAAGACATTTATTGTAAAAGAATATTTTAATAAAAACAAATAGTTTAGGATAGTAAAATAGAATTTGTTGTTTTATTTTCAAAGGATACTCGTTATATAATAAACTGGAATATCCAACAGGTGCTTTTGTTGACTGACCCAAAGGAATTTCTACACCATCTGGGGTCATGTAAGACTCTTTAGGGTCAGGCATAGTCATTCCAAGACCTGCAAAATAAAACCAGTACATTTTATCTTAGAATAATATAATATCAATTCAGTTAAGAATAATGAAAAGGGTATGTTAAATATTGAAGAAAATTACTCAAAACATAAACAATATAGAATAATAATGTCCCTGAAGTTTACTCAATTCTGACAGTTAGTGGTCATAATGGCCAACCTTTGTTACCAGTATATACCAGATAAGATGGTATGTGTGAGTATTCTGACTAAATTCTTTATTGTCTAATTATATTGTTGTATAAGAAGTACTATTGATAGGTTATAAGAATTTCTAACTGTAATAATAGAAACAAACTTATAAAATAATCATTTTTAAGGGTTTTTTGTACAATAAACATTACATAATATACAATATGATTTTGTGATTATAATATAATTAGTATATACATATTTAAGTGAGAAAAAAAAATGACAGTAAAGTCGTACCTTTACAGCTGTGTTTTCCTTTAGGTAATTTGTTGACATACTCGGCACGTGTACACTCATGCCTGCAATCATAACAAAATATCATGATACATAAAGCACTGTTATAACACATCATTATACCTTTACCCATTATTACAGAATGTTACATTGTCTCATTTGTGCAACAAGTGCGTATTTTATATGAAACCATGACAACTAAAGTTCAAAACATGACAATTAAAATGCACACAATTTTGCCACTAATATGTGCTGTTTTCTTGTCAGGCAAAGTTCTACTAAATGCCATATATTCCTAAAACTTTTGGGATTATTCTAGGCATTATCACTGTCACAAAGTTTGATCAACAAAATATTGAATCCTAGTAGTTTTCTATCATAGGTGTTACTAAGAAATCCTGGGGAAAGTTTAGAAAAATTATTTTGTGAAGAAGTGGAAAAAACAGAAAAAATATTTTAATGAAAAAAGGGACAATAAATATGAAACTTACATGTTACCAAGGGCAACCTCACACAACATCATTAAACCTTTAGGATCCTGCTTGGATGTTCTACAATAATTGGCACTCTTGGAAACCATATCAGCAAAATAAACACCTTTACCAAACATGTATCCAGTCTGAAAAACAAAACATGGGTTTTAAAGTCTCAAGACTTTTTTTATATGAAACATTACATGATTAAGGAAGCCAAAAGATTGTTTGTTTGTTTGTTTGATTGGGTTTTACGTCACATTAACACAGTATAGGTCTAATCGTGACGTTCCAGCTTTACTGGTGGAAGAGGACTTCAGGTGCCCTTCCATGCATTATTTCAGGCACGAGCGGGCACCTGAGTAGAACCACCGACTTTCTGTAAGCTAGCTGGACAGCTTCTTCACATGAAAGAATCCAAAGTCCCTGTCGGGATTCGAACCCACAGGGGTGAGGGGCAAGTGGTTTGAAGTCAATGACCTTAACCACTCGGCCACGGACGCCCCAAAGCCAAAAGATAATCTCATACATCTATATTGGTATGATTCTTAACAAGGAATCTGGTGCTCTATGTCTACAACACTTATAATTTCTCTGACTATTGAATCGTCAGAATTAAAGAAATAATACCTTAAAACTGGATAGGCTAAATTAACAAGTTAAATCAATGATTACATATTTCCCTAAATTTCATAAATAATTTGTCAAGAGGCAGAATACATACAGACATTTATTAATGATAAAACTCTTCATTTAATGCTAATTTCAATGAGCAACTTGTTGAATTTATAACCAAGCCCAAATACTGGTTAATACTAACAACAACAAGAGCTGTCCGTAAGACAGCGCGCTCGACTTTTTTATTGCTTGCCAATAAAAAAAGTTTTTGCAGTAAAAGGCAATACAAGAATCTCTGTATTTTTAAAGTGAACAATGGCCATGAGCATTAAGATATTTAGTGAAGAATTATTTTACTGAATTGTGTGATACCCTTGAACACTGCAGCAAAGTTTGAAATGTTTAAGTCAAAAGAGGGCTGGTAAGAAAGAAAAAAAAACTGAGTTGAGCCTTAAATAAATTTAATAGTATTAAACCCACTTTGAGAGAATAAGGTATTTTTACGTCACTCAGAACACCTTGGTAAATGACATAATAACATAATTTTTCAAGAAATCTATGCCAAGGAAGCAGTATATTTTTGTACAATCAGCATAATAGGGCCATAATTCAAATAAAATCTTTGACAGAATTACCTTCTCCTGGACATGTTTGGGAATCATGATTGTAAACAAGTATTCCAACTTTCAAATTAATATCTCAAACAGTTCAGTCAAAAAGTGGACTGGTACTAAAAACTTAACCAAGATTCTAAGTCGATAAAAGGCCTTAATTTTTAAAACAAATCCTTGACAGAGTTACCTTCTCTTGCGTACAGATGGGGTAATGATGTGAAATAGCATTAAAAGTTTCAAAGCAATATCTCAAAGGGTTAAGGCAATAAGTGGATTTTACCCATATTCAATGTATTTTCTAAGTCAAAAAGGGGCATAATTCTGTCAAAAACCTTGACAGAGTTATGTCCTCTTGTCTGTTGATGAAGGTCGTGATGGTAAACAAGTATGGTCAGTTTCAAAGCAATACCTCCAATGGTTTTGAAATAAAGTGAGGTGGTACAAAAAACTTAACCAAGCTCAATACACTTTCTAAGTCAAAAAAGGGCCATAATTCTGTCAAAAACCTTGACAGAGTTATGTACTCTTGTCTGTAGATGGAGGTTATGATGGTGAACAAGTATGGTAAGTTTCAAAGCCATACTTGTAATACTTCTGAAATAAAGTGGGGTGGTACGAAAAACTTAACCAAGGTGTGACGCCAACGCCGACGCCGGGGCGAGTAGGATAGCTCCCCTTTTCATAGAAAAGTCGAGCTAAAAATGCACAAATGTTTATGCACAAGTTCATACTACAATTAAATGTAACTCAACATATTTGATTTTTCTTTTAAGTACTGTTTTGTCCAAGTATAAATCAAATCTATTAATAACACATTTACTGTAATTTTAACAAAATTCAATAAATTGACCTTAATTGTCAAGGTCATTTCAGGGCCAAAATTATGAATTATTCCAGTATAAATGGTTCTCATAAAGTTCATTGAAATCCAGTAAGTAGTTGCCAAAAAATAGTGCTAAAAATGTTAATCTGTATGCATTCTGTAAAACTAATCAGGGGCCATATCTATGAGAATGTTCCTACCAGGGTATACAGAAGATATTCTATTGGCAGGGGATAAATTGACAGGTTATAGAACTGTTCTTACCACTGGAGCTTCTGGTGGAGCTATCCTTAAACCTTGAGACAATATACCACCAAAATTGGTTACTCTGGAGCCGTGCCACAATAGTTTACGGTTGTGTAGATCTCTGAATGGTTTATACCTGCTGTATTCTCCTTCTCTCTTAATCTTCCAGATCTGTAATCATATACCAGTACAACATACTTTATAACTAATTTAATTATATAAAACTGCATGTCACAGATTAGAACTGGTTCACTGATAAGTGGAGAAACAATGTGTAAGTGGCTGGATAGCTAAGTTGGCAGAGTTGTGGAACAGTATTCTAAGGATTACAGGTTAATGTTTGCGTAAGCCTGCACATTTTTCTCTGATACCCTTTGACATTTGGTGCCAAATGTGTGACACCTTGCTACAGCTGTCCAAATCTATCAACTAATTATCTTTGATATAGGTGAAAGCTTCAAAGCCACTTAAACCATGCAAGTTTGTAATATAACATAACCAGTCTTTAGTGTATAACTTCCTTTCATTTAATGAATCAACAGTGTAAGCAGAAGTTTTAACTAGGTTTGTTGTAATATTGTATTTCCAACAATTTGTATGTTGAATCAAAATGATACTATTTCAAACTTTTATTATTGGAAGAATGTGAAAGATGTCTATCTTAGCTAAAATACCAGCATAAAGTGGCACCTTCATTATAAGACACATGTTACCTTAAATATGAGACAGAGTACTCACCTCTTCAACTTCCAGTTCATACATGTTGTGTGTGGCTGCATGTGTGTTTCTCACATACTGTACCAATCTTTTAAATTCCTCATCTTCCTTTGGTAGAGGCTATCAACAGTAATCAACATGTTATTATACAATATGCTCACAGTAATAAACATGTTATTATACAACATGCTCACAGTAATCAACATGTTATTATACAACATGCTCACAGTAATCAACATGTTATTATACAATATGCTCACAGTAATCAGCATGTTATTATACAATATGCTCACAGTAATCAGCATGTTATTATACAATATGCTCACAGTAATCAACATGTTATTATACAATATGCTCACAGTAATCAACATGTTATTATACAATATGCTCACAGTAATCAACATGTTATTATACAATATGCTCACAGTAATCAACATGTTATTATACAATATGCTCACAGTAATCAACATGTTATTATACAATATACTGTCTTCATATTATAGCCTATACATATAGGTAATGAAACAAAATTTCAACAAAAACTTTAACAAAATTTTCAAGTTGATCACATTTTACTTGTTATATTTGAGATTCATTTGATCACAGTTTTAAAAGTATTTTACAAAAACAAGTATATTACCTATCTAAAGAAGAAGTAAAGTTTTTAATTTTATTAACTTGATAATCCCACTTTTATTCCTGTTTCTTGTAAAAATTACATAATATAAGAGCACTACATATGAAACAAACAAGCTAGAAATACTACTTACAACAATTTCAGTTTTAAGCTGTTTATAGTGGGCATCTATTGGATCTTCTCCCTGATCACCTCCCTTTAACATACTGTATGCTACCTGTAATAATTATACAGTATGTCAATAATCAAATAATACTGCTGTCAGAACTGGTCATATTCAACTATACTGAATGAAAAGGAATAACGTTGAAAAGTAATATAAAGTACATTTGCTAACATAACAAGTTTGAACTAGAAATGTGTCATCATGCCACGGATGCCCCCGCATGCAGCCAAAATTTCAGATGTTATAATATTTAGTTCCAAATTTGTTTGCACAAATTATTGTTTTCATTTTAAGTTCAAAGCCCTTAAAACTTTTCAACGTTTACACAAACCATTTTCATACAATGTTCAAGGCACTGAAATTATTCAGTCTTAACCTTTTGAAAATAGCATATTTCATATTTGTAGCCAAAATAATGGCTACATACATTTCCACAAAAGTATGAGTGCTGAAACTGAAAGTTCAAATTTTTTCCAATATTCAAGAAAGATAAGTTTGTCCAAAATCATTGAACCACAACCAAATTCATACTTAAACTGCTTATTCCTAAGATGTATCTATATTATTTTCAAAGTGAAAGGGACATAACTCTGCCAAAAAATCATCAAACCATGACCAAATTCAAACTTGACCTGCCCATTCCTTTGACATATCCATATGTCAAATTTGAGTTGAATATGTAACACTGTTGGGTAGATAATGAACAGAAACTGTAAATTTCATATTATTTTCAAAGTGAAAGGGACATAACTCTGCCAAAAAATCATCAAACCATGACCAAATTCCAACTTGACCTGCCCATTCCTTTGACATATCCATATGTCAAATTTGAGTTGAATATGTAACACTGTTGGGTAGATAATGAACAGAAACTGTAAATTTCATATTATTTTCAAAGTGAAAGGGGCATAACTCTGCCAAAAATCATTGAACCATGACCAAACTCAAACTTGGCCTGGGCATTCCAAAAACATATCCATATGTGAAATTTGAGTTGAATGTGTTGTACTGTTGGGGAGATAATAAACAGAAACTGAAAATTTCATATTATTTTCAAAGTAAAAGGAGCATAACTCTGCCAAAAATCATCGAACCATGACCAAATTCAAACTTGACCTGTATTTTCTCATGACATATCCATATGTCAAATTTGAGTTGAATGTGTTGTACCGTTGGGGAGATAATGAACGGAAACTGAAAATTTCATATTATTTTCAAAGTAAAAGGGGCATAACTCTGCCAAAAATCATCGAACCATGACCAAATTCAAACTTGACCTGTATTTTCTCATGACATATCCATATGTCAAATTTGATTTGAATGTGTTGTACCGTTGGGGAGATAATGAACGGAAACTGAAAATTTCATATTATTTTCAAAGTAAAAGGGGCATAACTCTGCCAAAAATCATCAAACCATGACCAAATTCAAACTTGACCTGTATTTTCTCATGACATATCCATATGTCAAATTTGATTTGAATGTGTTGTACTGTTGGGGAGATAATGAACGGAAACTGAAAATTTCATATTATTTTCAAAGTAAAAGGGGCATAACTCTGCCAAAAATCATCCAACCATGACCAAATTCGAACTTGACCTGTATTTTCTCATGACATATCCATATGTCAAATTTGATTTGAATGTGTTGTACCGTTGGGGAGATAATGAACGGAAACTGAAAATTTCATATTATTTTCAAAGTAAAAGGGGCATAACTCTGCCAAAAATCATCGAACCATGACCAAATTCGAACTTGACCTGTATTTTCTCATGACATATCCATATGCCAAATTTGAGTTGAATATGTGCAACCGTTACTAAGATAATGAACGGAAACTGATGATGACGGAATGACAGAATGACGGAATGACGGAAGGACGGAATGACGGAACAGGGTAACACTATATGCCCCGGCCATTACATGGCGGGGGCATAAAAATAAACAATATAGTTAAAATTTCATTTAATGTACATTTTATGGGATACCAACACATTGTCACTAAATAGTACACGTCAAACTTCATGAATGTCAGAGTAATATTTAATATTTTGCCTTTTAAAATTTTAACCTGAACTAAATATTTTATAATATACAACAAAAAGTTACCTCTATTTCTAGTAGATTGTCCAACATTTCTGTTTTAGATTTAATGATCTCTTTTGTATCTAACATTGGAGGTTTCTTCATACCAAAGTCATGAGGTATCAATGTGTAAAACCTGTTGCTAGCATCCAGTATCTGTGTAGCTGAACCTCCTTTCTCTGTCAACTGTTTTAGTTTAAACAATATTTATTTATAAACATTTCATTTATATGATAATTGACAAATAATAAATTGTACGGATTATGTAGGACACTTGAAAAGCTTTTTAAGAAACTCTCTCCATAAAAGAGTTTCAACTGTTTTAATCTAATCATTGTTAACTTTATTGTTTAATACACGGTTGTGAACTGGATTGTTTAAACTTATACCTGTCCACTATTAAATATAACAGAAAGAAAATTCCGATCAGATAATGCCAACAACTATTGCAGGCCGAGGCTTACAGTATAAAGCTGTAACAACCTGTATAGTCATAAACTGGTAGCGGATGAAAGTTTGAAACTTTAACATATTACTTACAAAAACATAAGTGCATGTATTATAATATAAAAAAAATAAACTTCAATACAAAAATAATCTACCGGTATATGTTTTCAACTACATATTTCATTTATGATAGTACTCTTCTGACATGACTGGTAATAATAAAGATAATCCATCTCTGCTTTGGAATGAAAATAAAAGCTTCTATTAAAGAAGCAGCCAAGTTGTTCAGGTTTCTGCCACTTAAAACCAGAGTTTTAAACTTTACTAAGAGTAAATTCTAATTTCTTCATGTGGCATCAGTACTTGTTAGACACAAAAGTAATAATAATCTATCAGTATCTTTTGATAAAACAACTAATCTAATTTATGTTTGTACATTAACAAAGTTATATTTTATGTAAGGCGAGATCTTACATTAAGAAGTTCTGTTAAGACCGAGTAGGCAGTCTGGATCTGTTTCTTTGACAGTTTACCTAGTGGCATCTTCTTTAAATCTATCTGTAAACAAAATAATAAATGAATATTTATATGTTACTAATATTTGCTGTAAATGTCCACACTTTGTTTGAATAGAAATGAAGAAGTCAATTTCACATGACATGAAAATTTTATTAAAGAACATTTTTCATAAACTCAAATAACATATAAATTAGATTTATACATGAAGAAAAAAATGTATATAATTCTCGATCTAAATTCGAAATAAACATTAAATGTAATCGAGATTAAAATAAGTAAGAAAAAGAATATTAATCATAGTTTCATATAGAAAAGCATAATGAAATCAGTAAAGTACAAATTTTATTAAATTTTACCTCAAATTCTAACATGGCTTTTTTCATACTTTCAACATCAAATATCATACAAACAAGATCTTTCACCGACTTGGGAAGCTTCGATTTAGAATCTTTGGAGCTGATCTGTTTTATATCCCCTTCACTATCCTATAATATACAAACATATAACTAGAAACTTTTATTTCAGATTACTGTAGCTTTTGGCATTCTTTTGCCACATTTATTATAAAGTGTTTTAATTATATATGGCAAATAAGAGATTTTATCCAAATATTATAATATATACAAATAATTTTGTAAATCAATGATAAAACATTTATAATTAATATTGATTATTTCAAAATGACGCATAATTTTTTTTTTATATTACTTTAATTAAAATTCAATTAAAATCTTTGCCTTATCATCTTGAAATAAACTGGCAGAGGATGAAAGTTTGAACCCTTTATTAATACCTAAGCAATCTTTAGTATTACCATAAATAATAGAAATTATTATATTACTTAAGTACTTCATTACCAATCTATGCCTTATCATCTTGAAATAGAATTGACAATATGGCTACTACACTCACTTAGACTACAAACTCCCTCTGCACTGCACTTCTGCTTTTAAAACAGTAAATCTTACTTGGCCATAGTCGATGTCCAATGGATAAAACTTGTTTGGAAACTTCTTGAAATTGGCCCTATCTTCCCATGCATTGTTTGTTTTCTCCAGGTAGAAAGCTTTAAAGCTAGAAATGGCAGAATTTCTGGAACCACATCTCTCTACCTTGTTGCCTCCCACAGTGGTACCCACTCTCCCCCATGCCCGAAATACCCACCATCTGTAATAAAAGTGATACAAATTTTTTTCATTTTAAAGGTTTGCCACATTAAATTCTTATTATTAAACCTCTAAAGTATTAAAACAAAACACCAACATTTAATTTCTTAAATGCAGGTTAAACACAATTATAAGCAGCAAACATTTATTTAAAGCAAAGGATTCAGTTGAAATGGAGTACAATATTCAATCTCAACCAATATAAAACAATCATACAATATCATGCACTGTCTCTATTTGCTATGTTTAAATAAAGTAGTGTAATATGAATCATTACGTGTTTTTGCCATCTCCTTCCAATGCTTGTAACTTATAGTAAGAGTTAGTTCCCCTGACGACATCAACCAATCCTAATACAGCATTATAGATGGAACCTTTCTCCTCAACTACATGTGCTGTGCTCTCTAGACCTGTCAAATTTTATAACACAGTTTATAATTTATAACACAATTTTATATTTCAAATTACATATTTTCTCTTCCATTTTGTATAGAGACTTAATAAATCAAATATCTTGATAAAGAATAATGCAAAAGATGTGTTGCAGGGTTTGAATAAAAAGACATTTGTGACTTCAATAATCAAATTGGACACACCTTAATTTTTTTTCAACAAAGTTCCTTATACAAATTGAAATCAAATATAGAAACATTTTAATTCTACTTAATGGCATTGAGTAGAGATATAAGAGTTGTTTAAAGTCATCTAGGTGGTTTTGTATTATCATCTCTCACAGAGCAAATCAATTATATATGAGCCGCGTCACGACAAAACCAACATAATGCGTTTGCGACCAGCATGGATCAAGACCAGCCTGCGCAGTCTGATCAGGATCCATGCTGTTCGCTATCAGTTTCTCTACTTGTAATAGAGTTGGTAAGTGAACAGCATGGATCCTGATCAGACTGCGCGGGCTGGTCTGGATCCATGCTTGTCGCAAACGCATTATGTTGGTTTTGTTGTGACGCAGCTCAATTATCTGTAAATAATATGTTACCAGAGTCAGGATCAACAGCAGCGCCACCTTTCACAGTCATCTTTAACTTGTCTGGCAGATTCTTTGTAAAATGAGCCTCTGTAATATTTAATATACAAAAACTAGAAATGTGTCATCATGCCACAGATGCCCCCGCATGCAGCCAAAATTTCAGATGGTGCATTAATTTTTTTTTCATTTTAAGTTCAAAGCCCTTAAAACTTTTCAATGTTAACACAAACCATTTTCATACACTGTTCAAGGCACTGAAATTATTCAGTCTTAACTTTTTAAAAATAGCATATTGCATATTTGTAGCCAAAATAATGGCTAAAAGTATGAGTGCTGAAACTGAAAGTTCAAAATTTTTCCTACATTCAGGAAAGATAAGTTTGTCTAAAATCATTGAACCACAACCAAATTCAAACTTAACTGCTTATTCCTAAGATGTATCTATATTATTTTCAAAGTGAAAGGGACATAACTCTGCCAAAAAATCATCAAACCATGACCAAATTCCAACTTGACCTGCCCATTCCTTTGACATATCTATATGTCAAATTTAAATTGAATATCTTACACTGTTGGGTAGATAATGAACAGAAACTGTAAATTTCATATTATTTTCAAAGTGAAAGGGGCATTAGTCTACCAAAAATCATTGAACCATGACAAAATTCGAACTTGGCCTGGGCATTCCAAAAACATATCCATATGTCAAATTTGAGTTGAATGTGTTGTACTATTGGGGAGATAATAAACGGAAACTAAAAATTTCATAGTACTTTCAAAGTGAAAGGGGCATAACTCTGCCAAAAATCATTGAACCATGACCAAATTTGAACTTGACCTGCGCATTCCTTTGAAGCATCCGTATGTCAAGTTTGAGTTGAATGTGTTGTACCGTTGGGGAGATAATGAACGGAAACTGAAAATTTCATATTATTTTCAAAGTAAAAGGGGCATAACTCTGCCAAAAATCATCGAACCATGACCAAATTCGAACTTGACCTGTATTTTCTCATGACATATCCATATGTCAAGTTTGAGTTAAATGTGTTGTACCGTTGGGGAGATAATGAACGGAAACTGAAAATTTCATATTATTTTCAAAGTAAAAGGGGCATAACTCTGCCAAAAATCATCGAACCATGACCAAATTCGAACTTGACCTGTATTTTCTCATGACATAGCCATATGTCAAGTTTGAGTTGAATGTGTTGTACAGTTGGGGAGATAATGAACGGAAACTGATATTTCATATTATTTTCAAAGTAAAAGGGGCATAACTCTGCCAAAAATCATCCAACCATGACCAAATTCGAACTTGACCTGTATTTTCTCATGATATATCCATATGTCAAATTTGAGTTGAATGTGTGCAACCGTTCTTAAGATAATGAACGGAAACTGATGATGACGGAATGACAGAATGACGGAAGGACGGAAAGGACGGAAGGACGGAAGGATGGAAGGACGGAAGGACGGAATGACGGAACAGGGTAACACTATATGCCCCGGCCATTACATGGCGGGGGCATAATTAAATATCTACAAAAGTTATTTTATATCATACATTAAAAGAGTATTAATTTTATACCTTATTATAAGCTTTCAACATCTGCTGGAGAAAATTAATTTACCTTGACATTTTATTTTTTATCACAACAAGAAATATATCCTAATAACAACAAGTCTATCAATCTCCTATAATATTGTTAAAGGAATACCTGAACAAGACAGTAACTACTTGATTCATTAGAAAAGACAAACCGCATTTCTAGAGGTTGTAAAGATCAGCATAAAAAGGACCTCTAAGAAAGAATAATTAGAACCACATCATGTTTTCAATTATAATATGACAATGTTATGTTGTATATTTTTAAGAAATATTGTCCACCCCGTATCTGTCCGTAGGAAAAGCTTGAGAACCTGCGGTCATCAGAAGGTGTTTTACTGTAGGAAGTGTTTGTGACAAACTGTACCATCTTTGTATAGTTTGTGTATCTACTTCCATTATACTAGGTACTGATTTTTAGTGCCTTACCAATGATCATACATATCCCTTAAATGTTTGCTTTGGTTTTTTATTCTAACCTTAACAAACATTTTGCTCATATATCAGTGGTCTGTACACCTAACCGGCTTTCCTTGATAGCTAACCAATAATAACCAAATTCTTCGCTAATCACACATGATTTCCGCATCAGGAGTGACAGACAAATGATTGAATGTTTAAGATCACAGACAAGTTTCACCTTGCCCTAGGATCAAACATGCTTTACCAGTCATAATGTGTTTGTTTGTTTGATTGGGTTTTACTTCACACCGACACAGAGTAGGTCATATAGCAATGTTCGAGCTTTACTGGTTGAGGAAGACCACATGTGCCCTTCCGTGCATTATTGCAGGCACGAACAGGCACACGAGTAGAACCACCGGCATTCCGTAAGCTAGCTGGATAGCTTCCTCACATGAAAGAATCCAAAGACCCTGTCGGGTTTTGAACCCACAGCGGTAAGGGGCAAGTTGTTTGAAGTTGATGGTAACCACTCGGCCACGGACGCCCCCTCCAATCATGGCCTATATATACCAACAGCCTAATAAAAGCATTGTATAATTTTTACAGCAAATTGTGAACTTGAACTTGATAGGTAAGCCTGCAAATCCTGTCTAGTTTAGTTCTACATAAAACCCTAAAATGCAACCATGGACAGCAGCAAAGCCAATTTTACAGGACAACATACTTAATAAGGTTGGTATTAAATCCATTCAAAAATATTTTAAACTTATTAACAATGATTACAATAAACTAACTGACCATCTCTCTTGGAAAATTTGCCCACACTTTTCCCTACACTCTTGGAAACTGAACCTTGTGATATCCTCTTTTCTGCCTGAAAATGTTGAATTTCATATCATGATGTATTATATATTTTACATAAAATTTCTTATAAAATATACACTGAAAACATGATACTGAAGCATAACACCTCAAAACATGGGAAAAGTAAATTCATTATGTTAGAACTCTTGACAAGAACAGTATACCAGAACAAATCATTTTCAAGAGATTCAAATTGAAGATGACATTTGCTAAGAACAAAGATATCCAAGAAATCTTTTAACATTTACTTCAAAAACATTATTCAAATGTTTCTGACTGTTCATTTTCTTCAGAAATTTTTATGAGAATAATCTGCAAACAGATATAAAAATTGCCATCATTTTAAAAAGGAAGTACTGTATGGTTAAAGGACAGTGTCAAGTTAACATAGTCACTTTACTTATGGAACACTTGATCGGTCTCTGAGCACTATTTCTAGCATTACTAGAACCACAGATTTCGATAATCTACCTAGAATGCTTCATCAATGATTCTAACAAAAATCAAACCATAGTGATGATTGCCAAATCACAAGCATTAGCTATTTAGCAAACTGTCTGTTTCTCTAACAAAACCAACATATAAATGTATTCATACATCAGATCCCCAGGGTGCGATACTGTGTGAGGTGATCAACAAGGCTGCGCCCCCTTTCTCCACCTTGGTGAGAAAATCTTCATCTACAACATGTACATCAGCCTTCTCTGCTTCCTTTATTGATTTGGTCTTTTTATGCACCTCATCTGTAATCAGTTACCATAGAAACTAGATTATATGTTGTTTGTTTTAAACCCAAAGAATTTTTTTTGGAACTAAATGTAAAATTAACCTGATTAAAAAGTCATGAAGCTAACTTTCTGTCTTGAAAAACATAAATAAGGTTTCAAAATGACAGGTCTTAAAAGAAATTTTTCATATGTCAGTAGAAATGATTTCTAAAATATAATATCAAAAATATTCTATAGAATCTAAACCCCTAACCTTCATATTACAAAAAACTTGCTAGTTTACAGCATTACAACAAAGTCAACTGTAAGAAATAAATCTATACCTGTAGTACTTATGACAGCTGCAACTTTGTCATCACATCTGGTTACAACAGTGCCTCCAAGTTTGGTTACAGTCTTGCTTACTTCTGCTTTTGTCTTGGTAAACTTGCCTGACACTACAAACTTCATCCCTTCCAATGGATGAAAATTCACCCTACAATCATATAAAAATACAAATATACTGAATTATTCAAAATTTTACGAAATACTTTACAATTTTAACCTGAATAGTTACAATGGTTCTCATTTGATGTTGAGTTGATGAGATAGATGGAATGGCTTATTTTTGACAGGTGTAACATGTAACAAATTATAGCAGAAAAATGACTAATGTTACATGATGCCCTCACCTACCTATATGCACAGTCAGTAAAAATAAAGAGAGAGAAAAGTGTTATTCCTCTGTAACACCGTACAAGGCACTTACGCTCCATCTGCACTATCCATTGATGAACTAACAGGTCCTTCAGTTGTTCTCACAGTGACCGCAGGAAATACTCTCTCGCGTTTTACATACTTGTATGTTTTCCTGAATAAATACAAGTAAAATTAAACATAAATTCAAGTCCCTATATAAAACATGTCTAATTTTCAAACATTTCCCACTATGACAATCACAATATTGTTTCTGACCAGTTCATATTTTCCCAACACTTCTTCCTCTCCTCAAACATAACTCTGATTTACTTTAAACTGGACAATAATAAGCAAGAAATTGTCACAAGTGCTGAATACCACCCAGACACACGCTTGTCAGAAAATGTGCTTTTTAGTTAGTAATTTTGCACATAAATATTAAGGAGAATGCATTTTTTATAGATTTTGTTTTCAAATGTTTTTGAATTATTTGTCCTCCAAAATTAGAGTAGGGAGGGTTATGGTTAAGGCAGAGTAAACGTTTGTCAGGCTTATATGGGACTTACAAACACTCCACATCATGATATTCTTTAGGAACTTTGAAAGCCTTCCTCTTTGGTGTTTTAGTTTTGTACATACACTTTGTCCACTCTGTCATGTTACCTGTACAATGATAGCCGTCAGCCCTGAAACATATAACTACAAATTTTTTTCTCACATTTTGCTTTTAAAACATGTGCTACATATTTACGGTTTAGGCAAATGTTGTGTGGAATTGTGTGTTGGCACACTTAAATTTTCCTCCATATTAGGACTAGTACTTTCTACATTCACATCTTTAAATATTTCTACCTTTAACTTCATAATAACATGATTCTTGGTGAACTGTTAACTAGACAAATTCATTTGAATTCTTAAAATCAAAAGCTAGGTTTTCATAATTTACCTTTCAGTCTGCTTCCTTAGGCAACAAATGCCTTTTTAGTTTATTATTTAAGTAAGGCTAGGTCCATGACAGGGTTTACAACTCCTGGACTAGAAGGTAAGTTTAGTATGCCCCTATGTATTTAATTTTAGGCAAAAGCCAGGGCACAATCTACTTCTGATATCAAATACAGAAAATGTAGTTGTGATTGAATGAGACAAAATTCCTGTTAATGTCTCTTTGTTTTAACTAGCCTAGCCATAATTTCAGAGAATATCTTAAAATACTTTTTAACATGTCAGTAACAGCACTTACGAGTAAACAAGCTGGCCATCTTTACATTCTGGACATTTTTCTAATGCACCAAATACCATACAATCAGCCACTCTGTCCAACAACTGAAAAACATGGTAAACATATATCAGGTCTTTGAACAACTGAAAAAACATGGTAAACATATATCAGGTCTGTGAACAACTGAAAAAACATGGTAAACATATATCAGTCTTTTATTGACAAGTTCGGGAGTAACAAAATGCATATACAATACATGTATAACCAATGTTAACCCTTTCCCCCATGAGCATATTGTGAAAAATGGCCGTTTTCACTGAAAAGCCTCCTGTTGCAAGTTCAAACTGCTATGAAACTATGAAAAATGCTTCAATACTAATCAAACTTGGCACAAATGTTGACTGGACAATTGCCTTTGTAACGACATGCTCAGTCTTAAATTTCCTGTAACCATGGCAACGACGGGACATCTCAAAATTGCCAAAAATCACTATTTTGCCTCGATTTTTTCCATCAAAATTTATTTCAAAGTGCTGCAACTTCTCAAGGGATTAAGATAGAGTCAAAGGCTTTTCAGCGTTGGTTAAACGTTACATTATGATCGACCTGGGGTCATTTTTAGCCTCTCACAAGTCCAAAATTTTCTTGGCGATGAGGGGGACTCTGCCCCCCTTCAAACCCCCCTAACAGAAGGGGCACATCCCCCTTCTGGTCAACCCCCTGATGTATCTTTTGGATGGGGGGTGGGGGGGGGGGGGGGCGGCGCCGAAAAGTGCTCAATTTTTTTTTAGCAACATTTCTCAAACGAAAACTTATGTTTGGGGCCCAAATAGGACATTTTTTTCACTATTTGAGACCTAAAAAAAAAAGGGGGGGGGGGGGGGTCAAAAGTGCGTTGTTTCGCTTATATATGTGGTAAAGGGTTAACATAGCTAAACTTGTATTTTTGAGAAAAGCTGGAAGTTGTATGGTTCACTTTATGTAACAAGACAGGATTGCTTCCAATGCTTACTTTCATGGTAGTTGCCATTTTGAATGATACCTAATATTTAACGGTACATGATTTATCTTTAGTTTAAATTTTAGATATTTCTCAAGCTGAAAGTTTTTTATTTGTTTTTGTTTCATTTGTAAAAATTGTTCTTTTATTTTTAAAAATTATCAAAATTTATCGGTTCATCATTATAACAAAATTAATCTTTATCTAAATACTTTGCCCAATCTTATTACAATTAAGTTGTAAGTTAATGATAACCTAACTGAGACATTCAATAAAAGAAAACTGTATAAATACAATTTTCAATGACAACCTAATAAAACCCACACATATATGCAAGACCATAATCGCTGCTCCAAGTGTTATAAAAGGGGAATGTTGACAAGTTAAGAGTAACCAGTTAGAACAGCAGAGCTTTCTGTGTATTGCTCACAAGTATAAGTATGTTCTTACAATAGATTTCTGATTATGACAGGATAGCATTATAAGTTGATAAACTGATGATTTACTGTAAGCAATTAAATACAAAGTTAAATATAAATATGAGCCGTGTCATGACAAAACCAACATAGTGCGTTTGCGACCAGCATGGATCCAGACCAGCCTGCGCATCCGCGCAGTCTGATCAGGATCCATGCTGGTCGCAAACCCATTATGTTGGTTTTGTCGTGACACGGCTCATATGTCTTTCTTGACAGAATTAAAACTATCCAATAATATACAGAACTATTTCCTTTACCTTGCTTTCTCCAGCAGGAATAGCCTGACCATTCAGTTCCAGCAGCAATTTCATGGCACTGTTTTCTACATCTTTCTTTAGATCATCTCTGAATTTCCATAGTAACTGACTTTGTTCCTATAACATCAGAAACAAGCATTTGATAGTATTGCGGGCAATACAGTAGTCCCCTACCGGTCCCTCAAAAAGTTCTTTAATTGTCATACACTCCTGTGTATTGCCATTTATAATGAATTTGAGGATTGAAGTCATGTATTTGAAAATATCAACCACAAAACATAATAAAATAAGTTTGTCTATATCACAGTAATGTGTTAAGTTTCCATGCTTAGTAAGGAAATTATGTTTATACAACCTTGTCATATTATTACGATGTGGGATTTTAAAGTAAATCCTATAAGGAATGAAGAAGTTGGAGTGAAAATACCAGTTTCTCGAAAAAAATCTAAGTTCAAGGGGGACATAATTCTGGAAATAGTCTTGCTAGAGTATTTAACCTTCTCAAAAATGTCGAGTGATAATAAGAAACATATATATGAAGTTTGAAGTAGATACATTAGGAAATAAAGAAGTTATTTAAAAAGACAACATTTTTTCCCCTAAAAAAATCTAAGTTCAAGGGAGGTAATACTGATATTTTTTTGTGCTAGAGTTATAAACCTTGTCACATATGATGTGGTTGATGACCAGAAACTTATATTTTAAAGTTTGAAGTAAACACCTTAAGAAATAAAGAACATATAGTGAAAAAAGCTGAAAAATTTAAATCAGAAATCTTGAAATTCAGGCTATTTGTTGCCATAGCAACCAGAGTTTTCAACATAGGAAGAAAAGAAAAAGATGTGCATAATCTCCAGACTGCCATCTACCCATATTTCAAGTTTCATAAAAATATTTTCAGTACTTTTTGAGTTATCACTGGATCCAGTTTATGTGTGTTAAATTTGCCATTATTTTCAGACTATTTGTTGCCATAGCAACCAGAATTTTCAACATAGGAAGAAAAAAAAAAGACGTGCATAATCTCCATACTGCCATCTATCCATATATCAAGTTTCATAAAAATATTTTCAGTACTTTTTGCGTTATCGCGGGATCCAGTTTTGTGGACGGACGGACTGACAGACAGACGGACAGACAGACAGACGGACGGAGGGTAAACCTAAAATCCCCTCCGGTTAAACCGGTAGGGGACTAATAATATGTCTGTTTCATTGATAATATTAATTACATCAACTGGTATTAGTACTTAAGGTCAAATAATGACTTTCCAGCGATCATTTATAGTCCTTCTATACACCAGCTCATAGGAAAGATTATGATATTTACAGCAGACAAGGAATAAGGGATTATACATTTGTACTTTGTGCACTGCCATTCAGCATCCACAAAGAAATTTTTAAAAGCTTTTGGTAAACACATTATTTTAGTTGTTTGAGTCAGCAATGTATTTTGCAGAATAATTTTCATTGGGCTTTTTTTTTTTTTAAAGTCATTTTAGCCAAATTTGTCACAAGCATTCATAATGTTTAAAAACTTCTACAAGATCATGAAACCCGGAAAATATTGAGCATACTGACTGATTTGCCTTCTGAAATGCTTAATTCCTATTTTCCCTGTCTATTTGCAATTTTACAGAATACTTGAATGACTAACACATAATGCAAATCACACTGAACACAATATCCAGTGTCTTAATTAAACAATAGAAGAAGTTTAAGTAGTGGAACATAAATCAATTACAGCAAGGTCAAGAGGATAAATTTGTTGGCAAAGCCTACAAAGGGTTGAATTTTAGGGGACTAATATTTAAATACTGCAGTATTCTCACTATCAGGGACACTAAAAACAACCCTTATGTATTATTTGAGTAGAAGTTAACACATACCCTAAGTGCCTTTTCTTCCTCGGTTTCTTCCTGTTTCTTCTTCTTACCACCTGCACCTTTACTCGTGTCACCCTTCCTTTTCTTACCACTGAAATTATATCTTAACAGCTTGACTTTAACATATTTTATTGATCTTTTTGTACACAATTATAACAGTATATCATCATAATATTTAAACATAAGTAGCAAAAGGGTTGAACCACGAGTTGTTACAACATCAGCAAGCAGTTCTTCCCTTCTTAACAGCTATCAATCTTAAATCATAAGTAGCAAGCACAACTTCAAATAGCTATGATAAATGTATAGAAGACTTAACATGCCTTTCTTAATGATTCATGTTTTTTTTTGGACCAGAAATAGAACTTTGTTAAATATTACAAACACTTGTTCAAAAGATAGATATATTATTAATACACAGATACATATATGTAAACAAGATATGTTTGTAAAACATGTATGCCCCCTATCGGCAGCCAATTAGTCATGTGATCAGGTTTTTATACATGACTTCTGACCCAGTGAACAAACAATTAATAAGGGTTATCTTGTATCTACTGGTCATGGCTAGTCACAAGGTAATAATTATTGTGACCCCATAGGTTGTGTGCAGCAATTTAAGTTATTACAAATCTTACCAAATAATATATGCATAAATTCTATGAATCATGTAGGCCTCATTAATGACAGCCAAGTTGTTATTTTACATAAGACCTTCAAATGTGTATACCAAAAGCATTTTTAGTTTCATATAAAAATATCAACCAAGGCAACTTGAGTTGTTAAGTTATTTGTCAGAATGAAGTTTGAAGTTCCTAGGCCTAAGTGTTCTTTAGTTATTGATCGGAAACCGTTTTTACCTACAAGGTCAATGTGACCTTGACCTTTGACCACTTGATCCCAAAATCAATAGGGGTCATCTGCTGATCATGACCAATCACCATACCAAGTTTTAAGTTCCTAGGCTCAAGGGTTCTTTACTTATTGATCGGAAACCATTTTTACCTACAAGGTCAATTTGACCTTGACCTTTGACCCCTTGACCCCAAAATCAATAGGCGTCATCTGCTGGTCATGACCAATCACCATACCAAGTTTGAAGTTCCTAGGCCTAAGGGTTCTTTAGTTATTGATCGGAAACCATTTTTACCTACAAGGTCAAAGTTCCTAGGCCTATGGGTTCTTTAGTTACCACTCGGAAACCATTTGGTCGACGGACCGACAAATGCAAAGCAATATACCCCCTCTTCTTCGAAGTGGGGGCATAATTAAGAAAACTTGGTGCTAGCTGCTGTTTTCTACCATATTTGGGGGACAAGTGTTTCTAAAATATTCTATAACTAACTCTTCAGCGAGAATGATAACTTAACTAGAACTGTGTCCAAAGGACACGGATGCCCCCACTGACAATATATACAGTGGAACCTGTCTAATCCGAACTCGTCCGGACCAGAAGAAAAGTTCGGATTAGAAAGGTTTCCGGATTGGAAAGGTTTCCGAATTAGAAGGGTTTTTTTAACATGTTTTTTTCATGTTATTTGCAAAATAGTTTAAGGAAATAAAACGGGAATGCATTTGAAATTGCAATTTAGATATTTTATTTTTGCAGTCTCTTATCGTTCATCTTAACACATGTGAATACAAAAATAAAGAAATAAAAATAAATGAATAAGCAAAAATATTATGTCCTCAAGGGTAAGTTAACCTACGATGTTAAACAGGAGGCCGAGACATGATTAGATATTCGTACCAGCATTTGTCAATTGTTGTTTACTCTTATCCGATTCAGCGACTATCCGAATTCACTGACAGTTTCCATTAATTTTCATTACTTAATCACGTATCATTGAATCCAATACAAAGGATTAAAAGATATTTCTATTGCATTATATCAAAATATCTATAAAGAAGCTGATGAAAAATAATCAATTAAGCAATTATAGAAGATATCAAAGCAAGCTAAGTGTATCGTTAATTTTCACACCTTCGCAGATCATACGTGTCACCCATTAATCAAGTGAATTAACACTCTTCAGTTTGGTGTATGTTTACACCTGCAAGATGTTCGATTATTTGTTATTTTGAATGAAGGTGTGACATTTGGCAAAATCTGTTCGGATCCGAGAGGTAAATTTTAGAGTAAAATAAGAACAAAAATTGAAAAAATCGTCCGGAATTCGGAGTAGACAGGTTCCGGATCCGAAAGGTTTTTTACTATTGAAAATAGAACGAATAAAATCGGGACCGGACACTTCGTTCGGATAAAAAAGGATTCCGGATTAGAAGGGTTCGGATTAGCAAGGCTCCACTGTATATGGTATATAGTGAAAAAATCAACAAAGGGCCATAATTCTGTTAAATTTGGTCGCAGCAAAAATTCCTTCCTTTACTACCATCTACATATTAAGGTTGTTCATCCCTGAAAGTTTAAGCAAAATCTGCCATCCCTTGTAAGAGGAGTTGCGTTCACAAGATTTTGGGACGTACGGACAGACGGATGGACAAGTGCAATGCTATATGCTCTGTGGGAGCATAAAAATTTACGTTAAACTTGAATAATTAAATTTTTTGACCACGATAAATAAAATATGATTAAAATTTATCGCTAAAATTAAAGTTACATTTAATAAATTTCATAAAAACTAAATAGCGACATTTCATTAATAAATTGGGTTTTATATCGACTCCAGGTCTTATTTTGGTGTCCGAACAACCAAAATGAGTTTAATTAGCATAAAAATAGGTAACCTCATTGTGGCGAAATGGGAAGTACAATTTCTGTTTGCATGAGAAACTCCGCCTTCGGATCATCCGTACATCAATATTAAATCAACAAACATGACTATAAGTGGCAGTCCTAATTTAACGGTATATTTCCGCATTGTAACAGATGTTTTCATACAAATTTAATCTTTTTACGAGATGATTACTTTTACTGAACCCCTGGTTTAGTGCACCGTGAAGCTTAAACGGTAAAAGTGTGTTTGCACAAGAAAATATCACATTTGCTGTGTTCTGGATAGCAACTATAAAACTGTGACGTAGCGCATACACGAGCTCATTATAGTCTTCATTTGCATGTTAAAATTCATATACGAATTTTAGTTAAAATTCGTATACGAATTTTAGTGTTACTGTGGGGTTTCCCGTTTAAAATCCTAATTTATGAACAATATTTGATGAGATTTACAACAATACTATTAAACAGGTTAATGAAACTATAGAATGTTTGATTTTGAGGCCGACGGCAAAATATTTTTACATATTTATTTAATGTAACTTTAACTAATTCTTTCCTACCTGCTTCCTTTCCCTAGTTTTTCTATCAGCAATTCTTGGTCTTCTTTCTTCAAGTTTGAAAAGCCCTTTATTCTGTAATAGGGATACATATTCTATATTAAAATACCTTATAACAGGTTACTTTGTAACAGAGCTATATTAGGTAACTACAAACAATCATAAAATGTTTGTTTGTTTTGGGTATTAGGGCACATTGACACAGTATAGGTCATATCGCGACGTTCCAGCTTTACTGGTGGAGGAAGACCTCAGGTGCCCTTCCGTGTATTATTTCAGGCACGAAGGGCACCTGAGTAGAACCACCGACGTTCCGTCAGCTAGCTGGATAGCTTCCTCACATGAAAGAATCCAAAGTCCCTGTCAGGATTCGAACCCACAGCGGTGAGGGACAAGTGGTTTGAAGTCAACTACCTTAACCACTCGGCCACGGATGCCCCGGTTCCACATTTCTCAACAATCCATGACTTTAAAACTGGAAAATTTTAATACTAAAGGTTCACATAAACTACATTTTGGGAAAAGCTAATTTTCAACATTAAATGATTTTTGTCAATTCGTAAAAAAACTTATATTTGACCTCTATTTTATGCAAAAAAATAAATAAAAAAAAATACTATCATTTTTTTTTTTGACTGATTTTTTTGCAGATTTCAACACATTTTTGGTCACTTCACCTAGCAAGCTTTTCTAGATGACTAACCAGTAATCACCTGTCAATAAGAAAAATTTCAACTACGCCAAAATCATACCAGCAACCCCTGGGTTTAAAATCCAATGCACACCCTAATGAACTTATTGGGCTGACATTACTGTTTCTATTTGCTTCAGTCTGAGGGTTGACGCAAGAAAATTTACACCCATATTATTTGGATATGGAGTTAACTTACTTATCAGGATTCATGTCAGTCCCAAAGTCTAATTCATCTCTTTTCTCTATAAAACAGTCAACATGGTGCCAAAGGTCACAGGGTCCATACATCTTGGCTCGCACACTTTCATAATCTTTTCTTGAAATGCGAAGTTCACCCTATATAATAATATACATATACAAATTTTGAACTATTACTCTATGCAGTAACATATCATTTAGTATCACCTAGTTTTATTATTATGAAAATCATCAAGGAGAATCAACTCTCATCTAGACAATTGTCTTTCTTTCTTTCATAGAATCACACTTTCAGATTTCTTATCTTAGCAGTATTATATACAATCTGAAAGAGACAGACTAGTAGTTTGGCAGTCAGTACAACTTCTGAGGCATTCAGGCTCCTTTCAATCTTTAAAATTATAAATAAACCAATATCATACCTTTTTAATTTTATCCTCACATCCCCTGCATACAGACTGGCTAGATTTTGCATAATCAGTATTAAAGTCTTGACTGGCTGAAGATGATGAACCTTCCCCAGCGTCCCCATCACCTCCTCCTGACCCTGATGTACAATACCATTTATATGTATTATGTATAAAAAAACAAGCTTTCATTTACTTTTTTCCAATATGAAGGCAGCATTAAAAACTAGAAATGTGTCATCATGCCACGGATGCCCCCGCATGCAGCCAAAATTTCAGATGGTGCATTAATTTTTTTTTTTCATTTTAAGTTCAAAGCCCTTAAAACTTTTCAATGTTAACACAAACCATTTCCATACAACGTTCAAGGCACTGAAATTATTTAGTCTTAACCTTTAGAAAAAGCATATTGCATATTTGTAGCCAAATAATGGCCAAAGAATGAGTGCTGAAACTGAAAGTTCAAAATTTTTCCAAACATTCAGGAAAGATAAGTTTGTCTAAAATCATTGAACCATGACCAAATTCAAACTTAAACTGCTTATTCCTAAGATGTATCTATATTATTTTCAAAGTGAAAGGGACATAACTCTGCCAAAAAACCATCAAACCATGACCAAATTCCAACTTGACCTGCCCATTCCTTTGACATATCCATATGTCAAATTAAAATTGAATATGTAACACTGTTAGGTAGATAATGAACAGAAAACTGTAAATTTCATATTATTTTCAAAGTGAAAGGGGCATTACTCTGCCAAAATCATTGAACCATGACCAAATATGAACTTGACCTGGGCATTTCCAAAAAAATATCCATATGTCAAATTTGAGTTGAATGTGTTGTACCATTGGGGAGATAATAAACAGAAACTGAAAATTCATATTATACTTTCAAAGTGAAAGGGGCATAACTCTGCCAAAAATCATTGAACCATGACAAATTTGAATTTGACCTGCGCATTCCATTGACGCATCCATATGTCACGTTTGAGTTGAATGTGTTGTACTTTGAGGGAGATAATGAACGGAAACTGAAAATTTCATATTATTTTCAAAGTAAAAGGGCATAACTCTGCCAAAAATCATCGAACCACGACCAAATTTGAACTTGACCTGCGCATTCCTTTGACGCATCAATATGTCACGTTTGAGTTGAATGTGTTGTACCTTGAGGGAGATAATGAACGGAAACTGAAAATTTAATATTATTTTCAAAGTGAAAGGGGCATAACTCTGCCAAAAATCATCGAACCATGACCAATTCAAACTTGACCTGTATTTCTCATGACATATCCATATGTCAAGTTTGAGTTGATTGTGTTGTACTGTTGGGTGAGATAATGAACAGAAACTGAAAATTTCATATTATTTTCAAAGTAAAAGGGCATAACTCTGCCAAAAATCATCGAACCATAACCAAATTCGAACTTGACCTGTATTTTCTCATAACATATCCATATGTCAAGTTTGAGTTGAATGTGTCCAACCGTTCTTGAGATAATGAACGGAAACTGAAATTTCATATTATTTTCAAAGTAAAAGGGCATAACTCTGCCAAAAATCATCGAACCATGACCAAATTCGAACTTGACCTGTATTTTCTCATGACATAACCATATGTTAAATTTGAGTTGAATGTGCCCAACCGTTCTTAAGATAATGAACGGAAACTGATGATGACGGAATGACAGAATGACGGAAGGACGGAAGGACGGAAGGATGGAAGGACGGAAGGACGGAAGGACGGAATGACGGAACAGGGTAACACTATATGCCCCGGCCATTACATGGCGGGGGCATAAAAATTCTATTTCCCATAATGTTTTCGACAGGTAAATTTTCTTCAGTGTGTGTGTCAGAAAAAAGGTCAACAATGAAGCCAGTTTAAGTTAGATGTAACTAAGAAAAAATACAGTTTTTAACACCTACAGTACTGTTGGTCACTGCTTTAAATTGGTAAAAAATATTTCATATTAGTGGCTAACTATTACTTAAACTTATTATTTCTTTTAGCAACCAGAATTCTGCATGGAATCAAATTCTTAATCTTTGAACAACTTTTGAAGTCCTTCATCCAAGGCAGGGCGTTTCCCTCCTTCTATAGCAGGGACAGCTTCAGAGCTACTTTCCCTGAGGAAGAGTCTTTAAAATCAAGCAATTTAGCCTAAAAATTCAATTAATATCTAGTTTTTTCTTCCCTTTTGGCAAATACTCTGTATTTTTGCCAATATTCAAGAAAAGTGCCCATTCCCCTAACTAATTATTTTTGCCAATATTTAAGAAAAGTACCCATTCCCCTAACTAGAGTATTTTCGCCAATATTTAAGAAAAGTGTCCATTCCCCTAACTAGAGTATTTTCGCCAATATTTAAGAAAAGTGCCCAATCCCCTAACTAATTATTTTCGCCAATATTTAAGAAAAGTGCCCATTCCCCTAACTAATTATTTTCGCCAATATTTAAGAAAAGTACCCATTCCCCTAACTAGAGTATTTTCGCCAATATTTAAGAAAAGTGTCCATTCCCCTAACTAGAGTATTTTCGCCAATATTTAAGAAAAGTGCCCAATCCCCTAACTAGAGTATTTTTGCCAATATTTAAGAAAAGTGCCCAATCCCCTAACTAGATTATTTTCGCCAATATTTAAGAAAAGTGCCCATTCCCCTAACTATGAAAAAGAATCTCTGTCAAGAATACTTTCAAGTTAGGTAGAAATAAGACATATGACTCTGAGAAGATTTTTCAAGTTAAACAAAATCAGGTAAATAATGCACACATGCATCAACTGCTATATGCCACCACGTCACAGATGCTGCTGTAGCATCTAAATCTTCTAAGAGATTCTAAATTTCAAAACGTTTAGACCTGCCACCGTTTAGAGCTGCCACAGGAATGAGGAATAGCACAATTTCTATGACACAGGATTATATGTTGGTCCACATTTGATCTTAGTTTAAAGAAATTTTAAATTTTATACTGCAGACACAAAGAATGACTTTGAGCCAGCACAGCAGCATCATGAATTCTGCACATCACCATGTTGAGGTGAACATTTGAGCCAAGTTTGAAGAAAATCCTTCCAAAGGAATAGCATTTATAGAGCAGACACAAAATTGTCTATCATCAATTTCATAGGAAATAACTAAAATATTTCATGACAGCAGCTTATTGTTTATGTTCATAAATTTGTTAACTGAATCTTGTTTTCGTTTGTTTTTGATATATTTTCTTCCGTTGAAATTCTCTCTTGAATGAAAAATATTTGAAAATAATGTAAAATTCCCCGCGTGCATGGACCCTTACCTCAGTCTCAAAATGCTTACGAGAGCCCTGTCACTTTGTTGAGATACAATGTAAACATTTGAACCAATTTTGTGCCCCTTTTATAGTAAACGACCACAACTCAAAAAATTCTAGGTGGATCTTGAGTGTAAATACATTAATTCCTACTAGGTTTCATGGATGGACAGACAATGCCATTTAATTTTCCTAATTCAAATTTATTGGTGGGTCATAATAATTATTGATTTATTCTATATTTACTAACATGTAAAAGAAAATCTATTCAAACTTTAAGGCAGATATGCACATTTAAGAAAATAGAAGAGGTCATAGCATTCAATACCTGTAAGTGGTGGCATGGTTGAATAGTTAATATGTCCGCCTAGTAATCCAAGGACTGCTGGCAGTGTGAGTTCAAACCACATCAGGGGCAAGCTGTTGTTTCCATGAGCAAGAAACTTTACACTTAAGCTTAGTACTTGCTAGTTCCAGGAATCTTATTGTGTTGAAAAGCTTATAGGTTCCAACAAAATGAAACTAAAACAAATTTGTATAAAACTAATACCTGCAACTTTTTCTTTAATCTTTTGCTGGTCTTCCCATCTTAGGCTGTCAAAACCATATATGTCTTCAGTTGTTACCTTTCTGGCCCTTTTCCAGAAACATGCATAGTGAAACCAGTTAGGGATCTTTAAAAGATAAGAGGTGTATCATCAAATTCAAATGAACAAAAAAAAAAAACAATTATAACTATTCACAGCAGTAGACATCTGAATATGAGTAACATATATTGTCAGAGATAAATAAAAGGCAAAAATTACAAGCATGCTGCAAATTGCTAGCACCACTTCCTCTTAAAAATCCTGTATGTTGTAATTGAGGTTGTATACCACACTTAAGTGAAATTATATATATGTATATAATTATACTTATAAAACAGTTTTCAAACATCGAAGAATATGTAAAATATGTATTGCAAATATTTGTACATATTATATGTAATCATTAAAATATATGCATTCTTTTCTTATTGAAAAATTTGACTTAATACTTTATAGAAGATTTATTTTTAATACCTCCCTTTATTTACATGAAATGTTAAATTCGGTAATATCTTTATAAATAATGCTTTTTGGAAAATTGATAGATCTTAATTTGAGCATCACATTTATGATATAAAACCATAAAAAAATTGTGTTACAGGATCTTTAAGCTTAAATTGATTTCTGACAGTAAATATTTACGTCATAACGAAGACCTATAGATGTGCAAGATCTTACCCTCTCAGATACAAACAGCTCTCTGTTAAACTATCATTATGTTAGTTTTGACACCTTTTACATTTTCTACAGTCGTATGAGGCATTACAGTAATAAAAAAAAGTTAAAATCTACAGTAATAACAAGGAAGCAATAAAGCTGACTGTCTAGAATTCTTAGCTTTCCTTTTATAAATACCTTAATAGATTAATCAGAATATACTGCATGGCATGACAGCCCTAATACTGCTGTTTTTTTTCCAGGTGTTTGGGAACATGACCCATACCCATGGAATTGGGAATTTTACTCAATTTTTTTCATTTTGTAACTTCAATTGGGAATTTTTCCAGTGGATTGGGAAAATAATTAACTTTTTCAATGGATATATGACTATATATTGGCTATTAAAGAATAAGCAAAAACACAACGCCTGTTACATCAACAGGCCTGGGACAGAGGCCATAGAGGAAATATGTAAAAATAAAGGGGGAACTTTTATGTTAGATATACTTTATAAGTTTAGATTGGTGTGTCTTATTTCGAGTCTGTTGTGCTAATTGGCAGCTGCTCTAACCCCATCCCAGTATCCTCAGGTGTCCCCCAAGGCTCTGTTCTAGGAGCCCTCCTGTTGCTTGCCTATATAAATGACCTTATGCTTCGAAAACTGAAACTCAGACATATCTATGCTAGGTTATCCCTTTTCTATAAGATTCACCATGGCCTGGTTGCTATCCCCATAGAAGAATATTTGACACCCCTCCCCCAAACATTACGTCATGGCCATCCCTTATGTTATAGGTTATTCACAGCAACTTCAGACTTAGTATTATAAATTCTCGTTCTTTCCTAGGACGGTATACTACTAGAAGTAAGAACCGCCTACCCCCTGCAGTTGCACTACTCCCTACCCCAGAGCATAGCTTGCATCGAACATGTCTCACACTAGTTTTCAAGCCCCTTTTTTAAACAATTTTAATATTCTTTTATTCACTTTTAAACAACCCTTTTTAACTTTCTTGATTTTTGACGCCCAGACATGCCTACATCCGTTTTACATTAACGGATTCAGAAGATATAGATAGATAGGTTTCCTACTTTTGGCAAATAAAATTTATTTCATGGCCTTTTTTGGTGCAGAAATTGGAAAGAGGTGTTAAGTTTTCCATTTTGGGAAATTTACACATGATATTTAATCAAATTGGTCAGATAATTGACATGTATACGACAAAAGAAAGATAAAATAAAAACAACTTACTTTTCCATCAAACATTGGGGACTGAAATAGAAATTCAACAGTTAATTAAATATTTTACAGAGATTTTGAATTATCAATGATGAAGACATGATCAGAAAGAAAACATATACTAGGTTTGCTTTTGTCCTGGGTTTTACAATATTAATGATATGAAGTGAAGTTCAGATCTATTCTAAAGTTTTTTACTTACTTCGTATGTGTTGTCTGTATCGTGTGCAGACATCGCCGAGGTGTGATTGTGAATTTTGTGCTCCATAATGACGGTGGGCTAAAAATGTGTCCCCGGATTGTGCCGTGGGCACCAGGTTTCGATGTTTAATGTGATGGTTACCATGTAGCAAAGTAGTCATACACAATACTTTTATGTTTCTCAATTATAATTTCTAGAGACTTTTTCTTAACAATCAAACTGTCAAATATGTCATAATAGACAAGATTCGCATGCTGTACAATATAGTCCATCCGAGTACTACTGCACATGTTGAATTAAATATAGCTAGTTTGAAAACTAACTTATTCATTTATTGGTCTTACTGAGAGCATGTTTATATTATGATAATAGTTAATTCTTCATGGATCTTTGATGACACTTTTGGAAATACTGAAAAGTCGTGTTTTGATATACCACGTAATCGAGGGGGTCGCGAAATCAAGTTACTTTCGCTTACCTGAACCATAATGGCAAGCCTTAGAGAATCCTGTGTTATATTTCCCTTACATCCCTTACAAGATGCTCGACTACTTTTAGCGTACTCCGCTTTGTATCCAAGATCGTGATGATCACCCATTTTCTAACAATGTTGGTATGTAAACAGTTTTTTGCTGACCGTGGAAAATTATGGCGGGAATTTTGATATTAACTAAGGTCTGATAACACTATTGATTTTCATTACGTCATGGCGAATCTTCGCTAAATTCGCACAATATTTTTCAAATGGAATCTAATACTATTTGAGTAGAATCAGCTTCAATTGAAATGAAATGCAGCGCACTACCTGTCAGCAAGCAGTGCTTGTCGATGAAATGCGACGTTCACCATGTCGTCCTGTTAGAAAAATCAATTACACTTTGACATTGGATTTGTTCTTCGAATTTTTGAATGATTAAACAAAGAGATTCATACCTAAATAAATTTGAGAAAAAATGGATGCAATGAAGATTTTAAAACTTCTAGTGAAATCAGAAATTATATATAAAAACAAATCAGAAAAGCTAAATCTGAATATTTTTCTAATAAAATTGAAGAAAACAAATTTTATTCCAAAAAGATTTGGCAGAATTTTAAATCCCTTGGATACAAAAATCAGATACAAAAAATGTTTTAAATATTAACGGTGAAAATTCACACGAGTCAGTCTCTGTTGCAAATCATTTTAACGATTTTTTTACAACTGTTGCAGCCACAGATATATAAACATTTATTTAGCTCCATATGTTGCAGCCAAACTTGTAGAAAACTGCCAACTGGCAAGAATTTATTTACTGTTGATTCCACTATTATTAAACAGTTTTACATCAATTCTAAACATTCTTTTGAAAAACTGTGTCTGAAAATTTTGTATTTAAAGAACTTTGTAGTTTAAATGTTTGTAAAAGTACAGGTCTGGATGGAATACCTGCAAGATTTTTAAAAGATGGAGCTACATGTAGCTTTCTTAAATTACCTGTTGCTTTCATAATAAACATGCCTATTGCTTTCATAATAAACATGTCTATCAGAGAAAACTTTGTCCCGGATGATTTAAAACTTGCCAGGGTGAAACCATTATATAAGAAAATAGTACACTTGAAGTGGGCAATTATAGAGTCTGTTAGTATATTAAGTATTATCTCTAAGATTTTAGAAAGAACTGTATAAAATCAATTAGAATCATATCTTGTTAAAAATAATTTATTGTATGAACACCAATCTGGTTTCAGAAGTTCACATTCAACTGCATGATACTTGTCTCATACATTTGTTAGATCATATCAGACTGAATAACTCCAATAGCTTATTTACTGGAATGATAATGATCGATTTGCAAAAGGCATTCGATACTGTTGATCATAATATTCTTTGTGGAAAACTTCACCTTATGGGAATTACCGATACAGACTGGTTTAGATCTTATCTTAATAACAGAAAACAATTAGTACATATTTGAGAGGTTTCTTCATCTCCATCAATAGTAAATTGTGGTGTTCCTCAGGGAAGTATTTTAGGTCCGTTGCTCTTTTTATGCTATGTAAATGATATGATCACCAGTATCGATTCTGAGTGTAAGCTCATTTTATATGCTGATGACAGCACTATATACTTTTTTTCTCATCATGATTCTGATTTCATTTCACAAAAATTAGGTAAAGCTCTAGAATCTTGTTCAGATTGGCTGGTTGATAATAAACTGTCTCTCCACTTAGGAAAAACTGAATGTATGATTTTTGGTCCAAAGAAAAAACTTAAGAAGATTAATAAGTTCAATATTATTTGTAATGGCCACACTATTGAATATCAACTAAGACAGTCAAATATCTTGGTTTGAAAATTGAAAATGTTCTGTCTGCAGAAGAAATTGTTAATAGAACTATATCTAAAGTAAACATTAAGCTTAAATTTTTGTACAGAAACATTAAGTGTATATCTTTTAACTGTAGAAATTAGCTGCTTTGTTCTGCTTTAATCCAATGTCATTTTGACTATTCTTGTTCGTCTTGATACGAAAGTTTAAATAAAAGTCTGAAAAGGAAACTGCAAGTAGCTCAAAACAAAGTCATAAGGTTTATAAAAGATTACCATCCAAAAACTAGTTTAACTCCTTCTGATTTTACAGATGTTAACATGTTAAATATTGAAAATGGAGTAAAACAACTAAAACTTAATTATATGCATAAGCTTTTTATAATTTATAAGTGTCCAACTTATATGAAAACAAACTTTGTTCGGATGACCGATATACACAGTTACAACACTAGATCAAATACGTTAATTTTTTTCAATTCCTCATTGTAATAAGACATGTAATGGCACTTTTTTCTAAATGGTATTAATGATGATAGTTTGCAGATGATGTAAAAATGTATTTCAATCCAACTTTTTACATAAACTTCTGTTAAAGCCATTAGGGGGTGTGGGTGATGTTGCACTTATCATTTCCTATGTATCATCAAACAGGTCTGCTTCTTATGTAATGTTTGTTGTGTTATTGCTTCCGAGGATTCACTCTTGTTTACATGTTTTTTTTCATTAGTTATATAGTTTGTTTGTCTTTCATGTTTTGTATATTGTATTATGACACTATCCACTTATTTAGAGTTCGGTAGGCAACTTTATGATAGAACTTTATAGTTAATTTGGGCCGATGTGTAAAGGGCTTTTGATGGGGTGGATGTCTTTGGTACGAATGACTAGAATTTTTTAGGGTGCCATCCTTTGCAACGATTGCAAAAGATCTCATTATTTTGATGTAGGTGACGTTTTAATTAGATAACATCATAATTTACGTATTTCCCAAAATAATATGCGTGATCGCAGCATATCAGAGACTGAATGTCTTAATCAAATGTCAAATCAGATAGTTAGGCAACATTGTGTTGTGTACGTTATTTCGGCTAGATGCGTTTTCGGAGAGCTCGTCAGCAAACTTGAATATTTTTTTATTTTAAATACCACCGAACGTGCCGATAAAAATGGCTCTAGTACAACTCGATCGCGCTCAAACTAAAAAATTGAGAAATTCATTTTTAGAACGGACTTTTGTGCAATCGAGATGGGTATCTTTAATGAGCTTATGGCAATGATGGCCTTAGCAGTCCTTGCAGTTGTTTGTGGACCGTGAATTGTCGAAGACTGGAACAATAAGCTCATGGACGGTAAACTATGCTATTACCTTCGCAGGAAGAGACAGTTCAAGATTGCTATTGATTAAAACGAACAGGAATTGAGAAATGATGTGAACATCAGTTAACATTTGCAATATCGGTCCAATTTGCGGAATTAGCTGGAGACAAGTGCCAAGTTTTCGGATAGCTTTTTTCAAATTTATGTAGAGTCAGACCTACCTTCCTACTCAAACCCCTCGTGGGTTGACTCCAATAGCTTTTGTAATGGTATGTCAGTCCATCTCTTTCGCTAGATTAAAATACATCGCAATATTTATTTCGCAGATTTGATGGACACCTGCAACGTTTTTAATTTATCAGCGTTTTATTAGTTACAACTGGATCGTCTTAGCATATTTGGCGATGACAGGCAACGTCAATAATGTGTTAGTTTACTGCTCTATAGTGACAACATGAGCACAAGTAAATTTCCGACAATACTTTATACATTTCGATAGGTGGCATTGTAGTTAAAGTCGATGGCGCTTTTGTGTTTGTTGATAGCAGCATATAACAATTAACGTGTCAGTATTTCATTAAATTGACATTAGACCCGTATTAATGCAAAGATGAGAATGTGATAATCGTGTTTCGCTTTTTTGTATTGCTTTGTGTACTTTTCTCAACAGCATTAATAAATTCTATAGAAAAAAAACCCAAAAAACAAAAAAAAAGACTGTCTGATAGACCTCTGTATCACTATTGATCCATTTTGATTCATGTACCAGCTTTATTTATAACATAAATATTTGTTTCTACATGCTGTCATATTTTTGTCGCTAAACACCATAACTTTTTTCGCGTGTTCCATTATGACGTCGCTTCCAGTTATTATACCCCCAAAAACGAAGTTTGGGGGGGGGTATATAGGAGTCACCCGGTGGTCGGTCGGTCCAGCGGTCCTTTGCATTTTCCTTGTCCGGAGCATAACTTGAAGACTAATGGTTGGAATTCAATATAACTTCATACAATGGTCAAGCACATTGAGAGGAAGTGCAGTGCACAAGAACCATTACTCCATCTTGACTAATTACAGAGTTATTGCCCTTTGTTACTTTTCCTTGTCCGGAGCATAACTTGAAAAGTACTGGTTGAAACTCTAAACAACTTCATACAATTGTCAAGCACAATAAGGGGAAGTGCAGTGCACAAGAACCATAACTCTATCTAAAGTAATTACAGAGTTATTGCCCTTTGTTATTTTTCCATTGCTTTCTTTTGTCCGGACTACAACTTGAAGATAAATGGTGGGAATTCAATATAACTTCATACAATGGTCAAGCACATTGAGAGGAAGTGCAGTGCACAAGAACCATAACTCCATTTTGACTAATTACAGAGTTACTGCCCTTTGTTACTTTTCCTTGTCCGGAGCATAACTTGAAAACTACTGGTTGGAATTCAAAACAACTTCATACAATGGTCAAGCACAATAAGGGGAAGTGCCATGTACAAGAACCATAACTCCATCTTGACTAATTACAGAGTTATTGCCCTTTGTTACTTTTCCATTGCTTTTTTTGTCCGGAGCATAACTTGAAGACTAATGGTTGGAATTCAATATAACTTCATACAATGGTCAAGCACATTGAGAGGAAGTGCAGTGCACAAGAACCATAACTCCATTTTGGCTTATTACAGAGTTATTGCCCTTTGTTACTTTTCCTTGTCCAGAGCATAACTTGAAAACTACTTGTTAGAATTCAATACAACTTCATGCAGTTGTCAAGCACATTAAGAGGAAATGCAGTGCACAAGAATTATAACTCCATTTTGACTAATTACAGAGTTACTGCCCTTTGTTACTTTTCCTTGTCCGGAGCATAACTTGATAACTACTGGTTGGAATTCAAAACAACTTCATACAATGGTCAAGCACAAGAACTATAACTCTGTCCAGAGTAATTATAGTGTTATTGCCCTTTGTTACTTTTCCATTGCTTTTTTCTTGTCCAGAGCATAAACTTGAAAACTACTAGTTGGAATTCAAAACTATTTCATACAATGGTCAAGTATATTGAGAGGAAGTGCAGTGCACAGAAACCGTAACTCTTTTTTGACTAATTTTTTTTGCCCTTTGTTACTTTTTATTGTCCAGTGCATAACTTGAAAATTAATGGTTGGAATTCAATGAAACTTTATACAATGGTCAAGGGCAGTGAGATTAAGTGCAGTGCACAAGAACAATAACTCTATTTGGACTAATTACAGTTATTGCCTTTGTTACTTTTTATGTCCAGTCAGTGCATAACTTGAAAACTAGTAGTTGGAATTCAATACAACTTCATACAATGGTCAAGCGCAATGAGAGGAAGTGCAGTGCACAATAACCATAACTCAATCTTCAGTATTTATAAAGTTATTGTCCATTGTTCCTTTTCCTTGTCTTTCTGGACTTATTACAGAGTAATCCAATTAAACTTCATCAATGGACAACCACATTGAAAGGAAATGCAACATACAAGAACCACAACCATCTTTAATTGCCCAGAACCATAACTCTATTTCAATTCTTTACAAGGTATTCTATTACTAGTAACATCCTCATTCTGAAGCAGTCTTGCGGGGGTTTTAATCACATTTAGTGATAGTTCTAGTTTTATTATGTTTTGCACTGATGAAGGCATATAGCCGAAACATATGCAACAAATTATTACTGAATGTTCGTGTTTGTGTGGCTTGTCTGTTTATAGAAAAATAATAATATAATAATAAAATAAAAACAAAAAAAACATTTACAGAATTTAAAGAAATGGAAAATAATTCTTGGTTTTATTTGATTGAAAAGACAGACCATCTGATGTTCATCTTTTACTTTTGGCCTTATATCTAAAGTAATTCATCATGCAATATAATACTTATTTCATAAAAAAAGATATAATTACAAAACAAAAAAAATGCATTTGTATCAAATACAAAAAAATCTGCATTTGTATTAAATACAAAAAATCTGCATTTGTATTACTGTTATGTAAATCTGTCATTTGTTATACATGTGTATAATTTAAATATTAATATTACTTGATAAATAGATAAAACATCTTTTTATAGATCAAATCAATGTGCCTAGCACCTTTTCACTTTTCCTTATGTCTTCAAACTTCTCCTTGATAGGAGCTGAGGAACAAGTCACTTCTCCCTAACATTTTGGTACTGCTAGAGCTCTGATAAGGCATAATCTAACTTGATCCAGCAGGCTGCTCTTCTTTGGACATTTTCAATTTGATCAATTTGTATTTTTGTGTGGGGAGACCATGCTTTGTACCATATTCTAGCTGGGGTCTGACTAACGTTTGGTGTGCTATCTTGGATGGCATTCATGTTTATTTTTGTAGCCAACATTTACCATTGAAGACATGTCTTGTGGCATTGAAATGATTATTTTACTTTCATTTCAGATCAAGCTTTATTATTGACATCTGGTATTTAGAATGCCTTTTGGCAAGAGAGGAAAACTTGAGCGAAGAAAGGGATACCATAAGAAAAGGGTTAGAAAAGCACAAGAAAAACCACAAGGTGTGATTTGTTCAATATGTTCATTTAAAAATCTTTAGTTTTAGAGGAGTAGCATAGCCATTTCACACATCTTTGATCAATAGTAATATGAATTATATCTGATAAATAAGTGGTACACTGTTGTACTTCTGAAGGCTTCAGTTGTCCTGTTTATTTTTATGCCCCCGCCATATAATGGCTGGGGCATAATTATAGTGTTTACCCTGTTTCATCATTCCGTCCTTTCATCATTCTGTCATCATCAGTTTCCGTTCATTATCTTAGTAACAGTTGCACAAATTCAACTCAAATTTGACATATGGATATGTCATGAGAAAATACAGGTCAAGTTCGAATTTGGTCATGGTTCCATGATTTTTTGGCAAAGTTATGCCCCTTTTACTTTAAAAATAATATGAAATTTTCAGTTTCCCTTCATTAATAATCTCTCTAACGGTATTACACATTCAATTCAAACTTGGCATATGGATATGTTATGAGAAAGTACAGGTTAATTTCGAATTTGGTCATGGTTCGATGAGTTTTGGCAGAGTTATGCCCCTTTTACTTTGAAAATAATATGAAATTTTCAGTTTCTGTTCATTATCTCCCCAACGGTATTACACATTCAACTCAAATTTGACATATGGATATGTCTTGAGAAAATACAGGTCAAGTTCGAATTTGGTCATGGTTCGATGATTTTTGGCAGAGTTATGCCCCTTTCACTTTGAAAATAATATGAAATTTTCAGTTTCCATTCATTATCTCCCCAACGGTACAACACATTCAACTCAAACTTGACATATGGATACATCAAAGGAATGCGCAGGTCAAGTTCAAATTTGGTCTTGGTTCAATGATTTTTGGCAGAGTTATGCCCCTTTCACTTTGAAAATAATATGACATTTTCAGTTTCTGTTTATTATCTCCCCAACATTACAACACATTCAACTCAAATTAGACATATGGATATGTTTTTGGAATGCCCAGGCCAAGTTCGAATTTGGTCATGGTTCAATGATCTTTGGCAGAGTAATGCCCCTTTTACTTTGAAAATAATATGAAATTTACAGTTTCTGTTCATTATCTACCCAACAGTGTTACATATTCAACTCAAATTTGACATATGGATATGTCAAAGGAATGGGCAGGTCAAGTTGGAATTTGGTCATGGTTTGATGACTTTTTGGCAGAGTTATGTCCCTTTCACTTTGAAAATAATATAGATACATCTTAGGAATAAGCAGTTTAAGTTTGAATTTGGTCGTGGTTCAATGATTTTGGACAAACTTATCTTTCTTGAATGTTGGAAAAATTTTGAACTTTCAGTTTCAGCACTCATACTTTTGTGGAAATGTATGTAGCCATTATTTTGGCTACAAATATGAAATATGCTATTTTCAAAAGGTTAAGACTGAATAATTTCAGTGCTTTGAACATTGTATGAAAATGGTTTGTGTTAACATTGAAAAGTTTTAAGGGCTTTGAACTGCAAATGAAAAAAATAATTTGTGCAAACAAATTTGGAACTAAATATTATAACATCTGAAATTTTGGCTGCATGCGGGGGCATCCGTGGCATGATGACACATTTCTAGTTCATTTATAATTCATTAGCTTCAATCTATTTTTCAGTTCAACTGCTTACCTATATAAATTACCAATCATGTTTGTCCACAGTTTGTGTTTCAGTGAAATATTCAGAAAATAAAATACTGTTTTGCTCGACTATCCAATGAAAAGTACTGTAGTGCTATCCTACTTATCTGGCCATTGGTGTCATTGTTGGCATACATGTAACTCTTGCATATGAGATAGTAATGGAACATTGAAAATTTTCTATCAAATCAAGTTTTTTTTTCTATATAAAAGGGTAAAATGACAATATAATATAGAAATATCACTAATGATGTTGTGGACTTCATTTGGTGTCGTAATTTCCCACAGCTAAATCTGTGACGTACCGGAAACTGGTGATTAGCTAGGTCTTCGCGCTGTCACATTTATTTAGCTACCTACATCTTGGAAAATCAATAAATATGTAGGATTTATGTATTAAACATATGTGTTTGAATAAATCACAAGTTACACATGTAGTAATTTTTTGGTCTAATAGAAACTAACGCAGACCTTTAAGTATTTTTTACCAATGTGTTAGAAATAAAGATTGAATAGCGGGATTTTATGTATTAAACTTAACTAGCCAATTCAGCCTTACAAATATTGCAGAGGGCCTTCTTATCATTTACTTTTGAGAAAATTCCACACTTTTGACTTTCCAGCTGACATTATTATTAAATACAATATTTTTAATGTAAAGTGACATCATGTTTATAAGTAACACATTTATGAGGTTGTCTCCCTTTGTATCGGTACAACTGAAACCCGATAACTGTACCGTTTTGAAAAACGGAAAGTCAATACATACCAATTTACTGGTATATTGATCCAGCCCTAATAATTTTTCAAAACTATTGAAGATATTCACTTTAAACTTAATACACGTTTTCTTTGAAAAAACTTTGAAAATTCTTGCTTAATGTGTTGCATGCTACATTATTCTTCAAAATAGCTAAAGACATTCACTTTAAAAATTAACACATTTTTTGCAGGATCATAATTGTAGGTCACTATTCAAGGCCTATAACTCTCTCATTGATTTTACTGAATTGTGGCTTTTTTTTAAACTTAGAAAATTCTTAGTTCATTTTTTTTTGTGCAGTCATCATAACTATTGAATGTATTCACATGAAATTTGATACAAGTCTTTGGGTCACTAACCAAGGTCCATAACAATGACATTGATTTTGACTAAATTATAGCCCTTTGTGAATTTAGAAACTTTTTGGTTAAAGTTATGATTGCAACATTTCCAAGGCCCATAATTCTGGAATGGATTTTGAATGAAATAAGGCCCTTGTGTACTTAATAAAATTCTTTTGTCAATATCCAAGACTTATAACTACATGTGTACAATGTATGTCATTTACATTATTTGTATTTTTGTGAATAAAATCTTCCTGTTTGTTAGTTCTTACTTTATCCAGGCTATTATTGTACTACCAACCACTGAGAATAGTCTAACACGCTGTCTTTACAACAGCTGTTGTTATTGTATTTGTAATAATTCTCCAGTAATTAAAATTTTTGTAAATAGCAGTGTTTTGTCATTGAAGATTTTAGCATGAACAGTCTTACTAAAATATGATAAACAAGATCAACAAGGAAAGGCGGCGCTCAACGAACGCAACTAAGCCTGCATTATTTTCTAGTTTGCCATGTTTAGTTCTAGTTACATAGTTTTTTTTCTTTTATTATAACTTGGTATATTGATTTAACAGCATTTATTTTTATATTTTAGAAGTTAATGAAGAGCCAAATGATGATTACTTTGATATTTTAAAAGTTCAAGTAGAGCCAAGTGTGGATAACTTCGTTATTTTAGAAGTTAAAGAAGAACCAAGTGATGATTACTTTGATATTTTAGAAGTTAAAGAAGAGCCAAGTGCTGATTACTTTTATATTACAAAAGTTAATGAAGAACCAAGTGATGATAACCTTGATAGTTTAGAAGTTAAAGTAGAGCTAAGTGATGATAACTTTGATGTTTCAGAAGTTAAAGAAGAGTCTAGTGATGATTTCTTCAGAAGTTGTTTTGATTCAGGTTTTGGAAATCTCAATGGAGATCCATTTGAATTCATTTCTGATAAACAAGTAGATAATGACAATTTAAAGGCGGATGAATATTTTTTGATACTTGATAAACCTTATCAGTACTATGAACAAGATGACATTGACGCTCTTATTGCAACTGAAACAGCACGTGTTTTTGATAAATTGAAGGAGGAAGCAAAATATTCTAAAAACAATACCAGTTTCATATGTAATAGACATAGCAATTTTATAAGATTTGTCAGTCTCTATGATGAAGACATTGTGAAACTGAAAGTAGTATTTACTGTGTCTCATGATTTTACAATTTCAATTCAAGTACATGAAAAGAAACTACCCTCAAGTCATGAAATTTGGACAGTTATACCTTCAGTTTGTTACACTTTTAGAGTTCTTGAAAGAATTCTGAAAATTGTTGGATCATATACGACATGCAATGGAAATCCTGATCCTAGTTTTCAGGAGTTTATTCCTTATGGTTCATATCTTGATGCAAATGATGCACCAAAGAAACAAGGCTACAGAGACAACTATACTGGAAAATCTTCTATATACTCAACTTCTTGTCATCTACTTACTAAAGGAACGCGGTGTAAAAACTGTAATGTCTACAGAGGAACTTTAAGATCTTTGCTAGGTAGAAAACAAAAGAATGATGGTGTTAAAACAACTGAAATAGACTGGCTTCACTGCCGCACTGCAAACAGCAAGTTGACAGAGAATCAAAAAATTCTTAAGTTGCAACAGCTTAAGGAGTATTCATTGAGTTTAGAGAAGGAATTAAATGTACTTCGAAAAAAAGTATCTAGTGAAATTGACAACAAAGGGGTGGTTCCACCAGAGAATGAAAATAGGGACTTTTTTCATGTTGTTAAAGGATTTAGCACAAATGAAAATTTGAACGAATGTGAGAAAGATGAACAAAAATATAAGATGCTATTTTGGGAGGAACAGCTCAAGTATAGCAAATTGAAAGATAAGCGTCAAATGAGATGGCATCCCATGCTTATCAAATGGTGTATTATGCTTAGAAGTAAGTCTGGAAGTTTGTATGATTTGTTAAGAAAGTCCAAATTTATAAGCTTGCCAAGTGAAAGACTATTGTATGACTATACACACGTAGAAAAAAATGCAACAGAATTTCAGCCTGAAACTACAGAAGTGCTTGACAGTGAGATCTGTGGAGATACTGGTAAAGAAGAAAATGCAAAACGAAAACATAGTCTAGCACCTATAGACGCTACTCCATTACCAAAGCGCAAACGAATTTCACTTTAATGAATGGCTGTTTACAAACGCTAAATTGAAATGGAATTATGCTATGATGTCATTGATGTGTTCTAAAACTGGTGTTAACAGTGAATGAGTGCAGTTTGTGTTATTCTTTTGACTTCCATGTTTATCTCTTCCACAGAATTGCATTCATTATTATATTAATACAAAAAAAAATCACAAATGACATGTTAAAACTAACAATTTGATGAATGCTATCTTTATATTTAAAATGATACAGATTGAAAATAAATATCCTATTTCTTAAGCATATTTCAAAACGATACCCTATTTATTGCCTGTTTTGTCTTTTTCATTATTTAATAGCATTAAGAACATTTTACTGACTGACCCCAAAGGTAATTTTGTCATAAAAGTGCATTGATGTATTTGTATGGTCAATAATTCTGTAATTTGTGGATGTCCTAAAAATGACTTGTCAGAGATTTGTTTAACATGAGGTCTGTGTGTCATGCTCAAGAATTAGATTTTTAGCTCAAAAGGTCATGATCACACTAAAAAATGAGCATCAAATGTTGTAATAGAAATTTTATATAAAAGTGCACTGATGGTCATGGCTGGTTAATTATTCTGTCATTTCTGAATGGAATTTGAATAAAATAACAGAAATGGTTTTGACATGATGAGATGTGTCACATGATTTATTATTGTGCCTTGAAGATAAATGTACATGTATATATGACTTCATATGTTTGTATGTACAATGCATGCTCAGTAACTTGTGATATTAAAAGTATAGAAAGTTTCCATTGTAATTATTTCTTGTTGTTGCCAGTGGTTAATTCGTCAGACTAGTTATTTTAATAAAGGTTGCTCAATGCTGGCTGCCTTTGTTTAAACCCCATCAGGGGCAAGTTGTTATTGCCTTGAGCATGAAACTTTACATTCATTGCTTAGTAGTAATGGTTTGTGTCAGGAACTTAATTGTGACTGAGTCTATAAGCTTATAGCGTCCAACACATACTAAATTGAATTCTGTATAAATTAAAGGTCAAGGCACTAGAAAACGAGTTGGTCTCCTATAATACATAGATTAGGTGTGGTGGTTGGTCATGAGTAAAAAAAATGACCACTGGATTATTTTGTCCAAGTTTACTGTGACCTTGACAACGTAAACTTTTTTTCTGAACCAAAAGTAGAGAATGTATACATTCTTGGCATTCATTAAATTTATACAATTTGGTGCTTGAGTTGAGTCAGTCAAATGTCAAGGCTACTATGGCATTGACCATCAAACGTAGACCAAAAATTAATAGGAATGCTTTACAGGCTTATGCTTTGGTGTATGGGTTAGTCATGATTATAAGATTACCCCCGTTGATAGTGTTGTCAGTTGGTCAATAGATACTGTGACCTTTACCTTTCAAGCTTGTCGGGTCAATTACTAGAAAGTGATTTGGCCCCCTACAATCCTTAAATTTAGTGTGAAGGTTGCTAATGGGTAGAAGATGGATGGCCCTATAAAAAGGTTGTAAATAAGAAAACTATATATATGAACCATAACTAATTGGTTTTCAAAGGGGGTACATATATATTTCTCAAACACCCTTGTTTGTCCTTTTGTATAGAATATGACCATTGTATACAATGTAGAATATGACATTTGTGTATACACGTGTATCAAAATACATAATAAGTTAATCAAACATACTGCATGCAATGTTTTACAAATATAAAGACTTTAAAAGTGAATGCATAAGATTTTTATAATAATATGAATGCTACATATATGTTATGTACAATGTATATTTGAATCCCATAAACAGTTAATTTTGAAATGTTTATTTGTCTAAAATTTACGTACATGCTTCCTTTATTGTTACCGAAATAGAAACTGTACTGCAGACAAGTGAAAGCCTTATTTGCATATCCAATATTTCACCCCTACAAGTGCTATATGTTGCCTTTCAAATCGCCTTTCACTTTGAAATTCAAAGGGCTATTTTTATAGTACAACAACTGAGGTGCGTTTGATCTTTATTTTTATGCTACGATTTGCATCTTCGTGTACTTGTAAAGCGCTAGTTAATGAAAAAAAGTCTTCTGCAATTGCGACATTTTTAGCTCCGCTTTTTCATTGAAAAAAGTAAATTATATCAACTGATATAGGTAAAAATCAAATCTGCCACGTTTGTGTGCGATATGTTATTTTGACATTATATAAAAATTAAAAAGGAAATTTACTTTTAATTACTGTTAAATAAAATGATTTGATGAAGCGTAATGTACTTATAATTATCCACAGAAATTATCAATAATATGTCAAAATAGCCAGAAATAGCCGTTACTCCGTTAGTAACGAGATGAAAATATTGTGATTAACATATATATATAGTAATTCATATAGATATTTTTCCTATTACTTTGAAATTGTCGCTCATATTGTCAATACTTATGCATTTCTTTCGTTAAAAATTAACAAAATGGTTTGATAACTTTTCTTAAATAACAATTGTTATATTCTTAAATAACAATTGTTATATACCGCTATATTTTATTTAAGAAATAATATATCCCAAACTGTGATTTTATTGCTCAATAACATCACTGTTTGGAGTTCGGATGCGGGGAATTATATCACGAGGGCGTAGCCCGAGTGATATAATGATGCGCATCCGAACGACAAACAGTGATGTTATCAAACAATAAAATCACCGATTTGGATATATTATTTCGATTCTAACACGACATCAACAAATAAATGCTGCCGTACATTATAATTAGCTTAATTGCGCCTGATTTGTTTCCGTACTTATTGTCAGCGCGTCACATTTTTAGTGGTTACGTCACGTGTATAATGATTACGTCACATGTCTAAATATAGAACGTCAAACAGTGATTTTATAGCATAATAACACACACTTTCGGTTCTTCTATGTTCAATAGGGAAAAATGCGGGTCGTGTTAGAATAAACAATCATTCTTCTGTTCATTCACAGTATTCTTATTCGCGATAAAAATATATTAATATACATGTGTTTCATTTGAATTAATTAAAAAAAAAGAAAAAATCTTTAGCATATAAATTACGCCCTTAATATGACCAATTTTGAAGAAGCAATTTTAAGAATTCTAATACTAGTACATTAATTAATTAATTCTAATAAATTTTACACTATATATTAGTAATTTAACATCAAAGCTATTTTGATCTGTAAACGAAGATGAAATTTTATGAACTCGCAAACCCAAAAAATTAGCCTGGCATAAGAATACATATCAGAACTAATTATTTTAAATTTGCATACATAGCTTTCATATTGTCTTAAAGGCTAATTATGCCTCAGAAGTTCCGAAATTCAAGTTCAGATATGTTTTTAATAATGTGTTAGTAATGGATTTAGAACATGTCAGATGTTAAACAACTTAGAAAGTAATGCGGTAAAAATGTGCAGTAATGTGCCGTAGAGTAGTACTGCGATCACTATAATTATACCAATTATCAAGGAGCAAAAGAAGTAAAAGATATTTTATCTATAGCATTTGGAGACTGTAAAAAGATGCCAAACATTTTGATGGCATTTCGGGACATAATTGGCAATTCCACCCGATGTACCTTTGTTGAGTGTATATGTATACATATAATTATAATCTGGAGCGCTTGTCAATCAACTATCATACCATACGTGTTAAAATTACCATGATATAAAACAAAGTGATGCGATGATGGTTTCGTTAACTGACGAAAATGAAAATGAAAGAGTCTATAAATATTTTATGAGTTACTTCAGAACAACTTTTTCTTTCGTTGGATTTTAACATATCGCTTATACTTTATGAGCTTAAATTAATGGATTTAAACAGATCTATACAATGGTCCCGATTCTTGATATAAAAATAATGAAGTAAATAGGTAATTCAGTTAAGTGATGACACAATATCTCTAAAGTTTCGGAGATTATAGAAGAATAAGTTGATATCAAATCAATAATACTTTAAAAAATTAAGAAACTATGTCGAACTATTTTGGTAGATCTTGTATTTATTTTCAACGTGAAAATGCTCTTAATTTGATGAACGACTTTTATTATTCTGTTTAATGAAATAAACAGTGAGTTGGAAAAGTCATTTTGCATTTCTAGCTTAGAAATGATTCAATTGTTAACTTATTATTCCAACATTCAAATACGATATATTGGCCTTGAATTCCCCGAGCAGTAGGAGATAGTGCTTCTATGAATATTTCATAAACATTCGCCGAGATAAATATCATTTTTGTTTCGTATAACACTTTTGTTCAGTTAAGAATTACAGTTTAAATGATACAATGAAAATAGAAATTGGTTTTTAGGCATTATAATTTAGTTAGAATAATGTTTGCATGTGCTTCATCACTGAAACCAAAACATAGAAACAAAATCGAATACAGAATGGATTTTGATATGTTTTATTTGTAATTAAAGCTTACTGAATTTGTTTATAAAAATTCATTAATATATAATATGAAATAGATCATAGAAGAGAAGTTATTTTTATCATTTATTTTGTCGTTGTTGTCTCATTCCACACAACAAATTGATATAATGGCCGACACTTCAGTTGATGCCTCAATAATTTGGAATTATTTAAATATACTCTGTATATTAGAGAAGGAAATAACTATGTTTCATGTAGTTTAATCATTATCGTACCTTACAGAGATCCTTTCGATAAGAGCACAAAGAGGTGCACTATTTGTAGTTGTTGCCATGTAGAGGATCATTTTTGATCTCGAGAGCTCTATTCGATGATGCACACGCTTTTCGCCGTATAGTGCACCAATACATCTGCACCAATATATATGGTGTGCAGTTCACACAATAAAGCTCAACTTTGATACTCTTTTCGAAAAGAGAGGACCACATGAGTGCAATGCACACAAAAGTAAGTAGAATGAGATTTAAGTGAAAGTTTTCCATCCTAAACACTGAAATTATTGGAATCAGTGAGCCCGAAGGAGATGACAACACTTTAAACCTATATACCTATTGATATATGATTGTTCCATGTGTAGGGTTTTTTCCTTTGGATAACCTTTTGATCTAATTTTAATATCTCATATTAAGTCCTTGCAAGTAATTCATTTTACGTAACGATCTCTATTTGGATGACTTCTTTCTATTAACAAATACCACATGACATATCTTTATGGTTTGTTTTAATTTTGTAATAATTTCTTATTTATGTTTTGACTGTTAACGAAGAAAAAAAAGCATTATAAAAACTCGCAGCACAATCTTTGCAATACATTGTTACATTAAAAATCTTACATTTCGAATTAAGAAGATGTATATACATGTGTCTTTTAAAACACACAATGTATCACCAGCAGTGTATTATTATTTTATCCAGTATATTCTCCTTTTTGAATACAAAAATTTCCAGTTGAATTCTTTTTCATATCTAAAGACGTAGGAAACAATACACTTCCGTGATAGCTAGAAAGATATCAGTATCTTTTAATAATACATAATTCAAGATATATTTGTATAGTTCTTAAGTAGTCCTTTAAGCTACATGCCTCCAGATGGATCAAAATTTTTCAATAAAATCAAACTTAAGAAAAAGTCACTCAAATTTTAGGAAAATAAACAGATTCAAGATTCAAGTAATATTTTACATGTTCTGTGCGATTAATGACTGATTTTTCAGTATTAACAACTATATTTCTACTTCGTTACTAACGCAGTAAGGGCTATTTATGCATATTTTGGCCACATTTTTGGTAATTTACGGGTGTTGTAAGTACCATTGATAATGTGTAAA